CAAAGCAAAACAAACAAAACAACTTATTGCGAGCAACTGGTTAAGATACATATATGAGACTCTCTTAATAATTGAAGTTATTGAGATCAAACTATTCGTGATATGATATAAGAGTCTGGTGTGACCGTGAGGTTTCGTGTTCAATACCTCATGACCCCAATATTAACCATTGGTATGATGGACATGTGCGAGCTCAAATGCATGAGTTGGTTTTTCGTTTGAGGGGGACTTGTAAGGAAGTGGGTAAGATTCAAACATGGGTCTCTCCCAACAACTCGAGTTATTCCGACCATATGGTCCGTGATAGTTGCATCTATAGTATAAAGATCTCATCTATGATTAATATAAGTACTTCTAATTGAATTTAATGTAATGCAAACAATTCCATGAAACAAATCTTGCTAGATAATTAAAAGTTGATAGGGAATATATGGATTTATGTCGATTGATCGCCAAGAGATTGTTGCAAAAGTTGAGTGGCGATTTATTATTAGACGATACTCTGGAGTACAATGCAAGAGGTTTTGTGACATCCTCAATTGTAATACAAGATATCTCTAATCTTCCTTATTGATAGAAGAAGATAATTTTTTCTCTTGGTGTTGAGAACCACACCCTCAAAACTTCTTCATATGCTAATTCACCAAGGGCTCTCATAGAATCCTTGGTAGGCAAGAATCTGATTTTCATCAATGTAAGTGATGACACATAGAAAGTGCTATTTTATACCCCTGTTTTATGTCTGGTTTTGCATACGGTTCATAACTTTAGTGTCATAATAACTTAGAAATGCTTTGTGATCACTCAAATGTGTGTTAGTAGCTCCTATATATGATTGTTTTTATTATTTTGATGCACTCTTGGTAGTGTTTCGTGTGTTTACCCGCCGAAGTATCATAGTGGGCCACCTAGGAATAATGGAGACATCAAATCCCAGTTGCTGGAATTCAGAAATGGAGATTTGGGTGAAGCCTAGAAATCGCACAGAATTCAGGAGGCACGAGTCAAAATTGGCTGCCTAGGTGTCGATTTTGGAGTCTCATATTCAAAAGAATATGACATACTTGGAGGCTAAACTAGAGATAAAACTAAGGCCCTGTTTACTTTCATTTCTGTTTCCTGTTTTTGAGAAAACAGATGTTGAAAACAGGCGAAAACGACATTTTTTCGTTTTTGAAAACAGTAGGAAGCTGCCACTTTCTGTTTTCAGAGTTGGAAACGAATAGAAAACAGAATAAAAAGTAAACATGTTTTCTCGTTTCGTTTGCCAAATTTATGACATGAAAACAGAAAACAGAAAACGAAAATGAAAGTGAACAGGGCCTAAAGGATTTTGTTAAATGGGTTTCTACTCAACTTTCTCTCATAGAAAACCATATAGAAGAGCCTATAAATTTAATCTTTGGGCAGTAGTCAAAAATCAAGTCTTGCAGGGAGGTTACTTTATCGACATAGGAACTCTCCAAACCCAGAAACTTGCAAAAACTCAATGACATATTGACGACAGAATTGTCACCTTTTCCTTCTAGCTTCCGATTTTCAGGCCGATTTGGGAGTCTCGTCTTGACTGGTGTTCTCCAACGCTTATGTTCCATGAGCATCGAGTTTGTTATTTGTGTACGTTTTCAAACCGTAGAGGTGCTTTAGACTTTGTAACTATTGATTGGTAATATGTGTATTTGAGTTCCTTCTTTTATGTGTTTGATCTCTTAGTTTGATTTATATTCAATGTGACTGCATGCTAAAGCAAAGTTGTTATCTCATAATATATATAGTTCGAAATATGACTCTGTGTTGGATGTGACCGGACACGGTCGTCCTTCACAATCGATCATCAATCAATTGGATTGCATGAAACCTCAAGGGAGGAATCGATCTGTATGGTCCTTTTAGCCTACTAGATATGGTAAACACCAAGATACAATGTAGGAATAAAATCTTGCAAAAATCAAACATTTCATATCCTGCCAATATCACTCGAAGCAAGTCTAAGGGAACTCTAGGAGAGCATGTCTATGCAACGCCTTTCTCCTTCTATTCTTCTCGTCCAAAGTAGCTTAGTTCTTCCTTTTGTTTCCGTTTTCTTTTGTTCGAACCAAGGGGAACCAAACCTCGGAGACACCTCAACCTCCACTTTCGTTTTAAAGCTCCAAATAACAAGTCCTTTACAATCTAAATAAGTGGTCGTGAAAGACACGAGGAAATACTAACCTGGTCAGCAACCACATAAACCACATAAACTCTCAACATCATTGATTAATGTGTAATTAAGTAACCTCTTAACCACATAAACTTCCTCGAAATGGACTAATTTCTCCTTCATCATCAGAAACAACATACACCCTTTTGTGCTAGCATGATGAATGGTGGAGAAACTAAGTGGGATTAGAAGTGGCCACATGGGAATGACCAATCAACCCAAGGTCAAATGTTCCCTTTAGTACTAGATATATAACTTAGGTGAACTCAGGCTGCCATAAACCAGAAAGATCAAATTCTAGGAGTAACTTTCTGATCCCACTAGCAGCTGATTTGTTTGACGTTGATGGGTATGTGTAGGTACATCTCATTGGAAGAAGGAAAAAAAGAGAACCCAACTTTACATACCATTTTTGGAGAACAGCCAGTCGGGTGCTGCACTAGAAAGAGTGTTAAGTGTTGATATATCCAAATAGTGTAGTGGGAGTGGGGGCCTTCGATAATGTTGGGTTTGGTCATTTTTGTCACCCAAAAACTTGATTTTGATATGCGCATGGAACAGTAGCACTCACGGTGGAAAATGCTAGGATGCTTGCTTGTTATTACACTTATATTAAGAAGAAGCATGGAAAGAAAGTAAAAGGGGGAAATAATAGTTGAACGCTCAAATAAAACGATTGAGCGATTGGTCATAATCTTATTACTGTTGGAACATGATTCCACCGTTAGAAATGTTTTTTGCGTTGCAAGGAGACTCCACCATTAAAATAATCGAACGGTCGACTGATTGAACATTACCTTATCGGTATTGGAATATGATTCCACAACTAAAAAGGTTTCAATACTAACCAAATTTTTTGCTAATCTAACCTAAGTTAATGTAAACACAAACCTCTAAAAATAACCATCGTAGTCCCCCCTGCCCTTAGGGTTACCAGGATTGCCTGGACAACCTCAGCGTCATCACACCGAGCCATTTACCAACTGACTCAGTTCACCAATCCGAAGTTTAACCTGCCTACAACGTCACTGTAAGTGTCGACCACGGGTAAGGATTCTCTCTGTCAAGTGGATTAAACAAAGACATGGTGTGCAATATTTGCACAAAATATATGCGCATGCAAAGAGGGAAGTGTGTGTGTGTGGCGGCTAAAGGCAAGTTGTGTTGCGTGGGGCTGATAATTGATCTCCATGCCCAACAAGGATTGGTGAAGGCTCGGCCCCAAAGTGGTGGGACTCCCTTGTCCCTAGCGAGAAGCATTTCCATTCATAAAATAAGGCAAAGTTGGTCCCCTTCCATCAACAAAATATGTGCATGCCAAGTTAGGGCACACAATAGGATGAAGTGTAAGCTCCGGTGGGGTCCGGCCACGGTGGTTGTCGGACGACACCATCTTTCTAGAGCTAACCCTAGCTAGCTCTTGTTATGATCATGTATATATATATATATACACAACTATGATGGGTCCCAACCACTAGTGGGGTCTCCAATAAGGCTTGTAGGATCGAAGAGGAGTGTACTAAGTGTTGCCAAAAGAAATGTCCTCATCAACATCTTTTCTATCCTCCGCTTAAGAAAAAAAAAATTTGATGGGTATTGGTGTTCACGAATGACTCGTAAACAGATTAACAGTTTATAAATTAGCGATCTATATAACTTTTTATCAAAATGTATAGGGACTTACCATCGTCGTATTGACGAAGAAAATGAGATCGAGTTTTACTTAGTGTCATGGATGGGGAGTACAATGGCAGAGCATGCCGTCTTTAGTGGAGAATATGTGCAGAAAATTCATACATGGAGAGGAATTAATATGGATTCGTCCTTGGTTGAGTTTCTCTTCGTGATAGCATAGAAATCCTTAACTAATACATTGTACATGTAACTAAGCCACAATCGAGAAATGAAGAAATGTAATAAGTGGAAGGGCGCTGAAGTATGGATCATATATCACTTTCTTACACGTTCATTAAACGAAAGCCAACTTAATTATGAGTTTGAAATAAGCACATGTCCATATACTATGTGCTTAAATCAATGACTAACATTTGAAGTCGTGAAAACTTGAACTCCAAAACCCCGCTCCTCTAATAGCATGTCGATAACCAATCAGACTCAATAAATAGAATAAACCCTAGTATGCCACTAACCACTTCCTACACACACAAACATAATATGCATATGGGTAATTAGGATTTAGGAGGAGTGTAGTGGATATGGGTTGACCATTTCTTTTTGGTTCCCCCCTTTTCTTTCTCTCTTTTTCCTTATTGGCTTGGAAATGGCAACTAGATATGGAGGGTGTTGGGCTTCTTGCGTCGGATTATCCCTTGGAATGCATATGAAGGAAGGAATCGCATTTGGTTGGGTGTGGTGTCTGAGTTTGGTGAGTGCGCGTGCACCAAAGATATATATGTGGGAATGTGGTCATAATACTAATATGGTTACATAGCATGTAATTATAAGGGACACTATGCCACATCTACCAAAAAAACAAAAACATTGAAAGATACACATCCATTCTCCAATGGGGGGATTACTTCCATTGCTTCCTTGCTGAGTGAATCATTTGCCTTCCTTAAAACTGCAGAATTTTGATTCCAAAAACTCACCATCATTGCCCTTTCCCCACTCTTCCTTCTATTTATGTATTACCCCAACCCCAAGCCATCTTTTATCTTCTTCCTCATTACATGTTGTAGGTGTAGGTGTATCTTACTCTCGACCAAAAAACATGGTAGAGTAGAGTAGTACCACTAAGTAAAATCTATAGAACTTTTCGGAGATGGTAGTTCGCCGCGTCTAATCCAACCTTACTTGATCAATACGAAAAATAAAAACTCACATTTTGTCTGGGTATGGAGTATGTATAGGAAATAAGCTAATACAGTTTGGGCAAGGATGGAGATGGTACTAGGTATGGTATGTCCAGTTTAGGGAATGCGTCGACACAATATGTTTGTTTAGTTGCATCACCATTCCTATACTTGCTTCTTTCGCAAAACTATGTCATTTTAGAATCCTAAATCCATGTTACAGCAATAATTTCTTAATTACATATATGTTCTAACTTCTAAAATAGACGAACTGTAAAAAAAAATTGTTTGATGACACATGTCTAATATGCATAGGTTAACTTACAATCCACACCTACACAAGGCAATCCAGAGATCGATTTTGATTTAAGTGAATCGATACTACTATAGTCAAAAGCTCACAAGCAAACCTCGAGATTGAGAATGAAGAGTGCTAATCTAAGTTATATTTTTTTTTTTTTTGTGGCAAATGAACCATTGACATGGGTAACAATCTAAGAGGGTGATGAACCCATTTTCCATTTGATGATGGTGTGTAATTAGCCTTTATCTCAAACTCAAAAGTAGCACAAAGAATGAATTAATCAAGGGACACAATCAAAGATGGGGAAAAGAGTTTAACAACCCTGGCCTTTGTGTCTTTGATGAAGATGTCAATGCACTATTTGAAGTGGCAGAGAGATGCTATTAATCAATAATTAGGTGTCATTAAACAAACCTTAAGTAATGTGATTTCTCAGGGCATATGCAAATGATGAATAATGCTTCCTCCTTACATGAAATTGCATGGGGAATAAAAATGATGCCACTCACTCACTCTCCTGCCTCTCCTTCCATCTCTTTTGTTCTTCTTTTGATTCCACGTACCCATATCTTATTATCAATTATTTTTACAATGCCACGCCTGAAATCTCCCTTTTCAATAGGAATATTTTCTGAGCTCGATGAACCCAGGAGATTTGGGAACAATCGGGACAAAGGAGTTAAGCTCGATTTTGTAAGGTAAAAGATTTTGTTTAAGTTTTTCAATAATCCAAGTAATTGGAACTATCAACATGGTATTCGAGCTTTGAGTGATAGGTTTTGTTGAACCATTTTCACCAATTCCGAAATCAATAGATTTTTTATATGGTATTCTAACTTTTGATTGTGAGGTTTTGTATTCGATTTTTGATCATTCTCAAGGCTCATTAGTAATTTAAGCAGGCGATGGCCTTGCACAAATTTTCGAGCCATGTTTTTTTTAATTTTCTTTGACTAGACATGCAATGGGAATGATTTAAAATCTATTTTTAATCTCTCACAACAATTTAGGGGTCGTTTGGAAGTTGCGATTGTTAAATAGATGTATTGTTGAAAATGCATGTATAATATTATACATGTATTGTCGAATTTGATGCATAGAATACAACTTTGGTATGCGTGATTGTGTATGTCGCATCAGCTAAAAGCTGAGACAAAACAATCTCAACTCAACTATCTCAACAATCACAACTAAAAACTGAGATATAACAATCACTCAAAATGAGTGATAGTTTCTGTCACATCATAGAAACAATCCATGTATTGTTTCTGCTAAAAAAACAAAAAAAATTGATGCATTGTAAACAATACATGCATAATGACAATCTCAACAAAACAATCGCAACTTCCAAACGACCCTTAGATTCTTGACAAGTTTGGAAAATAATATAGAAGATGAAACTCTGTTTTTGTACATGTAAATCAAGTGAGGTTTGGTGCACCTACGCATTTGGACAAATCTATGCGTACTGTTGCTCATGTGGATAGAGTTTCTCTTACTTAAATGTGCTCAGATTGCCTCAGTTTGGTTAAATAGAAAGATGTGTATAGCAATGTTATGCGTAAATCACCCAAAAAGTGGGTTTCTAATATTATGCGACCCTCTCATCCATGATCATTCCATTAGAGTAAGCTTATCATATTTGAATTTCATTCATCTCGGATGATCAAACAAGAAGACAGATTGGATTGCAATATTCATCCGGGCGGATATCCACGGTTACGGATATTTTTATCATTCCTAATAAGACATATGATCTATCGAATTAAACTCCGCCAACATATCCCAAATTCAAGACGATCAATGCATGATGACACAACCTCACCACCTAATGAACAAATAACACGAAGAAGGGTCTTTTCCTTCAACATCTCAAAACACATTTTGCTAGTAGAAGCAATATTATAAGGGTTCTATCTTGTTGTTGGGTTTTAATTGTGTTTCCACAATTTTGTAAATGCCCCATTGCGGGAATTGGCAGTGAAAGTAACCCATAAACGGCAAAGTCCCTCTCTCATTGACGGGGAAGAACTAATTAGTTACCCTTATAGGCTTATACACATCGAAAGCAAAAGGAAAAGCCTTGGAGACGATCGAGAGGCTATATGATTACCACTACTACCACCATTCCCCCACACTCTACTGTTGTAATGGAGAAGCTTGTCGCTTCACGACCTGCCAACTTGCCATTTCTTCATTCGCTATCTCGAATGTCGACCTCGCTCGATTCACAGCCAATTGAAACTCTGGCCCTCCCCCTTCTTTGATGGAAACAATCAATGGTTAGTTCCAACACATGATCGGCAAGAGGAATGAGGGGGAACATCCATATGCAGACCTAATTATTCACTGGATTAGACTGGACAAAGAATGCCCAAGTATGGAATTTTTGTCGGAGCTTGTAATGTGATCCCCAAACTGGTGGAAAGTTCAATTTCTGTATGCCAGTAATGGGTTTTCTAGGTCGATTAGAAAGTTCAAGTTCTATATACCAAGACAGTTCATCGAAATATGAGATTGCATACCAATAATGTTTACCTTCCCTTCAAGAATCAAGATGGCAGGGGAAAAAACAGAGCAAGCGAGCCAAACAGAGTACTCTTGTGAAGTAGTGACCAGAAACCACAAATTGGGGTGCGGCAGAGACAAAAGAAAATGGAAGGTATGCGCGTGGGCATAAAATCCGTTTCCCCCCCTGTTCCTGTCTGATCAAAGATTTGATTTCACTGTTCCAAACTTACACTCCAAGATCGAAAAGAAAAGCAAGAAAGAAAAAAAAAACAGAGCAAACAGACATGAGTATATAAGAGAGAAATCATCATCCTACTTTCACTTCATTATGCCTGCAATCATGATTCTTGGTTCCCTCACCCGCATGCCCTCTCCCTTGCCTAACTCCTCCCTCCACTACCCACAACCCTCCCTCCTCAAATCTCTCTCCCTTTCTCCTCTCGTCACCTTCCTTCCTTCCCACCCACACACCACTATAAATTCCCACTCTCCCTCCCCATTTCTTCTCCCCGCCTCAAAGTTCCAATCTTTTCCCCTTCCTCCTCCAATCCCCCAAACACCCATCTCGAGATCGAATCTCTAATCAATGGCTGCCACTGGATTCGAAGGCTTCGAGAAGCGCCTGGAGCTTCGCTTCTATGGCGACGACCCTTTAGCAACCACAACTCAATACTCGTCGTCGCCATTGGGCCTCCGTCAAATTCTGGACTTCGATTCATTGGTCCAAGTCCTAAACGCGGTCCAATGCACCGTCGTTTCGGCCGTGGGGAATCGTTACTTCGACGCCTACGTTTTGTCCGAATCCAGCCTCTTCGTCTACCCGACCAAAATCATCATCAAGACCTGTGGGACCACTCAGCTGTTGAAATCCATCCGTCCGTTGATCCAGCTCGCCACCTCATCGCACGATCAGGATCTCTCCCTCTGCGCCCTCAGGTACACCCGCGGCAGCTTCATCTTCCCTGAATCCCAGCCCTCCCCGCACACCAGCTTCGCCGACGAGGTCGACTACATCAACCGCCACCTCCCGCCGTCTCTCCGCCGCCGGAAAGCCGCCGTCATGCCCTCCAACCTCACCTCCCACTCCTGGCACGTGTTCACCGCGACCACCGACCAGGCCCCCCACCTTATTGGGCCTGGGCTGGAGTCCTTCTACACGGTGGAAGTCTGCATGACGGAGCTGGATCGGGCCCAGGCCCGCAACTTCTTCCAGCCCCCAGGGAAAGGCCGAAACGGCGACGTAGCGGGGAAGGAAATGACGAAGCTGACCGGGATCAGCGAGATCAACCCCGGTTCGATCATCTGCGATTTCGGGTTCGACCCGTGCGGATACTCGATGAACGGGATCGACCAGGAGCGGTACTCGACCATCCACGTCACCCCCGAGGACGGGTACAGCTACGCCAGCTTCGAGTGCGTGGGGTCCGCCTTCGACGATGACGTGGACGACCTCGTGGAAGTGTTGAGGAAGGTGGTCCGGGTTTTTGGGCCTGGGGTTGTGTCCGTATCCACTACTGGAGCGACCCGCGAGGTTTGGGCCCAGTTGGGCCGAGCTATGGAAGGGATGAAGCGCCGGAGTTTTGCCGTGGACGAGTTCCCGGCTGCCGGGACCGTCGTGTTCCAAACGTTCACCGCCGGCCGCCGGAAGTAGTGGGGTGAATGGTGATTATGGGTTGTTGGGTAGATAATCAATTAATTAAAAATGTCAAAAAAAAAAGTGGGGGGGAAAAGGGAATATTTTCTTGTGGAGGGGGGAGGGAGTCAAAAAGAGAGGAAAAATTAGTGGGGGTTTAATGTTAATTAGTGGGGTGAATCATAATATTAAAAGTTAGTTTTAGACTTGTTGGAAGGATTGGGAAGATGCACGAAAAGGTGATGGGGATTAAGGGAGGGACATAATCACTCTATTAACGATCAAAATTTGTGGAGGGAGGGATTAAGGTTCATGATAATGCACCCCACTTAGGCTTTTGTTGTCACGCCTAGGGATTTTTTTGAAGGAACTCCCTTTGGTTTGGTAGTGCGGGAACTTGTTGCAAGAAGGAAAGGAACAAAAAGATGGAAAAGGAATTAAGTGGTCTTTGTTGTTTAAAGTTTTTTCACAAGGTGATGTGTAGCTTTCATTGTTGGTTTATCTTCTCTTTTCACTCCCTCCTTTTGTCTCATGGTATTACAACCATTTATTGAGTTTTACCACATTGATTGCCTTATAAGTAAATTCAACATCTTCTAAGTATGATCACAATCGTCATTATTCGTGAGTATCATCGCTTAATACTTTATACTAATGTAACTTCTAGATTCATTCATCATTCACAAAAACTGGGTCCGAATGCATACAAAGCCGCGAGAACCGAAAAACAGAGAAATCCAGATATTTCGGTCATCCTAATGCTTCCATAAAGTGTATGACTATATGAGTCATAAGTTGGTCGACTTGGTTTCTGGTCTCCAGATTGTTGTCACTACTGGTAAATTTCTTCACACCCAATGTCAATCTCCATAAAGCCGAGGGCTTTTCTGTTCAACTTGCATACAAATGTCTGACACTAATTTCAATAACATTATCGTCTGACAAATAAAATACGTATACACAACTTTATTCAACCGATTGTTTGACTGGTCGCGAACAAACCAATATAACTTTTTATGAGAGGGCATTCACATGATGTAAAGAGATACAAGCAAGTATGTCTGGTGGGATTATCTTTTAAGCTTTGAGGATGATTATCATTGGTTATTATACTTACGGGAAGCTATAGAGAGCCGGGAGATATGGTGAAATGGCGTGGAAGTCACCACAGCTCAACATGATGCAATCTAACAGCTAGCTATTTGATTTGGTTGCATATTTACACATAACAATCATCATCCTACGAAAAGGGAGTAGGGGAAGTGAGACTAATCTACTACACGTGACCATAATTGGGTTTAAAAGAGAGGACCAAAATTTGTTCCCTTTCCAACATTGTTCAATGTTGACATTTTTTGGGGTGTCACTTTACTTACCCACTTTGGCTAAGTGCACCAACTTTTATCATATTCTTGGAGCCTCACTTACCTTACCACACCCTTCATCATCGTGATGTCACTCCCTTTGAAGTCTCAAAGTAATGGTGGTAATGCATCCATCAACTTGTATTAACTCACTAATATAATATGGGTTAGAGTTCCCCTTTCATGACTTCATTGGAATCGATCAACCCTTTGTATAGTTTTTTGACAGAAAAGATTGTGTTGAATTGGATTGTTTGTACCTCTGAGGGTTTTTTTATCATGACTAATTACACGATCAACACATTTTCATAAGAACGAGAGTTTTCGATGTTTTATAGCTTTTTGGAACAAGTGAAGTTAAATTACTTGTACTGTTGCGAAGGTTTAGTGAGTGACCCAAAAGTACTCTTATGGCTATTTGATAGAGAAATGTTAGGACTTGACATTGTGGTTTTATGAATTTTGAAGAACCTCGTCAATGATAATGTAGGATAGAAATGTCTACTCCTATCGATATTTAGATCGTATTCACCCTGCAGGAGGTCTAGACCAATAATATAGTAAATATTGAGATTTGGAAGTGTCACTTGTTGTTGTGGTTGCATTGATTTTCCTGCACAATGCTATAAGAAAGCCTCCGAGAGTATTAGCGTAACCATTTAGATTTGTCATGCATGTAACCATTCATTTCTTTCCAAATATGTCATATGATAGAGATGGCTAACTTTGAGGTGAAAGTGCCCGAGTTTGCAAGCCCGATGTACATTACTTGAACATGAGAACATGAATTGATCTTGCACTCCCATTTGTCTATACATTTATACATGAAAAACATCTTTCATAATTTTCTTTAAAAAAAAAAATATAACAAGTAAATGTTCATGCCGTCAAACTTAAGGCCAGGCGTCATGGATTGGAGGTTAAATTCTTGGGCTCCAATCTATCCAATACTAATTGTCACCGGAAAGTCAAAATACTATTTGGACCTGGGCTTCAACAACATGTCAGCATTTTTATGCCCGCAAACTACCCACTTAATCTTAATCTGATTACTGGGCTGGGCTTACTTTCTGGGCTAGGATTCACTGGTCCAAGTCGACGAATTATCTAACTCCGGCCCAGTCAAGGCAGAACTAGGAAGACAGTATCAAACTAGATTTTGACATAGGTTCATGTTCTTTAGCGATTGAAGATTGTATCAAACTAGATTTTTGATTACTCAACATCCTTGGTGTATGATTTTCTTTAATGGCTTGACTAGGGCATGCATTGGCCGGCTTTCCAAAAATCGAACCGAATCGACATACAACGAGATAAATGACAAAAGGAGAAATACGGAGTATAGTTGAATTACAAAAAGTACTCATTCATAAAAAAATGTCATAAACTATTTGGTACCAATAACTAGAATAGTCATCTAAAGAAGGTTAATTATGAATGTTATATCACTTTCTTATAAATATCTTAAATGAAAATGGTTTCACGAGTTTGAAGTGTGTACATGCCCACTATATTTTGTGTTTTAATCAAGTGTTAATGTCAGGACCACTCAATCAAGCATGCTATAATATCAGTTTTTTTTTTTCAAAAATCAGTTGCTCCCAATAACACGAGTTGTAGTGAGAGGTTCAATAATTGATATTATACCAAGTACTAATACGCCCTCTCAAACAAAAGCCGTCCATATGGGCTTGAAATTTGTACAGACATCAGATCTCATGTGCTTACCAATGGGGGCTCCATTAAATTTGAACATAGATCTTTCTGATTTAAAAAAACTCTAATATCATGTCAAAAATCAATTAGTCTTATGCCACTCAGTTCAGTTTAGGAGTAGGGCTTGCTGCATCCTGCAAAAACATTCAGAGGAGAGGCTGCCCCTGCCCCTTTCCACAGTCCAACAAGCTTCGTGTTGTGTGTTCCCTCGGCCAAACTTTGGCTTTGCGTGGGGGATTCAACAATGTTTTGTTGCTTTCCCAAATTCAATGAACATGTATTCATTCAGTTCAGTTCAGTTCAGTTCAGTTCAGTCCATTATTAATGGCTGGCTGGCTGGCTGGTTGGCTGCTGCCTCTTTTTGGTCCTTGTATTTTATCAGTCACTTAGATATTCTCCACATGGGGCAATGGTGGTTCCTGGAAACGTCCGAAAACCCGACAAAGACAAGACCTTTCTTAACGCTAACAGAGAGAGAGAGCTCCTTCCTTTCCACCAAATGGCCTTCAGGCTTCATCTATCTATCTAACATTTTCCATATTCCACCAGAGTTGCTTTTGTCTTGAGAACGACTGATGTTGAAGGCTGCACTATTGTTTGTATTGGTCCTGTTTTGGCTTGGACGATCTTTCCTTCTCTTTTCCTCGTCATATTTGTTGGGGGAAAGGATTCACTTTTTTTAAAGTGGTAGCCCCACCATTGATGAGTTCTGTTTTCTATTTTTTCATTTGAGAGGAGGGTGAGGGAAATAAGGTGTTTGTTGTGAATTCGTTAGAACTCGAATATTAAATTATTAGGTCATTTAATGTCGAGATATTGTTGGGTTATAGGTTATTTATGAGTTCCTCCTTCGGATTATAACCATAATGATGTTATGTTGGATCGTTTGACATGCATATGTGAGATAGAATACAAGTGTTTCGGGTTATTGAAGGGTGAGACCGTCTGAATTCATCACTTGGCAATCAAAAGAATCTATCCATTGTTTTTTTTGGAATACATGTTCTCTCACTTCGATTTATGTGGGTCACACCATGAATTCATCATGCATGCCAAATTATGTATTCCGATGTTACATGAATTCTCACAATTTCACCTACAAAATACACGGTCTATGTTAGGTACCTGCAAAACCACCCATATAATTAGATAAATACCCAAAACGTTACAAGATTAAATTTGACATATACTTTGCAATTACATGAGATACCAAAAACCATAGATTTTATATCAAAATGAAACAAGAAGAAAAATGTAATATTTAGAAACCATGTATTTTTGCAATTACATGCATCATACTTAACATAGACCTACAAACATAAACACATGTAGTGTTGGTATGAAGACAATTTGACAAACAAGAGCTCAGAGCAAAGCAATAATCTTTTGTTTTCCTCTCCCTGATTTTCGCTTTTGCTGGATTTTCCCTTTTGATTGTGTGTTTTTGGCACTTGACAGAATCTTGTCTGAAACCCAAGATCTCACGTTTCCTTCTGATTTCTGAATCTTAATCCCACCAAAAGGAAAACAAAATCAAAACAGAAAGAGAAGACGATCGAAGTATCGAACTTTCCCCCTCCCATTCACAATACTTGCTGCTCTGCTCTGCTGATTGTGTTCCCTCCATTTCTCTTTTCCTCTTTTCACTTTCTTTTGCCCCTGTTTGGTTTCTGGGAAAATGGGTCGTTTCCCTGTGTACAAACGAAAGCCGCCCATGCGCGCATCGAATATTAATCTCCTTCTCTTCCCCCATTGCCGTCTCTTCTTCTTCTCCTCCTTCTTGTAAAAGCTGCTACTTCTCCAGCTGCTCCCTTCTCACTCTCCCCTTCTCCGCCGTTCATAACAGCAATTATCCGTTCCAAATTTCGCCTCTATCGAAATCTCTCCTCCCTTTAATCCCCCACCATTTGCGTCATCATCATCATATCCCTTTTCTGGCATTTTCCCTGTTGTTTTTTCCTTTCTTTATGCGATTCTTCAATTGCTATTTGTTCTCGAGCGCCCCCAAAATAGCAACATTGGTAATCAATCATCTTGTTTCGCGATTCTTCTCCCCCTCGTGATCAGAAGCCTGCAGAAAGTTCTCATCTTTTCTCCCTTCCTCTCTCTTAGGGTTTCTTTCCCCTCTCCTCCCCTGCTTTCCAAACCTCAATCCCCAAAATGCCGATTCCGGGCAAACCCAATTTGTGAAATCTCAAATCTTTTCATCTCCCCTTTTTCCTTCCGGTCATTCTGCTTCTAGGGTTTGCTTTACATTTTAGTTCTGATCTCACCTTGGTTTCCAATCCGAGAACTAAAATCTGCAATCTTTCGTAGATGGGTTTTTCCGGCAGCGGCGGTTGCTTCTAAATTGGAATCTAAAATGGGTTGTGTCCACGGGAGGTGCTGCAGCCGTTACCCGACGTCGTCGGACGGCGATTCCAAGGACTACCGTCAAATAGGCGCCGGGAAAAGCAAACACTTACTCACTCAGAGGTCCCTGGAAACCATCGCAATTCCTTCACGGAACTTCAAGTTACTGTACTCTGTTTTAACTCAGAGAGGCTACTACCCTGACCAGCCAGACAAGGAGAACGAAGATAGCTTCGTGATCAAGACACAGCTCCAAGGTAATCCCGACATTCATTTCTTCGGCGTGTTCGACGGCCACGGCCAATTCGGCGCACAATGCTCCAATTTCGTGAAGAACAGGTTAGTGGAGATACTAGCAAATGACCCAACCCTCTCCGACGACCCTATAACGGCTTACAATTCGGCTTTCTCGGCCACCAACTCCGAGCTTCACGACAGTGAGATCGACGACACGATGAGTGGCACCACGGCGATCACAGTACTCATTGTTGGGGACACGTTATACGTAGCGAATGTGGGCGATTCGAGGGCGGTGATGGCTGTCAAGAGGAGAAATAGGATTGTTGCAGAGGATTTGTCTAGTGATCAGACGCCGTTTAGAAAAGACGAGTACGAGAGGGTGAAGAAATGTGGGGCGAGAGTGTTGAGTGTGGATCAAGTGGAAGGCCTTAAGGATCCCAATGTGCAGTCGTGGGGGGATGAAGAGAGCGATGGTGGCGATCCTCCAAGGTTGTGGGTGCAGGATGGGATGTATCCTGGTACTGCGTTTACTAGGAGTGTTGGGGATAGTACTGCTGAGAAGATTGGGGTTATTGCTGAACCCGAGGTGTCTGTGGTTCAGCTTACGCATGATCATGTGTTCTTCGTTGTGGCCAGTGACGGTGTGTTTGAGTTTCTTTCCAGCCAAGTTGTCGTTGATATGGTAATTATCTCAACCTTCGTTCACTGAAAGTTGGTGGCACATTAGTTGTGAATGAATGTAGATGGAGGGATATGTAGATTGAAGGTTTTAGTTTTTGCCTGTGTAACTTGTGATAACAGATTCATGATCCATCTGTTGATATAGGCTGCAAGATATGGAGATCCTCGGGATGCATGTTCTGCAATTGCGGGAGAATCATACAAACTTTGGCTGGAAAATGAGAATCGTACGGATGATATTACCATCTTAATTGTCCATATTAAAGACTTGATTAACGTACGCAAGCTTTCCCTGCTCCCAACTACTTGATGTTGCAATCTTAATGGCGTTACTTTCAGATTCTGACTATTGATGTTGATTTTTGTTTATATAGTCAGGAATGGATGGAACAGCTGTGGCCAATAAAAGTGTAGCGAGTCCAAGGCAAGTCAAGGGATCTGCAGATGTTTCAATGCATACAGAGTCAGAAATGTACCAATCGATAAGAACTGATGTCTCGGACACGCAAGGTCCGGCTAACCGAAGCCAAGTTGTTGTTCCAGATCAACATCGGCGACCCTTTGAACTGGTTGGTAAACTGTCTTGAGCTTCATTCTTTTGCACACTCTGGTTGCACACTCTGGCATTGACATGAAATGAGAGTTTCGGCACCATCTATGAGAAAGGAGTAACATTCCTACGTTGCCCCTCTTTTGCAAGTGTTGAGAGTTCGATTGGTTTTTGTTTTGGCTTGCAACAGGATGGAGGTTAGCAGTCTTATGTGAAGAGTATACGACCTCGAAAGGGCTCTTGTTGTTATCTGTATGGTGCTAGATTAGTCCCTCAGAGGATTCCCATATTCCAGGATCTCTTCCTCACTAATGCTGACAACATACTGCTACTAAGTGCTAACCACAGCAGCATTTGGATAATATGAAGGAGAGAGGGGTAAATGATAACCTTGGAGCAGCAGCAAAGCAGCAGCAACTATGTAATACAACCCTCTTTGAGTGCTGTGAAATGATAATATTCGAATGACGATGTTCAACAGTAGGCATCTTGTTTCAAAGCTCAACTTGTGAAAATGTCATCCCTGGTTAGAATTCAGTGTAATTCACATGTGATCCAATGTTGTATCGTGCAACTCTTGCAGTATAACGCCCCATTTTGATTGATCCATGATGCTGGAAAAATTTGCATAACAACTCTAGAATAATGCCTTCTCGTCTGTTTCAATAATTGATTCAGTGATTTCTTGTTTCCGATTCGATTTAACTGATTGAATCCCACCACTTGGGTCTGTATAAAGAAGATGTTTGTAGACACGGAAGCTTCTCCATTTCATTACAGTAACAGTATCTTCCGCTTCAACAGAAAGGCGTAACGAAGCTTTGGCAAAATTAACACTAGGAAAAGCAAAGTTGTATCAACACTCGGAATTCAGAAGCAGGGCAATAGCCGTCACTGAACTTTTCTTTTATGACATACTTCTTTACCAAACATGATACAGTGAATACAACACAAGCTACAGTATGTACAATCCATCCTCAATCCAAATTGAATTGGCTCGTATACATGGAAGACAGAACTTTCCTCCCCAACTCATCAAAAGTAAATTGAAAGCTTCTCCTCTATGGAGTTCTGCACAATGTTACACTGCTCCAACAACCTGCTTAATTTATCAGCCTCCTTTGTGGTGGGTTTGCTGGAAAATGGCGATTTAACCTCAGCACGTCTTTCTTCATCTCCTGCGACACCATGACTCACAATTGGTGGAGAAGCTTGCTCACCGTTTCTAATCTGGAGAGTAGTGTCAACAGTTGCAGGCACATTTGGTGTTGATACTTGAATAGAAGTGACCAGCTTAGGCTGAACCCTCGGCAGCACCAGAGGAAAGCAACCAACATGGATGATTTGATCCAAGGACGGTTGGCTTACATAAGGTGAAGAAATGCTTCCTTGCTCATCAAGCACCAATGATTCCAAGTCCACAATGTGAGACCTTAATACATAAGCCTCGGACGATAACTTATTGAGCTGCCAATTGAAAACCCTTCGAAAGGCCTTCACCCAATTCACAACAATATGGTAACTCGAGCAGTCCCTGAACTCCAAGCGAGCACTTCTCTGTAAGACAACATGTGCCTCCCTGGCCGCCAATGAAAATCCCATCATCCCACTCGACTCAGTAAGGTATCTGATCAAGCGATTCTCCACTTCTGTACTGAGCTTCTCAAGCTCATCACCCATGTTTGCCGTGCCTTCATCTAACCATGATATATCATCAGCAAATCCAGGAAGCTTACAACTTAGTAAAGCAGAAATAAGTGGTTCGGTTTTCGAAGGCGAACTCCACCCTATGCTTGGCAGGTACGACTCAATCAACATGATTTCGCTTTCCTCGAGCATAACTAACTCAGGGCAAGGGTAACCGGTCGGGTTAGCTCTGGCCGCAGTAAGAATTTCCTCTACAGACCAATCCAAAGCTTCGTTGAATGCTGATATACATCTGTTTGGTCCAACTTCAAGGTCGTTCATTTTCTCGAGTGCATCTAGAGACGGCTTCAACCGTGCGAGAACCAATTCTGGCAGTCTTATAGACTGAACATCTGGTTGTTGGGGTGATTCACTAGCCAACCATCTTAGTCCTTCCCTCACTCTGCTGTCGCTGAAAAATCCATTGGCATCGTCTCCAACAAGGAACACAATGGAGAAACTTCTTATTCTTGATTTGTCGATGCTATTCAGGCCAAGTTCATGAGCTATTGTGGACAAAGGGTCTGGAACTGTTTTATCCCGTTTGCCACAGAATACCACTAGAGGCAATGAAGAACTTGGATGTATAGCCGAGAGAAGGTTATGGAGTGTGATTCTCTGAGAATTCATTGGGATGATTTCTGATACGACGAAAACCACAGCACTTGCGCCAGCAGCTGCCTCATCCGGAGTACAAAAACTGGAATTTCTGACGACCGACAAGCAGCACACCTCGCTAGAAACAGACTTTCTCCATATTGAAAGGCCTGGAGAAGAAGTTAGCAATTCGTCCTTGTTATCTGTATCATTTGGTCTGTTTGGGATGAGCTTTGAACATAACCAAGGGCCTGCTGCTGCATGCATGCTGCGACCCGGTTGGTCATCTTCCTGCGACTGAGAACATAATACAAGCTTCCAACAGAGATATTTGGGGTCTGGATCTCTTGAGCTGGCTTCACCTGCGAAGATTTCTGAAGGATTTAATCGATACCAAGAATGCTCATACATTCTATATCTCTCCTTCATGACATAGTCAATGTCAAACTCGAGAATGTTGCTCGGTTGCTGCACGAGAACAAGAAGAAAGAGTCGCATTAAGTCATCTAGAGATAGCTGCTTACAGAGAAAAGGGGCATTAAGTTGATAGCATTCTTCTTCTTTTTTTGGGTAGAAGCTAGCCTGACAACGTTCCTCGTCTAAGGCAAGTCTTTCAACTTCAATATAAGCCCCTTAAAATTTTAACTTAACAGCTGGAACAAACTCTTCATAATCTAACTTCTTATAAACACTATTCATCCTAAATTCACAAAGAATGAAAAACAAATAGTCGCCTCCCTAAAAAAAACTCTGTTCTCCACAGAAACTTTGTTCCTTTAAATAAGAATATATCCTTAAATTATACCTCATTTCCTAAAGCCGCTAATTTCTTTGTTATTATACTTACTCACAATCTTACCTGACCAAACACCCTTTTTCACTTTTACTAAAAATTAAACACAAGTCGCTTCACAAAACTAGAACACACAGACGGTGATAGCTTAATAAAAGCAAATTAAAAGACAATGATTTGATCATTCTGTAGCCCAGGGATCCTCGATTAAGTATTAACACTCTATAAAGTGAAACACTTACTTCTTGGATCCTTCGAATCAGTGGTCCGAGCGATAATGAACTCATTGCAGCATTTGCAGCCATCTGTCTTTGACGGCGTAGCTCCTTGTGTCTTGAAACACGCCGCTTCCATAACCTGAAAGTGAACAGAAGTCAAGTGAATAATACAATAGGACAATCAATGAAACTTTGCACCAAAAGGAACTGAGAAGTAATAACCAACCTTACGAACAACTTGAGCTTCGCTCGAGCTACTTCTTCATCTTCGTGATTCTCCACCGACTCATCATCCTCATCTTCTTGATTGACATCAGGGGTTCCTTCATCTTGAAATAAATTGCCCACCACAATCTGATGGGTCACAAACTCCCTCGGCATAACCTTTTCACCGCTAAGAGGGCTTTCTTTCATCGGCACTCCAAGCACAGGTTGTGGCAGCATGCCCTCAGTTTTAGTGATTGGGAAAGGAGAATCATTGGTGCTTTTCTCCAGTACTCCAACTTTGGCTGGCTGAGACTTCGGAGAACTAGAAGCTGAAAGAAAGTTCCATGGTGCAATATTTACACTTGCTGCCACATGATTATTGTTGTTTGTCTCCATTCGATCAATTTCAGATCTACTGGTAGTACGCTGTTTTTGCATGCCAAACTTTGGCGATGGCACAACCTGAGAATCAGGCATTTCAGTATTTATTGCACTGATGGATCTCTTCTTATCAACCAAAGCAGGAGTGGCTTTCACGGTAAAGATGCGACTTGGATTCTTCTTATCAATAGAAGGAGCTTGGATTTTTCTTGCTGCTTCAGCAAGCAAAGGTGTGACTTGAGAAGATGGCAAAATATCTTTGCCGATAGTATTTGACTTTTTTAGATGAACGAGTCTGGAACGCTTCGTTGGGAAGTCCTTATCGCTATTGAGAAATGGTCCTTCCTTCACCATATACGGCTCTTCAAAATCCTTTATTGAGAACCCATAATATGCTAATAAGGTTTCAACGTCTTCTTCCTGAGATTTGAGGCACCACAAGGCACTAGTATAAGACAAGCTAACTTATCCTCCAATTTTACGAAGTCAATAAATAAGCAGTGTTAAAGTGTAAGGGGGAACCTCCATAGCAAGCCACTTAGCAACTTGAGAAACAGGGACTCCTTGGTTGGTTTGGAGACCAGAGTATAACGAAGCAAGTGCATGGGTTCGTAGCTGAAAATAAAGCATGAATAGTTATTAATTTCATACAGTAGTGACATTATACTCTTTATTATGTTCGTATTTGCTTGAGAATTTTGTGCAAGAAAAACTTGCTTATACGGTTATACCTTAGCGAAGTGAGCATGCATTAAACATGCTTGAAGGTAAGTCGCCTTTTTTCCAAGCCTAAAGAATGCAATGAAGTTGCCTGTTCTGCAAGCTCTGAAGAAAAGGAGAAAAGTGTAAGTGAGTAAAAGAAAGTACTACAAGCTAATTATAATTTCATAAAAAGGAAGTAACTACATACCTTGCAACATCACGAGCAAAAAGCACTTCAGGGGTTTGCCTTATCTCAGGAGTCATCTTCGCCAGATCTAATGACAGCTCTGAAGGTTCAACCTACAGAACATCGATTAGACAACACAACAAAAGAAGGGAAAGAGAGAGAGAAAGAGGGGTGGGAGTTTTATAGAAACTAAAGGAACTAATGAAGGTAACTTACTTTGTATCCAGGATGCTTGTCCAGTTTGAGAAGAGCATAATAGCCACGGAATTCTTTTTCTGACGGAACATTTATGCCTTTCTTCCTGTGATCGTCATACATTTGAAATAGTTCGACGGATGTTTTGTTCATCTGTTCAATATTTAGATGTGCATCGAATCCCTCTGAAAAGCCTTCTCCGTTTGTATATTCACACAGCTCATGCATCGCAATTATATGAAGTCTTATCTGAAATACACATCCAAAAAGCAAAAGGGTTAACCTGGAGAAGAATTATAAATACTTTATTGTGCTTAATCTTCGGAAGAATCAACAATGACCTGGTTTGTTCCATCTACACAATATCATCATCAATATAATACCTACTCAAATGCCATGGCATGAGAAGGTCAAGCAGACATCATATAGATAAAAACATCAATTTTTAAACAAGGTTATTGTGTTCCAAAATTATCAGGACAAGTACCTAACTAGAGCTATTACTGAAGGCAACATTGCCAACTGTAACAAGGGAGCCAATATTCTTAAAGAGACTAATATAGTTGTGCGTATGTAACTAAAGAGACTAATATATTAATGTGAAACAGAAGTCAGATCAAAGATGATATATTTGCTTCTGAGATATAAGAACATCTTTTCGAGCCACTGGCAACACATAGTAAGACCTCCAAACAACAAATGTATCCAAATGAATTAACTGATAAACTGGTATGAACACTGTAAACAGGAAGAAGTGATAATGGTATCATCTCATATGGACCTCGTAAATACTTAATGGATTCAACTTATAGGAACTGTAATCATAGATAAAAAGAATACCATTTGCTCCAACATAGTAATAGCTTCCAAATTGAAAATGTGCTGCATTCTCAGGTCCATCCGGATTGCTCTCATCCTGTCCCACAGAAAATTGTACCTTCCAAGGAAGTTGCCATCATATGGCTGATCCAGTAAGCTAAGTAGGTAATCAATGGTCTTTTTAAGGACAGGCATTGGACGTATAAGATATGCTTCCCTCTCTGCTGTCCTAGTGTACTGTTTGACAAAAAAATAAACGAAATGCATTGTCTAGTCAGGAAAAGAGCAAGAAAGGGTCCATCAAAAACATAATTTGTAGGTGAAAAAATGCATCAAATATACCTTTTTAACTGCAAGCAAACGGTTTGTTTGATTTCTATCCCCATCCAAACGTTCATACTGATCAAGATCCCCTTTCCTTTCTCGCTCGCCCCTTTCAGATTCTGCAATCAAGTATCAATATCAGATAATATTTATCCAATCTTCTCAGAAACCAATTACTTATCAGTATCGAATTCGAAGGGTCAGAGGCATTTACAACATGGTTTACTATACCCAAAGCTTCTTGCTATAACCAAAAGATCAGAACATTGGTGTCACAATTTTATGTCTTAAGCCGCAAATAACTAACTCTTAGTTGAAAAGAAGCTTACCAGGGCACATATCAGGACACACACCAACAATAAGTCTTGATGTTCCCAAACCCTCAAAATCCGAGACATTAGTGTCATTGGTGTGGTCTTCTGTCGAATGATTCACAGGAACATTTTGTCTTTGCTTGGATTGCTCACGTCCACCGACAGGAATATCTCGGTCCCCAATATCCGAGACATTTTCAATTTCTTCACTTAATTCTTCCTTGAAGCGGGCTAAACGCTTTGCCTTGGCTTGTATCTCTCTGCATATCAAGTAGAAATTCACCATCATTGAATTGAAAAGAAAGCCACAATTATTCCGTTGAATAATTATGTAAGGCTTTACCGTTCAGTATCATCAATGGTCGAAAAGGAGCTTCCTGGGAGAACCTTGCGAGAACCAAATTCTGGCGACCTTGTTCTCTTTGAAACCAAGGCACTGGTATTTCTAGTGGGACTAGATTCCGCAGTTGTGTTCTTGAAAGATGGCAGCACTCTTTGTGGAATTTGAGAGTCCGCGTTATTGTAAATAGGATCTGATTGAGTATTCAATCCAATTGGAGAGAAAGGTCTGCAAAAGGAAGGATAAAAAGCAATTGTCAAAATGCAGAAAGGCTGAGAAATACACCCATTCACTAGTCAATTGTAATAATCTTGAAGCATACAATCCTTCATACTCCGTTAAAATAGGTCACTAGCAAATACTTCTCTCGAAAGACCTCGCAAATAGAAAACATTTTACCATATTCCTGCTTTTCGATGGTTATTCAGCGCACTTATAAAATATGACCGCCACCAAAGTTTGTGTTTGTTTGATAAATAATAAGTTTTATTATAATACTTTAACCAATAAAGAATACAGCATGCATGAGTCATGAGGTGCAGCTCTACGGTAGGCGGTGGGGAAAATTAAGGGGAGACCTATACATCTGTCTCTTTACTAAATCAGGACCCTAAAAGAATGTAAGGTGTTGTTGTGCAAAATCTCATTACTGAAATAAAACAAAGCCACATCAGACAGCCTTCCTAATCATGACAATTCCTATCCACGCTTGTGAGACTTTCATAGAACAAGGATGTCTCTTTAATAAATAAGGAACCAAAATTCTGTTCATGTATTCGAGGACTACCTTTTAGCTTCATTTTTTACGAAAGGTGCATTTCCTTGAAAACTTCCGTTAGCAGTAGGTGATTTACTTCGCTTCTGGAGATGGCCGTTTGCAACTTCATTCACTTGACCTTGATGATTTGATAAGTTTGGAAATGATCCTGGCACCCTGGAATTATTATCTTCCCATGCAGGTGGAGAATAAGCCGCCCTGCAAAAAGAATTAAAACCGAAAGAATTTACAATTGGCACAAAGTGAAGAAAGATAAGATGACATTATATGTTCCATCCTGAACAGTAAGACAAAACGTGAGCAGATAAGTTTGTTTACCTTTGAGGGAAACCTAAACTCAAATTCTGCGAACCGACTTCATCAGTAGAATGAGCAGATGACCTAGTCCTTTTCTGGTCTTGTAATCCAATAACCTTAGCTGCCACCACACCTCCAGAATTACGAGTAGCAACAAGAGATTTGACAGCATAAGGTGCAGGATCCTTCTGACCATCACCATCCAAGATAGATTGGTTTCCATTACCCCATCCAGGAGGGGATTCGACAAGCCTAGGGGAAATACGTAGCACACCAATGGGGTAACTGGTAAGAACCCTTATTTCGGTAAGCGTCCGCAGAGCACACACTTGTATCTAGCTTTCCAGTACGAAGTCTAAACATCATGGGTGGTGGACATGCATGCACTTACAGCCAACTAAACAGATAGATTATGCAGGATTACATGCTCCATCCTAAACAGAAAGACAAACACTAAGCAGAGAAGTTTACCTTTGCGAGAAACCTAAACTCGAATTTTGGGAACCAACTTCATCAGTAGAATAAGGTGATCTACTTCTTTTGTGTTCTTGTAATCCAGTGACCTTAGCTGCCACCACAGTTCCAGAATTACGAGTAGCAACAAGAGATTTGACAGCATAAGGCGCGGGATCTTTCTGACCATCACCGTTCAAGAAAGATCGGTTTCCATTTTCCCATCTAGGAGGAGATTCGACAGGCCTAGGAGAAAAATGTAACACACCAATGTGGTAACTGGTAAGACACTCATCACTCATCAGAGCTACAGACACAGAGCCATTACTTGAGCTAAGCTTCCCCCATCCACAAACTCTAAAACAGCATGGGCAGCATAATACATATGTACTTACAGTTAACCTAAATGAAAACAAGCTGGATCCATCTTTCCAAGAGAAACAGAACGGTCGAGCACGAAAGACAGTACATCACTCACATTCGAGGCCTAGTTGTTAAGGAAGGATAGCTTGCAGGAGACTGAGAGACGCCAGATCTCCATGTGAAAGACTGTGGTCTTTGTGATTCAGACATACTATCATAGAAACAAAAGCAAACCATAAGTTGGGACTTCCATAGACCATCCTGGTTTCAAATCACAACCAAGCATGCACAGATATGCGATTGTACTTTGGCATTCTAGCTGATGGATAATGACTTCCCATAAATCGAGGAGTTCCGTAACCCAATGGTGGGAACTGTGCGCTGTCCATTGGAGGAGGGCCCCTGAGATGGTAACTGAACATCATGAGCACAGTTTGATCCATGGCAATGCATTAATCCCTATTTTATCCACAGAACAGCAATTTCTGCTCTAACCAATTATGACAAGCTACCTTCTGAGCCAACCAGGTAACTTCCCATATGAGCTGGCCAAGCCTAATTTGAGCTCAAGAGTTTTTTCCAGTAAACTAACCATTCTTAAAACTAAACTAACATTCAGACAATGCCAATTCCAAATTGAAGTCTGAAACAGCTGAGGCACCCAATAAGCAAGTACTCAATAGTCCCTTATGAGAACCCTAAACCCAAAGAACACCGTAATCCTAAGGGTTCCATTTACACACAACCAATCAAAACTTCTTGAAGAACTACAAGAAGGGGAAAAATATACCATGGAGATCGTGGAGGGCCAGGTTGAGTTATAGGCGGTGCCTGAGATGCCGCCGGAGCACCGAATGGTAAAACTTTGTTACCTCGGCCTGTGGGCCCCGCGTCCTTCCCAAACGCGAACGCCATACTTCTTCTTCTTCTCCTCCTCCTTCGCCTTTTCTTGTTTCAGCTCTATATATTAATGGCGGGCGCCCAGAAACGAAGAAGAGCGGGGAAACTGAAAACCCCAGCGACGAAAGCTGCTTCCTTTCTGATCCAAAGCTTGGGGCTTTTCAGCATCAGACGCGCTTCTTAGTCCATAAATCTTTTCTGTCCATCAGGGTTTTTTTGAATGAACTGGTGCCCCCAGAGATCCGAACCAGTGCTTAATTTAAGAGAAGGGGGGAAAAGATTGGCCGGAAAATCCCCCCGCCGGCTTTGAGACGGTGGGAGAAACAATGACTCGGCCGTTTGTATAACGACGACGCTTTAGTCTTAGTTTGGCCTATCCTTAACCCTTCCGGATTTGGTCTTTTTTTGGGCCTGAAATTAAGACATTTCCTGTCTTTGGGCCGAATTAGTGGGCCTGAATAGCAGCGCTTCGTTTATCGGGCCCACAAAAAAGTCCATTGGACTTAGTAATAGAGCATATCAGTTTTGTTCCCACCGACGGAGAAAGAGCCACCGAAACCGGCAGAGCCATGGGGAACTCGCAAGACAAGGAACAGAAGAAGGAAGAATCCTCACCGCCGCCTCCGCCGCTTCACCGGGATGACGCCGACGAGGAAGACGAGACCGTGAAGCAGCTCGGAGACTGCTCCTCCGTCTACCTCTCCCTGCAGGTTAACGTGTTGCTCAAACGGCCCATCCACTCGATTCCATTCTCACGCTAACCCTAAAACCCAATTTACTGTTTTGGGAGATTGCAGGAATGTCTAGTGAATACAGACAGGAACTGGAAAGCTTGCCAAAAGGGTAATGCGAGTTTTTCTTGTATAGTACGATTTTTTTTATTGGACTGTAGTTGTGTTTGTAAAAGTAATCCTTTTTGTAGTTGCCGACCACCTGTTTGTTTAAATGCTCCACAGAGGTCCAAGCTTTGAAGGCCTGCAGTGAGAAGAGGAAAGAGCAGAACCAAGGGAAATGAAGTTCTTCACCTTGCTGCATTTTATTGGAAAACCAAGTTTCTCTATGTTTTGCTAATTGCCATCACGAATACTATTGCTCAAATCAAATCCCCATTTTCGGGTTTTAGTCTTGTAATTCTGTGATGGTTAGAATTGAGACAAAAACATGTCAAGAATGAGGCAAAGATATGACGAGATCATGCTCACGTCGAGCTCGATCGAGCGATTCATGTAAACTTACCACCTCTGCATAATACTGAAACAAGGGGGGTCTGTTCCATTCATTCATAATAAGAACACAAGTCATGTTTCAGACACGGAGCTTACAGTAGCGTACTTCCCAGTGTTAGCCACTGCCCACTGGGAAGGAGATTTTCTCCCCCAAGATGGGATTGCAAATGTGGGCATAATCCCAGTCTTCTTCATTCTTTTGGGAGAGACAGATTAACCATGGCAAGATCCTACCACCGAGAACTCAAACGTCTGGTAAGTTTACACCACGATAGAATAGACCTCCATTCTCTCTAGTCTCTACCCACCTCGAAGCCAATAACGTCACGAGCAGCTTGTTCCTGAACCGTTGCTAACTGGAGTCTAATTGTTAGGTCGCTAACTATAGAGACTCCGCATCAAGATGCCAACGGTTGGGGATCTTGAAAGCTGGAGTTTGATCAACCTGGGATCGGAGATTAACTGAAGCCATCTTTTGCAGACGCATCTGCAGAAGGAGATGTTTTGCAGACGCATCTGCAGGACACAAAACAAATGAAGAAGGCCATTTACTAGCTTCCGCCATAAGACATTAACGGGTCGTTTTGGTGATGGATTTCGTCAGGGAAATCTATCCATCATGGACTTTAACGGAAATCCATTGTTTGCCTTATGGAATTAGGGAGATGGAATCTGTGGGTCTCGCCTCTTTTGGGGTTCCAAATCCGTTGAGCCCACGGACTTGGAAGTTTCACCTCTTGAGGTGGGATTTGGGTGATGGATTAAAATCATGGTAAAGGAAACCGTACCGGACATCATACCGGATTCCTTTCTGGTTTGGTATTTTGTGGTACGACCGTGGTTCAACCGTTTTGTACTGGTAAATATCGTTTTTCACTATTGATAGAGAAATGAAATGCGATAGTATAAAAAATATAATCCATCAAAAAAAGAACCAAATAGAGCACCCATTTTCAACATAGAAAAATAGCAAAATAATATTCTTTTTAATTATTTTCCACATATTGGACGAGAATACGGAGAAATGAAGCTGAATCATAGACCAGAAAACCGGATCATACCGGCCGGTTCAACCGGTTCAACCGGTCAAACCGAAAAAACCGGCCGGCACGGTAAAATCAGCACAATCAGCCCACCGTACCGCTTTTGGTCCAATTTCCGGTTGAACCGGCCGGTACGATCCGGTTTCCTGGTCTATGATTAAAATGCATGATGGTAAGTTACCTTTCTATCCTTACTTATTACTTTAATTACAAAGTTGTCCTACTTTAATTCAATGGTCATGCAACTATAAACTTTTATAATATCGTATTTTATATATATGAGAATTTATCATTTCGTTTTGTAATATCGGAGTTTATTTAAATATGAATGTATAGGTGATTTGTTAGATTCAACTATAAACATTTTATGCTCATCTTGTGCATTATTATTTGATTGATTGTCGGATTCCAAATTCGGGGAGTTAGCAAGAAGACGATGAGTTGTAGCAATAAAGCGAGCAATTGGTTGTAATTGATACATAATATTGCGTACATTATTAGATGAGCTGTTAATTAGTGCCAAATTGTAATACATTTCTATATTTATAGTTGAATTATTAGTCCACATAGTGGTAAAGCGTTCAAAATTTCATTGTATGCATTGGATTTTTTTTAATGAATTTTTTGGATTATAATATAGAAATATAATTAGATAAGGGTAACAAGGTATTTGTATTTCATATTCACAAATCTATTCAAACAAAATCCATAATCAAATCCAACAAGCAAATAATAGACTTGTTCAAATCCATCATATATCCATGGTTTCCCAAACCCCTGGTTTTATCAAACCCCTCATTTTTCAAATCAATGAAGGAAACGAACGTAAGTATCCATCTATACTCCGCAATACAAAGGAAGCATGAAACCAAAATTTGCTAGCAACAATGGCTTCTCCTCTTCCCAGTGAAAAAAGCAAGGTGAGCATGGCAACAAACAACAGATTCTGAAATGTAACAACAAGCTAGCTATAGCTGGCTGGTGATTGACTCAGTTAAATCATCCAGCACAAATTTTTATTGCTTTCACATGATTTCTGTTTCAACAACATGATCGACGGCTTTCTGATCTATTGATTCATCACACATACATTTCCCATACCACAAGCAAAGACCAAATCTCTCATCAATTCCCAGAAACAAACTTGATGGAGACGCTGTTGACACAGTGGCGTTCATCTGTTGGGGTCTTGAACCCTTCACCCTTGAAAACATGGCCAAAGTGCCCGCCGCAAGCTGCACACGTGATCTCAGTTCTCCTCCCATCTGGGTCCGGCTGAAAAGCAATAAAGCAACCATCTTTCCATCAATTGACACGGAGACGCCTTACCCAAAAAAAAAAAAAAAACAGGGGAGAAGGGATTGTGGGTAGAGAACAGAGAGAGAGATCTCACAGTGCGATTGATGGCTCCAGGGAGTCCTTCAAAGAAAGCCGGCCAACCACAGCCGGAATTGAACTTGGTGGCTGACTTGTAAAGGGGAGTGCCGCAGCCAGCGCATTTGTAAACGCCTTCCTCGAAGAACTTGTCATATTCCCCGGTGAATTTCAACCTGTCAAAACAGCAGCACGAATTCAGAATCCCACATTTCAAAATCATGCGAGAAACACGAATTCAGAATTCCAAAATTGACGAGGGAAGAAGAAGGATTACTCGGTTCCCTTCTCGCGGAGGATTCGGAACTGCTCGGGAGAGAGAATCGCCCGCCATTCTTCGTCTGTTTTCTGGACTGAACCAGCTGCCGCCATCGCTGTAGCTCCCCCCCACTGAAATGAGATAGTACTGGAGCTGGACTGAACTGAAGAGTGAAGACCCAGAAGACGGATTTGCGACTGGATACGCTCTCAATTTGGCCGTTTGTTTCGTGTTTATATATTCATTATCGTAGAATGTACATGGACGGGATAGTGGAGGAATACGGCAGTTTCAAATTGGGAAAAAAACTGATTATGATTTTATGAAAGGATGCATGTTTTGAATTGGATTTAAGCAAGATAATTATTTTGCTTCTTTAATTAGTGATCTAATGCTAATCCATAATGCAAGTTGTGAGAAGAGATTCTTGGGCCCTTCCAATCGACAGTGGGCCTCGTCTGATCAGATTTCTTTCTGTCCCAACCGGCCCAAAATAGGGTGCATCTTTGCTTCCAGTAATTGCAGCCGAGTCCATGAAACCGTACCGTACCAGCGGTTCAACCACAAAATGCCAGTATCGGAGGATAAAGCGGTAGGTGATATTTAACGTTCTAACGGTTGAACTATGGTTAAACCACAGTTTTATCATAAAATATCATATCGCTGACTTTTCCGGTACGATTTCATGGACCATGTTTTTGCCTTAACTAAATAGTGACGGGACTTGGCTTCGCCTTGTCGATCTTAATTACACAGCATAGGTTTCATTACCAGATAAAATAATTTATTCTAGACGTTAAGCAATAAGATGAAGTGTTAATCGTAACGAGTAGAAATGAAGGGTTGTAAAGTTGTAATGAAGGTCGTATTGGAAAAGTCAGCGTGGGTATTTTGTCCATCAAGACTTGTCTACCGATTTAGGCCTTGGTAAAAGATTTTCTCTGGCAGCCTACCGGTTCAATACGACCTTTAAATCCTCGATGAAATCTCGTGTGATACTTTGTTTCTCTCGCTCACTAGTGTAGTTTGGAAATTTATGCTTGCTTGAAGTCAATGTTGTCCATCATAAGAAGAAACAGGGTATTAAATCGGCATTTCACTATTATCTTCCTATTTAGGTCATGGATATTCTTTGAGAAAAATCGGGCAAGATTGAGGAACGTCATAATAATTGCGACATTTATTCATACAGATTCACACACAAGCTAGATAGGTGAAACCATATACAATACTATTAATACCATGATAGCATAAGGAGGACTTCCTTAAATGTCATTAATTCTACTAAGTAGGTCTGCAATACCCGTTAAAAACCAACCACACGCAAAAGTTGGTCGAGAGTCTTCATATCTAGTGATACGTACAATGCCCCCCATTAGGTGCTAATATAGTGCCATCAACAACTATATGAAATGAAGTTCATGAACTGTCAATGGAAAAAGAAAATGCTTGGTCTTAGGCTTTCCCACACCTATTTAACCATGTACTTCAACATTGGAACATCATTCCACTTCACCCCTATTATGTCACCTCAACCATATCATTTCCTCTTAGTTTGAGTATCTAGTTCCATGCACATGATCCAAAAGTCCTTTTCTTCTACACCCTCATATTCTTGAGCACATATTACTTAACCCATGATGTTTTGTGGTAAAAAATGTTCCAAATATATATAGCCATGCAGCTTGATTACAGCTATACAAATTTTTGAAACCTAAGCCTCTTTCTTCCTTTGGTAATGCAACTGCTTTCCACATAACTTTTCCTTCTTCTTCTATACTGCATCACCTAAAGGAAATTTGGGCATTATCTCTCAATAGTATGAAGTACTTTTTTTGGTTACTCAAAAATGTTTATCTAGTATTTTGTCACACTTTCTAGCACTTCAATGGTAGGTTGGGGCTTTCTTGCATATGTTAACATGTTAGGTTGTCAGTCCTTTATTCTCTTTGTTATTTTCTCTACTAAGGTTGCATAATCTACAGATTTTAGCTTTCCTACTATCAGGGAACACTTAAGTACCTTGCCAGTAAAACTCTCTCCTGAAACCAAGATATCTCTGGTATCTTAGCTCTATATTCATCTCTCATTCCAACACAAAACTTGTTCACTTTATTTTGTTTACATGTAAGACAGGAAAAACTTGCAGAATTTATGCGTTTCAATTACTCCTTTAACTCCTTCATCATACCCTTTAGTGAATATTAACAAAAAAATACACAAAACACAGATGTGACAACCCTATCCTCTAACTGACATTGGGGATTGAATGGTTGAGATTTGGTGGTTGTGCATGTGTTCAACATACAACTTAACACTTCCGTGGAGATGGTAAACAAGAGGCGACACGAGGGGCACTTCTATCTTACACTATCAAAAGTCTTCGTTATCCACCTTCACATATTCGAGAAATAAGAAAGTGTCTTGAAGTTTATAAGCTAAAGTTGAAGCATTGCTCCAATTAATAAATTTAGTTTATTCTATAAATCATTTTTTATAGGAACCTGTATACTCTTATTAATCAGAGGAAGAGTTCACAGAATCCAGGTTTAACTGATCCAAGAGTATCATCAGCAATCTCTCAACCACACTACTCGTTCATCCCAATTGGTCTTAACTCTAGCCATAATGTGTGTCGCTCCGTTGGCTTCCCTTCAGATGTATCTGCAAGTAGAATTCCCCAAGACTTTTAGCTGTCTCTTTATATTCCTGCAAATTATCCCCAACTCCAACATATCATTTTCCGGTCGTTGCATTTTCTGAATAAGAGTTAGACAATCACTCTCCAAAATCGGGTTCATTGCTTGCAGCATTGTTGCCATCTGGGCTCCCAATTCTGCCGCCAAAGCCTCCACCATTTCCATATCCCAAGGACCTCGTATTCTCTTTGCAGTGGACAGCAAAAACTGTCCTTCATCTCCGTGGGCAACCACCCCGAGACCTGCCCCACTATTAGGGAGAATAGTGGCATTGGTGCAAATGGAAACAGACCCAGCAGTCGGCTTCTTCCATACTCGAATTGGAGGGGCGCTCATTTCCCTGTCTACTTCAACCTGATGAACTTTGTAGTTTTCCAAGAAGTACTCAACTTTCATAACGATTTCATCATCGGCGAACTTATAGCCATTATATAACTGAGCATTCCTTTCCCGCCAGAGAAACCACAATAGCACCGCCCAGCTCTCAACTTCCGCATCGTCCTTTCCTCCCATTACAGCATCGAACCAATCCCAACAATCGCCCTGCCATGCGGCTCGAAACAGCCAGCCACCGCTGAGGCTCTCCAAATCTTGGAACCCCAGCTGCATTCTCCGAATAGATGCAGTTGTGCCTCGCGAAGATCATAAAATGGACACTTGTCACTCCATTTGCAACTCAAAGCACTCATGTGATATCTGGTGGGCAACACTTCACTTGCAAACTGCCACATAAAGACCTTGATCTTGGACGGGAATTGTAATCACCACATTCTCTTCCACATCCCTGCTTCACCAACCGATCCAATCCCTTCTTGGTCCTTAACATGCTGGAGCCACAACTGATAGCCATCCTTAACATAGTATTCTCCGGTTACACAATCCCCTCCCAATTAAAACGTCTTTTTCACCATTTCCACGGAGAGGGATTTAGCATATAGCTTGCACAACTTCCAAAGAAAAGCAGCTTTCTAGTAACGATCGGTCCCATTCCTCTTCATCTTCCTGGATCAACTCCCGAACAGGAGCATCGGCTGGTAAGCCCATTGGAGCTGAAGGGATATAGAATCCGACAGCGTAGGAATCCAGCGTTCGCCCCATATCTTCACACAAGTGTCATTGTCAATTCGCCAGCGAAGTCCCTGACACAACAATTATTGAGCCAACAAAAGGCTTCGCCATATAAAGCTAGGGCGGTATCCTAGCTGAGCATCAAGGATTGAAGAGTTTTTGTGATACTTTGCCTGGAACAAAACCACTCTGAGTCGGCGAGATCACCTTATCCAGTAATCCCTTCATCCTGTTTGCCAGAACTTTTGCCACAAACTTATACAACATGTTACACAAACTTATAGCGCGAAACTCCTTTGGTGAAGTCGGTGACGACATATTACCTGCAGTAGAGTAGAAAAATAATCGTTAAGGCATTAGAACAGTTGTTCCTTCCCTACTCGCCATCTTCCCGTCTCATCCTGCAATTTGCGAATGGAGTTTCGCCTTCCTCTAGCTATAGCTATACGGTGGAAAAAATTGGTATTTTTATCACCATGCTTTAGTTAGTCCGCTCTCGAGGCTGCCTCCAATATATTTCTTCATTTTCCTCCAGCTTTGCTAATTCAAATTCAAGAGCTTTTTGTTATGCTATGATCTCATCCATCCTCTCCACTCGCTCTAGAACTCTCATAGCCCGATTAATCCGCTCTCTTTGCTTCGAGAATCGCGAGAATACTTGCCGACTCCACATATCTAGCTTTCGCGTACACTGTTCCAGCTTACCAAGAGTACTTTGTCCATTCCTTTCGCTCCAAGCTTCTTTAATAACAGTCGGATTGTCTTGGTGCTTTGTCTAGAATGGTTCAAATCAAAACATCCAACCCCCACCATGGCTCTTCATCGTCCTCACCCACAGTATCACAAACTATTGGTCTGTGGTCTAAAGAACGTTTGTCTAGATGTAACACCCTGGACTTCGGGAACTTTCCCTTCCAACTGTCAGACACCACAAAATGATCCTGGCGTTCCTCAATAAATCGTTTGATTTCTTATTGTTTTGCCATGGTGTTGGAAGCCCTGAAACCCAATATCATTTAATCTCGACTCTGTCAATCACTCTGCGAAGTCTATCATGCCTCTCTCGACTACTCCTCTTCCTCCACTCTTCTCTGATAGTAGCAACACTGGTTTGAAGTCACCACCGTACAACCATTATCCATCCCCCTGATTCGCAAGCTGGCATATGAGATCCCAGGTTTGATCCTTTTCACTACACTCAGGCCATCCATAGGAACCTGAAAAATGCCAAACTCCAAAGTCTATGTCTTCTATTTGAGCATAAATGTGATGTAGGGACGTAGACATCATAGTGAGTTTAACATCCTCCGTCCACCATAAGCTCACTCCGCCCTCTTCCCCCCCCCCCCTCGTGACGTGTCTATCGGCCAACAATCCTCATCATGGAATCACATCTCCTTACGCATTACCTCGTTCTCTTCTTTCGTTTGTTTGATCTCCATCAAGAAGATTAGTTGTGGGGAAACTTTTCGCAGTAGCGGCCGGAGACTTCTAACTGCACGTGTGTTCCTCAATCCACGACAGTTGTAGCTGATTATCCTCATTGATTACCCGAAGGAAATCGGTTCCTCGCACCCTCAATTTTTTGTCCAACTCCTTGTTTCTCTCCTCTATTGGGTCCTTTACTCAGGAGTATCTCCGGTCGGCTTTCCTACATGGCGGATGTGGAAGTAGGCAGCGGAGTTTGAGGCCCTTTTGCATCCTTATCCTTAGACACCCCCTTCCCTGTGAGCCCATTTTTAGATTTCCCACCACCTACCTTACTTCTAGCTCCCTCCTTCGCCAGCTCTTTGTGATTTTTCACCTTCTCCTTCCCTTGAAGATGCACATTTAGCATGGCCTCAACCACCTTCTTCCTTTCCTTTGCATCTTGTCCCCCTAATGGTGTGTCATTATTCTTGTTATTTCCTACTGTACCAGACCGTTGTAAATTTTGGCCCTCAAATGCATGGCCTGCTGGAGTTCAGTGGTCGGTTCCTCTTCCTCGGCAAAAGTTGCAAATTTGTTTTGGGAGAAAGAAAGTTTGCTATCCTGCTGGCGAGTTTAATGGCTCCCTTTCCTGTCCTTACTGGTCATCAACCTCCGTCCCTTCCTTTGTGTTATCATCCACTCCTCGTATATTTTGTCCTTCGGGTTCTCGGGCTCTGCTTCCTTCGTTTCTTTCTCGCCCTCTTCCATCATATTACTCGTAGGTTCCGGCTGCATGCAGGTGCAATACTCAGTGGCCTTTCCATAGATGTCGCAGTTAAAATATACATTAAATAACCCCCTCATTTGTGATGTAATAGGTGACATCTCCAATTTTGTATTGGGATAGCAGCGGTTTTTTCGGGTCAACCTCCACACAAACTCGTGCATATTTTGTTATAGTTGCTCCTCATCAAAAAGTTGTTTTGATCCCTCTTCCCAATCCCCCCTCAGACCTCCCTTCTCACATCGTCAAATCTGGGTCGGGGAATGGGCCAGAGTCATGTTGCACATAGTCTTCGAACTCCACACCATGGATCACATTGTTCTGATTTAGATTCATTGCTCTAACCTTCTTCTTTTAATGTTGTTGTTCCTTGTCTCTTTTGCTGTTGGGGGAAGAAGATTCAGTCGACGGACGACGGGAGCTCACGAGATGCGACGGTTTTAGACCTGTCGTCGTTTCCGGGGACGACATAGCTTCCCTCTCCATGGCCAAGTTCGTACAAACGTTCGTGTCACAATCACCCTAGAGTTTCTTTTGATAAAACTGGAGCCGAATCCAATCCAATTAACTTAGTACCATTCGTACTATTCTATAAATCATTTTAAGTACAATAAATTTGTTTTAGCCAGAGAGCTTTAAAAAAAACAATTGCCAAGTACCATAAATTATTGTAGCTAGGGGAGTTCACTCATATGGTCTGGCATATCAGTGAGAAACCCATCAATCCACAATCTCGTCAAAATATTATTCTTAAACACCCAACTTTTGTATATAGAAGAGTTCAAAGTTCTCGAATTCCCAAATTTGCACTTCTCCATTCCAAAGGAGATGATCTAAAAAAATAGAAATGAAACAATTAGCAACGCATTATTGTATATTAAAAAGATCCATCAAACTAATAAACTTATAATCTTGAAACATACTTGTCCCTTCTTGTGTTCTTCCTAGTTTGATCAAGCTCTCCTTTCAATCTTTCACTCATCGCCCTTGGACTCTCATGACTTGACCAATTCCTCTAGTATGAAAGAATCACATATTAAGTATTCGTCTCTTTAGAAATTTCTGACAAAATTAGAACAATATAGAGTGAACATTCACACCTCACACTCTACATCATAAGTCTCAAATCAAATTGGGATTATGTAATATTAAGAGTTTGTTTGGGGATTTAACTTAGTAATAATTAACTACTTTTTTTGTTAGCTATGTCAATTAGCATATGGCACATTTCCTAACAAGGAGACACACCGAAACAAAAGTATGAAATCAATGTTTTCTATATTTTGGATCGAAGCGTTTAATGAATCCGAACTTATTGGTTTACTTTCAAGTCCAAAATATTTTCCCCTAAGGAAGGCATCAAGGCAAGATAAATTGAAGATTGCCTAATTTCCTTAACCATGGTTAACCAAAATCAACTGACCATGGTTATCCTCGTTAGATTACACGTTTCAGAAGGAGGAAAAAAACGAAATTTCCTCCATCCTTTTATTTATTTATTTATCTATCTCAAAATGCTAGATGTACCCATGAAAAACAAAATAATAATTAAACAAGAAAAAAGAGGTAGAAGAAAATTCAATAGAGAAGAAGAGAAAGAAAGAGAGCTATTTAGAGCTCCGAAAATACATTTTTTGCCCCCCTCTGATTTCTCGTCTGTTCTTTCCGATGCTCCGCAGATTGGTCTCGTGAACATCTGATTGATTCTTCACAGCTCGAACAAATTAGCTTAAGAACACCGGTACGCCAATCGATCCTCCGTTTCAACTTCATTGCCCGAATCTCCAATCCTCGCACTCGTTTTTTCTCTGGATCTTTTTTTTTTTTTTTTTTGTGTTCGCCATCTCCCACTGGAATCATTTCTTATTTCTGGGTTGAGCTGGGTTTTTTGTTTGTTTTGCCCTTGTCGATCGATCAATCGGGTTGTTGATTTGAGATTGTTGTTCGAATTGAAACAGTCGATGTTGGGATATCTCGTGTTCATGGAGACTGGGCATGTTTCTGATTGCATTGCTCATCAGCTTTCTATTTATAAATTTTCTCATTTCCATCGCCGATTTCGGATTTGGATTATGAATTTTGATTAATCATCCACTTACTCTCACTGGGTAATGATCAAGTGGAAATTTTGACTGTGGCGATGAGTTGGGTCAGCTCTAATTTATGTATTCCATGTAGTATATGATCTGATATGGCGCTTTTGCTGCTAATCAATTCAATGCTTGGATTGTAGGTGACTGAATTTGTTTTGGAATTGCTAGACTAGATGATTGAAGGGGGTTGATGATTGTTAATTGGTGGTCAACTAACTCTCTGGATTTTGCAGCTTAAAACAAAAAATGGCATCAATGGTTGCTAAGGCCAGTAGTAGTCAAGTATCTTCCTTTCATTCTGTACAAGAAAAAGTGAGCCGGAACAAGAGGAAGTTCCGAGCTGAGCCTCCATTGGGCGAAGCTGACAAGATCATCGCTCCGCCCCAAAATGAGTGTCCTACTTACGAATTCTCTGCTGAGAAGTTTGAACCTACCCCGGTTCATGGTCTGGCGAGTGCATGTGATCTGTGTGGTGTGAACCAAGATCATGCAGATGGATTGAAGCTTGACCTTGGGTTATCTACTGCATTGGGTTCAACTGAGGTTGTTGAGCCAATCCAGCCTAGGGAGGAACTAGAAGAATCCAATGATGCTGATTGGAGTGATCTCACGGAATCCCAATTGGAAGAGCTTGTTTTGAGCAATTTGGACGCAATATTCAAAAGTGCAATAAAAAGAATCGTCACCTTTGGGTATGTCGAAGAAGTGGTTACGAAGGCTGTTTTGAGGTCTAGTGTTTGTTATGGGTGTAAAGACACCGTGTCAAATATAGTGGATAATACCTTAGCATTTCTCCGAAATTGTGAGGAAATTGATCCTTCTAAAGAGCACTGTTTTGATGATTTACAGCAGTTGGAGAAGTATATACTGGCGGAATTAGTTTGTGTGTTGAGGGAAGTTAGGCCCTTCTTCAGTACCGGGGATGCAATGTGGTGCCTCCTGATCTGCGACATGAATGTTTCTCATGCTTGTGCAATGGATGGTGATCCAATGAGTGGCTTTGCTGGTGATGGGTCCCATTCAAAACTCGAACCTGAAGGTTCTGAATCAAATGTTACAAGAACAACCCCTTGCAAGCCAGTGCCATCGATTCCTTGTTCTCCAAGCACCAGTATTCCTCCTGGAGTTTCCCATGTAATCAGACCGAAGAATAATGGTTCTGTCCTAAATGGTCTGTTATCAGACAAAGAGGGATCAGCTACTTCTGCATTCGATCCTGTTGATAAATGCTTCAGCATTGCAGGACCATCACAGTTACCTGTACTTGAAGAAAGGTTTACAGTTAGTAGGAAGGTTCATTCCGGTAGCAGCAAGAGAGAGTTCATCCTCCGGCAGAAATCTGTACATCTGGAGAAAAGCTACCGGACTTATGGGTCTAAAGGTTCACTGAGAGGTGGGAAATTGAGCGGGTTGAGCAATTTGATTCTAGACAAGAAACTGAAGTCTGTCTCGGATTCCGCTGCTGTTAATATAAAGAATGCTTCCATAAGATTGAGTAAGGCCATGGGGGTTGTTGATAATAGCCCTCCAGATGGGGGGAAATCCGGACCTTCTTCCTCGGTATCATTCAGTTTGGAGACTCCTAGTACCACTTCTTCTTTACCTAAAGCCCATATCCTTCCTGTATTACCCCCGGCCAATTCCTCACCTGTATTACCTCTGGTCAGTGTCACGTATCCTCTATCAACTGCAGACACGGAGCTTTCACTTTCACTCCCTACAAAGGCACAAAATTATAGTTTTTCTGGAAAGCCATGTGATAATAAGCCGATGGCACAGTGGGTTCCTCGGGACAAGAAGGACGAGATGATTGTGAAGCTTCTTCCTAGGGTAAGAGAACTGCAAAATCAGCTTCAAGAATGGACAGAGTGGGCAAACCAGAAGGTTATGCAGGCGGCTAGAAGGCTGGGTAAGGACAAGGCCGAACTTAAACTGCTGAGGCAAGAAAGAGAAGAAGTCGAACGGCTGAAGAAGGATAAACAAACTTTGGAAGAAAACACCATGAAGAAGCTAACCGAGATGGAAAATGCCTTGGGGAAGGCAAGTGGACAGGTGGACAGAGCAAACTCTGCCGTCCGGAGGCTCGAGGTGGAGAATGCTGTGCTAAGGCAGGAGATGGAAGTTGCGAAGCTACGTGCTGCTGAGTCAGCTGCCAGCTGTCAGGAAGTGTCGAAGAGGGAGAAGAGAACATTGGTGAAGGTTCAGTCATGGGAAAAACAGAAAGGGATGCTTCTGGAGGAGCTTGTGTCTGAAAAGCGCAAGGTCTCACAGCTACTGCAGGATCTCGATGCTGCCAGACAACAACAGGACCAACAAGAGGTATGTTTTCTTTATTGTTTTTCACCAATACTTGTGGCAATGAATGTGATGAAGTGCTCTATCAGCCACCTCAAACTGCCCATACTTGCATGAAAGTTAATAGATGGAAACAAACTTTTTCACATAGTTATACATGAGTACAAAATCACATAGATTATGTAGTGAAAAGCACTTGGAAGGTTCCCCAATCCCCACTGCTCTTGTCTTTCACCGCAGTGTTTGTAACCTGAGGTTTCATGCATTTTTCTTTTGTTCATTACTCCTCTTTGTTCTAAATCTTCAGTTAAAGGATCTTGATTAGATACCGGTGGCCTTATGGTTTCAGTAAACCAAAATGCTTGAGATCGCAGTACTTAGGACCTTACATACTCTTTGGTCCTTTTTTTCTCACTGAGAAGAATAAAACATCACATCACAGGCTCGATGGAAACAGGAAGAGAAGGCAAAGGAAGAGCTTCTTTCCCAGGCCAGCAAAATAAGAAAAGAAAGAGAGAAAATCGAGTCCTGGTCCAAATCCAAAGAGGACATGATCAAACTAAAAGCAGAAACCAATCTGCAAAAACACAAAGAAGACATACAGAAGCTCGAGAAAGAGATCTCCCAGCTCAGACTTAAAGCCGACTCATCGAAGATCGCTGCCCTCCGTAGGGGAATCGATGGCACTCGAGCTCCCATGGACTTCAAAACCAATCCTGCCGTCCGGAAGGAGACGAACCGTTCCAACCACGGTCTGCCAGAAGTGGTCATCACAGATTTCAACGACTACTGCTTGGACGACGGAGGTGTGAAGCGAGAGAGGGAGTGTGTGATGTGTCTCTCGGAGGAGATGTCGGTGGTTTTCCTGCCCTGCGCTCATCAGGTCGTCTGCACGAACTGCAACGAGCTGCATGTGAAGCAAGGGATGAAGGACTGCCCGTCTTGTAGGAGCTTCATCAAGCGACGTGTTGCAGTACGTTACGCTCCTCCTCGCTCTTAGTATAATTATGATGATGATTTATAATTGATCGATTGTATGAGTGTTCAGCTTGAGTATATGAGAGAGTTATAATAGAGTTTTGAGTGGCTTTTTGGAATAATGGTTGGTTTGGGGGGGACTCTGTTTCTGAGTTTGAATAATCCTTCCTGGTATCCTGATGCTACTCTATTCACCCTGTCAAAGAGTCTGCAAAAAAGAGACAGAAAAAGAAGAGAACAGAACAGATTGAAGTTGCCTAAAGATATGAAAGCTTGATGATATAATACTTGTTCAACAGCGGATTTCCCAATTCTACACAAGTCACATTTGGCACTGAATTCGTACCCGAGACTACTACAGTATTGAACTCGAGTATACATGTCATCGTTAGCACTTCCTCCTTACTGCGATGTTAGCACCTCGTTTTCTCCCGAATCGCATTGCAACTCTCTACTTCGCCCGCCATTATAGATACCCACTAGCATTATCGCTAACGAAGGAATACAAAGTATACGAACACTAGGATACCATAAATCGAAAGAGCCCATTTGTCGTGTGTCTGCGTGTTGCGAAGAACGCTTGGAAGTCGGGGATGAAAAGGACCCTGTTCTTTGAATCCGCACCCCATACGGATTCCTACAGTGACCATTTTTTGCTTTTTGGCCCTCCAAATTATGTGGAAGGCAGTAAAATTTGAAAAAGTTGTGGAGGAAACAGAGAAATAGGGCACAATACAGGAAGTGGGGTTGGGTTGTTCCTTTCATTCTCTGTTCCACTTTGAAGTGTTCTTTTCCTTTCTTTTCCCAATGGGGATGATTGCTGCTGTGAGGGGAAAAAATAAAATAAAAAAGGTGAGAAGCTTAAATATGTGGATCAAAAATGGCATTTGGTCTGTGTACAAAATTGTGCCACGTGGCAGAATCATATGGAAGCAAGAACGTCTGTAACAAGAATATAATTTAGCTAAAAAATCTATAAAAAACAATTGGAATAGAAAGTATGAATTAGTAACTTCAAGAATGATTAAACATATGAAAACATCCAAATTAGAAGCAAAACTAAATAACCTTGTCAAATTTAATTGATTAGATGGTTTAACCAATTAGCATCATTTACACGTTAACAAACAAACTTAAAAACACCAATCTATTCAGGAATATAATTAACACAAATCCCAAAAATGATATTTAATAACTATCTTCAAATACCTGGTCAATGAGTTTATTCACGGGACGGGTTAGCATGCTAACCCCTTAAGGGGTTGGTTTTTTGACACCCCCTTTTAATTGGTCAATTTTTCATTAATTATTGACAAGTATTAATGAAAGTAAACATAATAAATGTTCTGTTATTAAATACAAAGTAAGCATTAAATACACCACATTAATTACCACTTTACTGGTATTTGTACCACTGCACTGATACTCAGATATGACATTGCTACCAGTGCACTGATATCGCTACTAGTGCAGTGGTATATCTACTAGTACAGTGGTACAACGTATCAGTGCAGTGGTATATCTACCAGTACAGTGGTACAACGTATCAGTGCAGTGGTATATCTACCAGTACAGTGGTACAACGCATCAGTGCAGTGGTATATTTTTTGGAGGTGGTCGGAGGGAGTCTGCCGATGGGATTTTCACCGGAGAAGTGTGGCGGTCGGAGGAAGTCTGGTGGTCGGAGACTGCTGAAAAAGGAAAAATCAAATATAGTGAGAGAATTCCTAATGTGTATTTAATGTGTGTATTTAATTCCTAATGTGTATTTAATAGTGAGAGAATTCCTAATTAATATGGTACATTTAATTCCTAATGTGTATTTAATGTGTGTATTAATTATTGTGTATTAATTATAGTTGTATTTAATATACTAAGGGGTGTCATTTTTCCAACCTCTAAGGGGGTTAGCATGCTAACCGACCCCTTTATTCACTATTAGACGAAATGAAATTGAACCGGCACACTTCCATATTATCAGAACTATCCACAATATATCAACAATTCGGAATATTCAATCTATTACAAGATTTGAGATGTGCACTAATTACGCGTTTCAATAATTAAATTTCTTCAGCTCAAAATGTATATGAATATGCCTATATAGATATTTTTTTCCTCTGGCGGCTAGTTTTTTTTTTTTTTTTTGCGTAAGGGGAGGCAAAAGCCAAGAAAAGGAACCCAGAAGGTCTTACAAGCTGGTGGAATCCATCGCCACAATCCGGCGCTCGAAAGAAATACCCATAGCATCCTCTCTAACAATAGAAGCTAACTCGGGGGGTGGGTTCGCAACCTCATGTACACCGTAGGGATAGACGAGACTGTGCTTCGAGAGCCAGTCCGCGACTCTATTCCCTTCCCGGTAAACATGAGTGATGCTTACCAACCAGTCTTGACCGATCTTCCTACGGATGGCTGAGAGAAGGGTAGCATGAGGATGAACAGGATCACTTCTGTTGTTGATGAGCTGAATCGCCAGCTGGGAGTCAGACTCCAGGCGCACCGCCCTGTACCCTTTTTTCCAAGCCATATCCAACCCATGAAACACTGCCCACAACTCGGCCAAAATGGCCGTCGCCGTCCCAAAGTTCGCGAGGAAACCAGCGATCCAATTACCTGTCCCGTCGCGAAGTACACCTCCAGCTCCAGCAGCTCCAGGGTTGCCGTTAGAGGCCCCATCAACGTTTAAGGCCACCCAACCATGAATCGGCGGAGTCCACCCGACCATCACCGTAGTACGAGCGGTCATAGACCCTCTACCGTAGGGGAGGGGGGAGGGGGCTTGCCAAGCCTCATGCCACAGTTTACACTTAGCCATAATCGAGTACTCAAGGGAAGGAGGGGAGAGGGCAGAGCTAGAACCTCTAAAGCTGGACGTGCACCGATTCTTCCAAAGGAGCCAAGATGCGACGCTGAAGAAGGCAGCCCAGCTCATACCCGAGCCCAAGGGCTCGCTGTTCCTAAGATTCCCCCGCAGCCAGTCGCTCTCATCCATGTAGAAGAAGCTGGCCTGCAGGCCAGGCGGGCTGTGCCGAAGCCAAAAGTACCTGGCCGCAGTGCAATCACGTAAAATATGCAGAATGGACTCGACTGGATGTCCGCAGCTTCCACAGCTCTGGTTGTTGGTGACTTTCCTTGAGAACAGATGGGAATTAGAAGCCAACCTCCCCAAGAAAGCCAGCCACAAAAAGCTCCTGATCCTTTCTGGGACAGGAAGGCTCCAGATGATCTTCCAGACGTCCTCATCCGGGTCGGGCGTTCCCTGGTTTTGGAGAGAATAAGCAGTCTTCGCCGAGAACCTTCCATCCGACGAGGCTGACCAGAAGATGGTATCGTCCTCCGTGGCCATCTTGTCAACTCCAATGCTCAGGATCTTCTGGAAAACGTCACTCGGGATGAGGTCCTCAAAAAGCTCCGTCTGCCAAGTTCCGTCTTCCTCCACGAACCTCTCGATCGGCTCCGCAGTATCAGACTCCGGGATGTGACCAAGAGCCACCTCCTTAAGCGGAACCTGCAAAACCCAAGGATCAAGCCAAAACTTAGTGCGTTTGCCGTTCTTTATATTCCAAGCACAACCTTTCCGGAGGAGGTCAGCGGCTTTAGTAAAACTTCGCCAGGTAAAGGAACTTCCCTGAATTGGACGGATGATGTCAAGGTTCTCCCGCTGACGACCATACTTAGCCACCATTAACTGGGTCCAGAGGCTGTCCTTCTCCTTCAACAATCTCCACCCGCTCTTAGCAAGCATCGCTAGGTTCGCTTGCTTGAGGGATCTTAGGCCAGCTCCACCTTGCAACTTTGGCTGCGTCATCTTGTCCCAGGCTACCAGATGCATCTTCGACTTGTCTTCCTCTGGCGGCTAGTAAAATCTATAAATTTATGCTCAAATTTAACTTCTTAAACTACATTTATGTTGCGATCTATTTGAACACATTATGCAAAAAAAAAAAAGGAAGATGGATATTGTTTAATTTTTGTGCACAATTTTTTTTTATAAAAATCCTTAAGTAAAAGGAAGAAATATTGGATATTTTGTTCCCAAAATTCTGAATTATTGGTCGATTGTTGACCCAAGTAGAGAAATGAATAATTAGCAAAACTTTTTTTTTTCCTAAATGAATCAATCAGAAAAATGTAAGGACAAGAAATTTCTGTTCGGTCCGATTTCCTTTATATTTTTTTCAACGATAATTAACTCTCTTGTCCTTTCCCTCCAAGGATGACGGGGCATAACTGCATAACCCATTTTCCTTAATTTGCGTGCCACCGAAACTCTACCCAGTTCCACGTCAGCACCATGAATTCAAACTTCCTTCTGTCTAGTCCAATCCGACCTACTCCCGATCTTACGTGGCAACCACGAACGAGCGCCACGTACCCACGGGCCACGGCCAACCCCATTCCGTGCAACTGCCGGTGACTGTAGCAAAACCCCCCACTGGGATTAGCCGCGGGAAAGTCAAAAATTAGTTAAAAGGTGTGAATGGAGGGAACTTAGCCGTTTTTAACCGCAATTCTTAGTGTCCACTCGTGTCACTTCTTCAATCCCTCTCTCTCTCTCTAACTCTCTCTCTTCCATCTTTCTGATCACTTCGGCATCTTTCATCTTCCCCACTATTCATTCCTCTGTTAGGAAGCCTGAGTCGATTTGATTTTTTTCCCCCGTTCAAACGGAGTAAAGTTTGAATCTTTTCGCCTAATGACGTCGACGATGAAGGGAGTGATGCTCAGAACGGCCGATGTGCAGCCGTTGAACCGGCGGCTCTACAAGGGGAAGTACGCCGATCAGAGAACTGACCTCGTTTTCATGGTAGAAGCCGGGAGAAGAATCGGAGTTCGTTGTCAGCAGGACGATCGTAGCAGCAATTCGTTTGCAGGCGACTCGGTGATCCGCCGCAAGCCCGATGTCGTTAGGCGTGAAACCAGAGTGAAAGTTCTGAGCAGCCCGATTTCAGAGGAGAAGACGCCGACAATTAAGAAGGTAGAACGAGAGATGTTCGAATTCTCCCAGCTTGCTCTGTTTTTCTTAATTTGCTCTGTTTCTGATCTGTTCCTCTGGCTTTTGTAATAGAGGGTTTTCACGTTTGGGAAAGGGAAAAGTGAAGGCAACAAGAGCATGAAATCATTGGTAAGCATAATTACTCTCATCATAATTCGATTAAAATAAATTTCTCTCGTTCAATTGTTCATCTCAATGATTACTACACAGCTTGGAGGGAAAGGAGCGAACTTGGCCGAAATGGCGACAATCGGGCTCTCAGTCCCACCAGGACTCACAATTTCAACAGAAGCATGCCAAGAATACCAGGAAAACGGCAAAAGTCTCTCAAACGGTCTGTGGGAAGAAGTACTGGAAGGTCTGAACATAGTGGAGAACGACATGGGAGCTTCCCTCGGCGATCCTTCCAAGCCCCTTCTCCTCTCCGTTCGTTCAGGAGCCGCCGTAAGCTTTCATACGATCCTCTGTTTCCCCTGCCATTTTCAAAACTCTCAATTTCCAAGTTCCCCTGTTTTTCAATTCTTTGTGTCTTGCTAGATCTCAATGCCTGGAATGATGGACACCGTCCTCAACCTCGGCCTCAACGACGAGGTCGCGGCGAGCTTGAGCGCCAAGAGCGGCGAGCGTTTCGCCTACGACTCCTACCGCCGATTCCTCGACATGTTCGGGAACGTGGTGATGGGGATTCCGCACTCCTTCTTCGACGAGAAGCTGGAATCGATGAAGGAAGAAAAGGGAGCGAGGCTCGACACCGACCTCTCGGCCTCCGATCTCAAGGAACTCGTCGAGCAGTACAAACAGGTCTACATTTCTGCGACCGGCGACGAATTCCCTTCCGATCCGAAGCAGCAGCTGCAGCTCGCGGTACAAGCCGTATTCGATTCGTGGGACAGCCCGCGAGCGAATAAGTACAGGAGCATCAACCAGATCACCGGATTGAAAGGAACCGCGGTGAATGTTCAGTGCATGGTGTTTGGTAACATGGGGAACACATCAGGAACAGGGGTTTTGTTCACTAGAAACCCTAGCACCGGCGAGAAGAAGCTCTACGGCGAGTTCTTGATCAATGCTCAGGGCGAAGATGTCGTAGCGGGGATTCGAACCCCGGAGGATATCGAAGCTATGAAGAATTGCATGCCGGAGGCGTACAAGGAGCTCGTCGAGAATTGCGAAATTCTCGAGCGGCATTATAAGGACATGATGGTATGAAATTTTGGTTAAAAACTCTGTTTTCTTCCTCTCAAAACAGGGGAGAAAATTGCTAAGTGCCTAATGTGATCTAATTTTTGCAGGACATTGAGTTCACAGTCCAAGAGAACAGACTATGGATGCTGCAATGTAGATCGGGAAAGCGTACCGGAAAAGGCGCGGTGAAGATCGCCGTCGATATGGTGAACGAAGGGCTGATCGATACTCGTATCGCGGTCACCAGAGTCGAACCGCAGCACCTCGATCAACTTCTACATCCACAGGTAACAATGTCGTCACAATTTCGAACACCTGATTCAAACCATTTTCCATTCACCGGAAAGAAATGACGATTCTTTTTCTCGCAGTTTGAGTCTCCGGCCAACTACAAGGACAAAGTGATGGCAATCGGCCTGCCCGCTTCGCCGGGGGCAGCAGTCGGGCAAGTCGTGTTCTCTGCAGAAGATGCAGAGGCATGGCACGCGCAAGGAAAGAGCGCGATTCTGGTGCGAACCGAGACGAGCCCGGAGGACGTCGGAGGGATGCACGCCGCGGCCGGGATCCTGACGGCGAGAGGCGGGATGACGTCGCACGCCGCCGTCGTGGCTCGAGGATGGGGGAAATGCTGCGTCTCCGGCTGCGCCGATATCCGCGTCAACGATGCTGAGAAAGTTGTGGTGATTGGGGATAAGTTGGTAAAAGAAGGGGAGTGGATTTCGCTGAATGGATCGACTGGAGAAGTTGTATTAGGAAAGCAGCCGCTAGCTCCTCCTGCTTTGAGCGGCGATCTGGAGACGTTCATGGCTTGGGCCGACGAGATTCGAAGGATTAAGGTGATGGCGAATGCTGATACTCCGGAAGATGCTCTCACCGCTAGAAACAATGGCGCTCAAGGGATTGGACTCTGCAGGACTGAGCACATGGTAAGAAATTCATCGTGATCTTGTTATCGCTCACCATGTGTTTGATAAAATGCCTGAGTGAGAATCTCTATTTCTTCTTCTTTTCCCGCAGTTCTTTGCTTCTGATGAAAGGATCAAGGCAGTGAGGAAGATGATAATGGCGGAGACACAAGAGCAAAGGAAGGCAGCATTGGACCTGTTGTTGCCTTACCAGAGGTCCGACTTCGAGGGCATTTTCCGCGCCATGGATGGTCTTCCTGTGACGATAAGGCTGCTGGACCCTCCGCTGCACGAGTTTCTTCCCGAGGGCGACTTGGACCAGATCATCGGAGAGCTGACAGCCGACACGGGAATGACGGAAGACGAAGTCTTCGCCCGAATCGAGAAGCTATCGGAGGTGAATCCGATGCTTGGATTCCGCGGTTGCAGGCTGGGAATCTCGTACCCTGAGCTAACCGAGATGCAGGCACGAGCTGTGTTCCAGGCCGCGGTTTCGATGACCCATCAGGGCATCAAAGTTTTCCCTGAGATCATGGTTCCCCTTGTTGGAACTCCACAGGTAAACAATCCAACTCTACTACAAAACTACAGTCCTCTTTCATTTTACTTCCCACAATTCGACATTAACGAATGAAAGCTTGGTTGTTTTTCTTCTTCTTATTCTTACCTGCAGGAGTTGGGGCATCAGATTGGTGTGATACGAGAAGTAGCAAAGAAGGTGTTCTCCGAGACAGGTCTCACATTAACATACAAAGTCGGGACCATGATCGAGATCCCCAGAGCAGCTCTAGTTGCCGACGAGGTTTGTTCGTTCGTTCGTTCATTCTCGCTGTAAATTTCAAGTAGAAGTTGCTGGAAAATTTACAATCTACTGGGATGGCTAATGAAATGACAGATCGCAAAGCAAGCTGAGTTCTTCTCGTTCGGAACCAACGACTTGACCCAGATGACGTTCGGGTATAGCAGAGACGATGTGGGCAAGTTCCTCCCCACATACTTGGCCCAGGGCATTCTCCAGAGCGACCCGTTCGAGGTAATCATCAAGTTCAGCTGCAACAGGATTAGAATCTACTCCATTGCAAAGCTGTTTGTCAATCGGTTCATTCATCCTTGCTGTGGTTTTTTTCCCCCCTCAGGTTCTTGACCAGAAAGGAGTTGGCCAACTCATCAAGATGGCCACCGAAAAGGGCCGATCAGCCAGGCCTAGCTTGAAGGTGAAGCTGGATTCCTTCTTTTGTTAGCGAAATTTAAGGCCAATTTTTTCGACGAAGGAGACTAATAATATCGATTGTTTGATTGATTGAACAGGTGGGGATATGCGGCGAGCATGGTGGGGAGCCATCATCCGTGGCATTCTTCGCAGAAGCTGGACTGGACTATGTTTCTTGTTCACCATTTAGGGTTCCAATTGCTAGGCTAGCAGCAGCTCAAGTGGCAGTTTGAAGTTGGTAGGATTGGAAGGAAAGAACTCACAGAAAGAAGCAGCTGGTGAAGTTTGTCATTCATTCATGGCTAATTGGGTGGAATATGTATAGAATTAATTGATTCTCCAGACCTCAGTACTTACTTGCGGAACAAGCAAAGGAGGGTTTAATACTCTGCTATAATTTTCTTCAATTCCTGGTCGTTGGGGAATTGTAAGCCCCAGGGAGAAGTGTTGTACTCTGTGATTTTGAATAAGCTGCTGCTTCACTTCCATCTGTTTGCGTATACAAGATGGAAATAACAAGTAAATGTAAAAAATGGATGCAACTTGTTTCAGTAAGCTTACTTTTGGTCATAATACTAGGTTCAGTGTGGAAATTGCATGGATGATTAGTCAGAATTTATTAAATCAGAAGACGATCAGCTTCAAGATATTCGATAAAATTAGAACGATGTGAAAAAGATGATATAAGCCCTCCGAGTTCTTAAGCAGGAATTTGCGGATTATACTTCATCAAAGTTCGTTAAAATTGAAAGTTGGATGGCAAATTTGTAATGACTCCAAAGTTTAATCGCCATTTAGACAATTGTTGATCCTAGTAGTCGTAGGGCCGTCGCAGGCTACGTGGCCGTTTCAATCTTGTGCATTCGGCAACCAGAAACCCTAATAGGATTAGTGAAGAAGAAGAAGAAATCGTCCGGCGGCCGCCATCCTCACTTTGCAAGTTCGTTCTGTATTTTTGTGCGAATCGTAGAAAATTCCCAACAAAAGCAGCAGAAGAGCGAGAGATAGATAAACCTAATGCCGATCGAGAGTTACGTGGTGGTGCACAACATAGCCAAGAGGCACAACGTCGGGACTCTGGCCCGGAGCGCGACGGCGTTCGGCGTCACGGAGCTCATACTCGTCGGCCGCCGCGACTTCAACTCCTTCGGCAGCCATGGCTCCACCTCCCACGTCCGATTCCGCCACTTCCATTCCCTCCTCGAAGCTCGCCAATTCCTCAAGGTCTCCCAACTTTCCTCGTCTTTTCTCTGTCTTTCCGCCTCCTGTTGATTCAATTGAAATCTCCAACTTTTGTTTTCCCCCTTCTGCAGGAGAAAGATTGTGATATATGTGGAGTGGAGATAACAGAGGGAGCTCTCCCTGTGAATCAACATCCTTTCAAGAAGAGCACAGCTTTTCTAATGGGTAATGAGGTACGAAGGAAAAACAGAATCCAAATTGTTCCTTGAGAAGAAATATGGTCAAAGTTCTGTGCTTTAATTACTGGGTCTTGGGAATAATCTGCAGGGGACTGGACTTTCTGCTAGAGAATGTGAGATCTGCGATTTCTTTGTTTACATTCCACAGTATGGATGTGGGACTGCCTCATTGAATGTTACTGTGGCTGCTTCCATTGTTCTTCACAATTTTGGAGGTACTATTTTCACTGACAAACATTCTCAATTTGAAGATGCTAACTTTTGATATGCAAAGAGGCTTTGTAGTTAGTTAGATGGCATTCGATCTCGGTTACACCTATGATCATGAACCTCTATGATTGATGGAAATTTCGCAGTATGAAGTTCAATAACAACTCTGGTTTCTGTGTATGTATCCAGTTTGGGCGGGATTTTCTGAGCGGAGCCGAGATGGGAACAAGTTTGTTGTAGCTGAGAGACCCAAGAAGCAAGTGAGATACAGTGCTGAAACGGAAGAAGCAATCGTGGAAGAGAGGAAGTGCAAAAGGGAGAATGCAGCTAACGGTGGGTTCTTTGAGGTGGAGGAAGGTGGGAAGGGAGATTCGTCGTCTACAGCAGCAGCTAACCTTCTTGATGCCTTGTTTATAGACGACTGAAGTGATTACTGAATGCACTGGATTTCCAGCATGGCAGAGGCTTCAAGGAGGACTGAATTATCCTCTGACCTCCACAAGTCAGTGCCTTGTTGCGGAGAAGATTGGTTTCCAGACACCATGGGAGGAAAGTCTAGCATACTTGTTTTATCTGTAGGGAAAACCAGTTAGTGGCGGATCCTTTGATGAATTCTAGCACCCTAAACAGCTCAGAGGAATTGCAGCTGATGGAGCCAAGAAGTTGATGATTAAGTTGAGGATAGAATCCCACATGGCCCAGGTTTTACACGTTCAAGTCAAATGCTACCCCATTTCCTATGTGTTATTGTTTCAAAGGCTTAAACATTCTTCTTGTACACTTACTCCACAAAGTAAGCCTAACCTTTGACTTGAATGTCGTTTCTGAAGCCTATTATTGGTCCCATTCGAGTTTGATTATCCACCCATTGTATGTCAAAGTTAGGCCAACTGCCCTGCTCCATATGGCACCATAAAGAAAGGGCAGAAACTGCAACAACGATGTATGAAAGGTATACTTTAAATATATATCAGAGGTATCATTTTGACTGTGTATTGCCCTTGTTTATTTTAATGGTAACGGAGTCACCTTTCAATCACGGCCTTCTGTCAAGGCAGTTCAGTAGCTTCAGCCGGCGATCTGCACAAAGAAGAATTTTAGTGCCCTTCAAGTTGGCCTTTTGCTTCTCTTGAAGAAATCATCATTAATAAATCCAGTTAGACTTCCACGTTCTTCTACTGTAGTCAAACAAACCATGAATGAACCAAAATTTCATCCAGCTGTTTTAATACGCAAAGGGTACCATCATCCATTCATCATGGTTTAAATTGACCGGCAGAAACAAGACAAAGATATCTTTAGTGCTGCTGTTATCTGTCAATTCTTCTTCTTTCACATGTTTTATGTTTAAAAAAAAGGCCAATGGATCGTTGTTTGATTGATGGTAGTTGGTTTAGGCTTTTTTGGGGGGTTATAAGAAGAATGATCAAGGAAGAGAACCCACCAATCCTTTTTGCCACTTTGTCAACCTTTTGGTTTACCCCACTTTTGGGGAGCAGGTGGAAGCTTGCAGCCAAAATTTTGGGATCTCTGTAACTACTTTCTTACCACCCTTCTCGTATTTTTCCTCTTCACCCAAATAACTTTGTCTTATAACTATGATGCAGATGGATCAAAGCCTGAAACTTTCCCCCTAATCCATCCTAACGAGAAGAAGAGTGCTTTCAGAAGTTTAGAACATGTTGAGCACAGTGAGCAGAGCTCTAAGGCTGCTGCTATCCAAGATCCAATGGCTGGTGTGGAAGCGCCCAAGGCCAAAAGTGATCATAAGAAGGCTGGGGAAGAAGAAGAGCTCCAAAGATCGCTGCAAATGGGACGCCACCACCCAGAGATCGTCAAGCTTCCGGTTGCGAAAACTGAATCTTTCCAACCCACAGAAGCCAATTCGAGTGGCCACTTTCAACGTCGCCATGTTCCACCTTGCACCTGCAATTCCAAGCTCAGATGATGGTCCGACGAAATTGGGATTCGAAGAGGAGATGTTGGAGGAACAGTTCAAGGCGGATCTCAGCTACCACCATCCAAAGAGCATCCTGAAGCAATCCTCTCCCGCGAAATCCCCATCGTCGAAGCTGAAAGTATCGATCAACCTTCCCGAAAACGAGATATCTCTGGCCAACATGGGCGGTGGGGGGAAGAAGTTCTTGAGCATTGTGGAGGAAGAAAGGGAAGGTTCGTCGAGGATCATCGCCAACAGGAACTACCGGAGCAGCGTGGTGATGAGATCACCTGTTTCTTTGCCTGCAAGTTATGGTTATATGGCGAAGCCGCATAGTGGTGAAGATAGGTTGATGAGTGGAAGGAGAAGCGTTCTGGAAGTGATGAGAGAAGTCGGTGCAGATGTTTGGGCGCTGCAAGACGTGAGGGCGGATGAAGAGATGGAGATGAGGCCATTGTCTGATCTAGCTGCTGCACTGGGGATGAAGTATGTGTTTGCTGAGAGCTGGGCGCCGGAGTATGGGAATGCTATCCTCTCCAAATGGCCGATTCGAAGGTGGAAAGTTCAGAAGGTTGCTGATGATCAAGATCACAGGTTGGTTTTTGCCAAGATCTCACTCCTTTTTTCCCGGCAGAAAAAATTGCTTGATTAGTCTTTCGAAGTGGTGGTTTGATTGTGATGATTTCTATAGGAATGTGTTGAAGGCCACGATTGAGGTGCCGTGGGCAGGAGAAGTCGATGTCTACTGCACGCAGCTCGACCATCTCAACGAGAACTGGCGAATGAAGCAGATCAACGCGATCATGCAATCCAACGACTCCCCCCACGTACTCGCTGGAGGTTTGAACGCTCTGGATGGTTCGGATTACTCGTCCGAGAGATGGATGGACATTGTCAGGGTAAAAAATTCAAACCTTCTTTCTCCATGGCTATCTTGTGGTATTTTTCCCATGTACTGAACTACTGATTAGCTCAATCTGGTTTTGCAGTACTATGAGGACATAGGGAAGCCGACGCCAAGGACGAAAGTGATGGAGTTCATGAAGGGTAAAGGCTACAAAGATGCAAAGGAAAATGCAGGCGAATGTGAGCCCGTGGTGATCATCGCCAAAGGCCAAAGTAAGCAATATACTTCGCGTAGAATCAAACGGATGTTTTGCACTGTAATTTCGAACTATCGTATTGATCGTTGATTCCGTCTCTAGATGTTCAAGGGACGTGCAAGTACGGTACGAGAGTGGACTACGTTCTAGCGTCGCCAGACTCACCGTTCGAGTTCGTTCCAGGATCCTACTCAGTGATCTCATCCAAGGGCACCTCTGATCACCACATAGTTAAAGTCGACCTCACAAAAACAGGGCAGTCTTACAAAAGGAATGAAACGGGTAGAGTGCAGCGCAAGAAACCTAAGCAGAGGATTGTTAGGATCACTGAACCTTGGTGCTCTGGAGGCATTTGGAAGCTAGATCCATAGAGGGCCATCAGGGTAAGTTGGTCACTTTACAGGACTTGCTATGTTTTGTATACTTGCTTCAGGTTAAAGATTTAAGCCAGTATAATTAGGGCCTATTACTTGTAACTATACATGTAATTCTGTGTTAGTATAGAATATAATCGGTTGTAGAATAGCATTTGCAGCACTAGCATGGAGATGAGTTCCTATGAGATTCTTTTTAACCTTATTGTAGATTTGAGGATTTGTGGCCCGGTGCCTTTAATATACGATATGCGATGTACTTAATATTTTAGTATCAATGTGTAGAATCTAAGTCTATCGCCATTTTCATAAGCTTAATATTTTGTAGTTAAATCAAATTTTGTTAAAACTCAGACAACTAAAACTAATAACCTTTAGTGCCTCTCAATATTCTCCCTAATATTTACAAGGGAAATCAAACATGTAAACTCTAAACTATCAACTACTGGTCCTATCTCATCTTGTCTAGGGCGGCGAATAGCAACTCTCTTTATCTACTTCGCACCAACTTTTTCAACTCGAAACACAATTGGTTTGGAAACTTTGATACGGGCTAATCCCATATAAACCCGAAAAAAGACATTCAGTCCGTAAATTTCCTCAATTTAGCCATCACCAAAAACCAAACATTCCATTTTACACATAACACAATCAACTTATACAACACACATGAACAAAGTATATCAAATTACATTTGCCACAAACTTGATATGCACTCTTAATGGGGGAAACAATCTCCACTTTCAGATTAAAAAAACTCTTTCCCTTTTCCTTCAATCCAATCACACAACTTTCTCAGCAACCAAACATCCAAATCAAACACACCACTCCACACTTTCCCCCCACTCTCACGAACTCTTATCATCATCCTCATCGCTCGCCGGCGGGTACCCAATCCCCCGCCGCTTGTTCGGGAAAATCGCAAACACAGCACTCGAAACCACCCCAATCACCGGCGGCAGAGCCATCAGCAACACCTTCTCCTGCGATTCGAACGCCGGATAGAAACAAGAAACCGTATTCCCATCCAACAGCGACACAACCGCGAAAACAACCAGCGACAAGAAAGCATGGAAGAAATCCCCAACCCTAACCCTGTACCCGGAGAAATCCCTCCCGCCGGAGCCCGACGTCGGCCAGAACCCTTTAAACGTGGCGACCCCGTAATGTATCATCCCATTGCCGTCGACGTAGCTGTCGGTGAAGGAAGCAAAGCAGCAATTGAACCCGCAGACGACCAGCAGGGCGCCGACGAGGTACTTGTTGACGGCGTTATGGCATTTGCCGTTGTTCGACAGGACGGGGTTCAGGAACTGGAACATGAACACGGTGCCGGTCGGGAGCATCTTGATCATGTTCCCGAGTCCCGAATAGACCCTGTCCTGAGTGGATCGCTGCCGCGGCGGCGGCGATCCTGAAGAAATTAGACCTGTTTCCGCCATTGTTTTTTTTTTTTTTAACCTGATGGGTTTCAGGGGACTCTGTTTTTTTTTTATGCTCTGCCTCTCTGGGTTTCAGGGGATTGTTAGTGTAGTGTTGCTGAGAGGGGATTTGGTTTTTATAGTGGGGGAAATTGAATGGGTTTGCTTATACGTAAGAGATTGCAAACGGAAACGAAATGGATTAGCGTTTACTCTCAGGAAAATTGTGAAGGTAGAGTGGAGGGCGGCGTTGCCTTATAGTTCAAGCAATGGTCTGGTTCAGGAAAAACGTGACTCCAAGTGTCGAGTGATGCACACTATGTTGTCACAATTCAACAAATCAGTTATAGAGGACATCATTTCTTAGACGGGTATCCTCAATTGATATTCGAGTTAGACGATGAGTCGTTTGTGTCGAAATTAAGGTAAATTATGGTCGGTTCGGTTCAATCATCAGTTGGAGGAATCGACAGAGTTTTTACCTTTGCCCAAAATTTACTATTGATGTAAGGTGAGAGTTTGCTTTCTTCATGCCGACTTTTTTTTTTTTTCATGGTATGGTAAGTTGGTAACTGTATGCATTCTCTGGTTTGGTTTTTGGTTGTTGTTGATTTGGTGAAATCAGTAGCTAGCAGACATGGTAAAAATGGACGGATTACTTGCTAATAAGATTTATGGGTCTTCTCGTGGTAAATAGCAAGCCACAAGACAATAGGATTAGGAGTTAGTTACCACCTTCAGAAATTCCAACTCAAATTTGTTGACCCTTGAAGGTTACATACTGGTGCACAGAATATGACCAAATTATAGATCAGAGTTTTGGGTTATCAATATCGTTTCATGATTTCAAGGTGGTTGAGCTCGAGTTATAGTGTGCTCCCTATTTATTTCCCGAAAAATATCTCTTGTCACGTTAGGTGACAGAACACCTAATACCAGTTCATTCACGCCATTTTATACTCACTCACGCCATTTTGTGCTCATTCACGTAATACTATGGTGATTTACGTAAGAGTGTAAGTTTTTCACGTAAATGAAAATTCATACTTTTGTCCCCTAATAATTTGTATTGGCTATATTTTATGGAATTAAATTTGGATTAAAATTTAATCTACACAAATATGTTGCATTGATCATAATCTATAAATGACATCCATTTTGATATATTTCAAAGTTTGAAATTTTATTTTACAACGGCGTGAATAATTAACAATATGCGTGAATAAACATCAGGTGGCGTGACCTAATAATATTGATTGCGTGAATAATCAACGCTCTTATGTGAATAAAGCAAATATGACGTAAATAACACAAATATGGCGTGAAAACGCAAATATAACATGAATAACCCAAAATTAGGTGTTCTATCACCTAACGTGCAAGAGACTTCTTGTTAATTGATACAGTAATGCAGGTTCTATCTATTTTGGGAATATAAAATACCTTGAGAGTTTGTTGTTATTTCAACCAAGACAAACTTGGCAAGAATTGAGTTTTTATAAGGATGATATAATTTTTTTATTAAGGTACTATTTAATGGATTCGAACCTGTAACCTCCAGATTCTAGGCTAAGAGTATTATTACTAGACCAAGTCCTTGTTCGTTTGGCAAGAATGAGTTTTTGTTCTTATTCGAGTTCCGTTCGTCCAATCTCTTCGAGAGTGGGCAAAATTTGTGAAGAGGCAGGGTGGCTCCTTAATCCATCTTCCAACGATCAACATCAGTATCATTATAAGAAGAATATGAAGAGTAAACCTACAGAGAGTTTAGAGAGGTAAGTTGTATGTAAAATTAAGGAGAGTGGAGATAGCCCTCTAGTTAGTAACCCTAATTAGTTGCTTTTTAAAGGTAAATCAAAGGCTTGTGTGCTTATCTTGGCCTTTCGTAGGATTTTGAAGGCGCTTACCTAGTACGACACATATATAGTGGATCGTAGTCGTATTTCGTGTCGTCTAGCCATGTTTATGCTCCCAACAATTACTTGACTTAATCATTTAACGTTATTGTTTTGAGCTAGGTATACAAATGCATAGAAAAGACACTTGAGCAGTCCTTCAAAAGTCATTGATAATACATGTCCCAAAAAAAAAAACTAGATATAACATAATCAATTCAAATTGAACACAAAAATGGTAATATCCAAATGATTTAGTCATCCCATGTAGTTGATTGAATACCATGTCAAACATGAACACTATTCAATGAATCTATCATAATACAATTGATGACTTTTTAGATAGATAGGATGGCCATCTGTAATTGGGTGTAAAGAGGAGGATCCTTGAAAGTTTAATGCTAATGCATCACCTTCATGTTTATAGAAGTGTCTGGTCTCAATTTGGTTGGTATTGCCTTTAAAGGATAAAAAAAAAATGAGGGTGGCAAAGCCTTCAACTCAAGATGGGAAATTCCCAATTTTGAAATTGTTGCTTATGTAAAATGTACACTTATTTATTCTTGTATGAAGTATCATATAAATACTAAAAATTGGCATACGTGCCACAGGAGGTAAAGCAGGGGAATTTGGGATATATGTTCTCTATTGTCTTAAGTTAACAACAATATCTTTTTGGATTTTTATAGATAAGACAATATGCTCATATGGATAGGGACATAAGATTGTTGAGAAATTTTATATAGCTTCTGTGTTTTGGTTTAAAAAAAAAGTTATTTGTAGTACAAACTGAACTTATAATTTTAATATTGTGGTATAGGCTCCTTTTATATTTTGAAACACCAAAACTTTAGAGTATAGTGAAAGAGCTCAAGATCGGCTTGGTTATACAGATTGTAATGTTAGGAATCACTCATGTCTACCCGGAGAGCAGTCATGTTGTAGATTTCTTAGCAAAAGGATACCCGTTCTTTTTAGATTTCACTCGATGAATTGTAATAACACAAGATTTTGATGCTCGACAACTTATAATATTTTAGGAATCATCAATCCTGCTCATTACAAATATAAGTTAGAGCGGTCTTTTCGCATCCGAATTTACTAGAAATTTTAAGGATAATGTATATTTTTTATCTAAACCCTCTTCAAATTCTTTTATATTATCCAAACCTATCGAAATACTAAAAATTAGCCAAATATTGACTTTCAATTAGCAATTTTGTTAGTAATATTGACTTGGCAACATGATACTGACTTGAAAGAGACACATGAAGGTCAACATTCCAAAATTTTAGTATTTTAACTAAGAAAAAAGCTACAATATGAATTCCTTTAAGATTGGCATGCTTTGTTTTCTATCCAAACTTGACACAAAGCTATTGAGAATGAGTTTTTCACACCATCTTTAAGTTAGCGTCGTCGTAGAAATATTCTTTTTCATTTATTACATCGCATTTCTTAGGTCAACATAAAAATAAGGATCGCATTTTAATTTTCTCCGGCCAACGGGCCGGGCAACAAGCTAGTGTTGAATAAAGTTGTCTTAGGATAGGTCGAACTTCTCCTAGTATGATATCATTTTGCCTATTAGAGGTCGACACAAATCTAAGTTAGATGATTTTGATTAGGGCTGCAAACGAGTCGAGTCGAGTCGAGTTTTTACTTAGCTTAAATTCGACTTGTTTATAAAATTTTCAGCTCGAACTCGACTCGAACTCGAATTTGGATAATCCAGGTCGAGCTCGAGCTCGACTCGATTAAAAATAATTCAGCTCGACCTCGACTCGGTAGAGCTTGGTAAATGCTCATTAATACAACTTGTCAAGTTGAGTACATGTTCGGCTCAAGATGAGCTCGATTTGAAATCATTCTTGCTGAAAAATGCTTAAACATTAGAATTTAAATGACAAAAAAAAAACACTAAAAACTAAAAATAATAGCTAACTTCTATACACATTTGTATTAACAAGATAATGTTCATATTCAGAAGAGTAATTAATCATTCCACAAGCACTAAATAAGACAGCTCGCGAGCTTAGCTCAACAAGCCACTGAATCAAGCTAGCTCACGAACTTATCAAGCTGAGCATGATCTAGCTCAAGCTTGGCCCGTTTACTAATGAGTCGGCTCGCGAGCAGGCTTGTTAAATAACGAGCTGAGTGTCGAACGAATTTTTCCCGATTCGAACTCTGAGTTGCTCGCGAGCGGGTTGACTCATTTACAACCTTAGTTTTGACTTATAGGTAGTCATAGTTACTTTATCACTACCAAATTGTAGTTCACTCCTATTTAAAATTTGGGTAATGTCTATTTTTTATCCAAACTTTTTTCAGATTCTTTTACATTATCCAAACCTATTAAAATGCTATCAATTAACCAAATCTTTCGTAATGCATCAATATATTAGTCTTTTTTACATTATCGTTATTGATGATTTAGATTCTAGGAAACTCAATGCACATGCATAGAATGGACAATAATGAGACTTCAAATATATATTTGTCATGAAGAAAGTACTGAAAATTCAAAATAGACTCAACATAGTTGGAGTAAAACAAAGTTAAAATATTTATGTGGCAAAGATGGGTCATCCACAACATAAAACTTAAAATAAAGAAAACTAATAGTAGCTATAAGCTATTCCATCCATATGACTGAGTAAACCTACTCCTCCTCACTTAATTTCCTCTTCAGAGGCATACAAAAACCACCATCAAGGCTACCATCTCCTTCCTGTACATGCCCAGCTGCAATTGTGGTATCCATAATGGATTCTCCGGTAGATTGTTGTCCCACGACAGTGATGGGTGAAGGTGAAGACTTATTTCCTTCCTTAGAGTGTTGAGACAAAATGCAGCTAATTAAATTTGTGATAGAAGGTGGAGGCACATTTTGTGGTTAAGGTTCAGTTCATATTTAGTTAACAACAATACGAAAAAAGCATGATTATGCATAGCAAGCAAATTGGGGAGTCCAACGTTCATAGGTAATCATGTTCTATACTGATGCAACAGGCCAAACCACCACGTAGAAACATGAGTAGCATAAGGTACAACACAGGTTGTAACTTTAGTTGAGAAAAAATGGGACTTTCACTCATAGCCCAAATAGAGACAACCGCAGGAAAATGAATAATCATTATTCATAGGCTTGCTTCTTCAATCATCAAAATAGTTCAGAGTTCAGCATGCAAATGGCATTCCATTAGCTGGAAATTAAGCATCACTACGACATCCATTCCCATCGTTTCATTAAAAGCAAGAAAGCTTATAAATGGAAGCACATACCTGACCAGGTTCAGACGTTTTAGTGCGTAGCTGATGTACCCCTTCAGGCTCAACAATCTTCACGACACTAAATCCATGTCCTGGATTTTTGAAAGTGTATGAATTGAGTTTGACTTGTAATGTGACATCTAGCCCTTGAAAGTTTTGAATAACAGATGGAACCCCAGTAGGTTGTTGATCGTTCGATTTGTAAAGTTCTTCAGCCATCTTATCAAAAAAATTACCGGCTTCATGATCCAGCACAACAAAAAGTGCTTCAGCAGATGAGTCTATCACAGACAGCTCAAACCGAAACCTGCAATGGATAAGTAGATGATATTATAATCGTAAATATGTTATACTGTTGACTAAATAGATTTTTCTCAATATGACCAATAACATGAAGTAGTAAGGAATTCATAAGAAGCATACAACATACACGAACCTTTTCACTGATTGAATTGAGCGTGCATTACACTTGTCACAGTAGAAATGATCCACTCCAGCATGCAATTTGGAGGAGCATTTCGCACAACCATCATAGCACCAGTTGTGCATGACTTCACAAACGTTGCCGCTAATAGTGAACACCTTATTCTTGGATGACAAACGAACAACTAAAATCAACATGTCTGCTTTATAATAATTCAGCATAAATATTCTTGTGCATGGATATAACATGCTTGTCCTTGATCAAAAAACTTATAGAGACACTGGTCTACATTACCTTATTGGCAGAGTTGCTAAGTAGGCTCATCAAATCTTCTATGAAAACTGGTGGGGGATCAACTTCTCGTTCAAGGAACCGTGGAGAACTTAATTCATGATTCCTTGCACCAAAACTGAACAATTAGTAAATGCATATGTATTTCTTTGAATTATGCTTCTGTTATGTTATGTGTATGAACAAACAAACTCGGAAAATAATACCTTTGCTGGAAGGCTGCAACTTCAGGTAAATCTAAACTTGCATAAAATTTGGTCGCACTTGACGATGATAATTTCACCTCACCTGATAAAACCGAATTGGAGGACTACGAAGTTAAGCATCCACTTATTACTACTGTAATAGATAGTTCAGTTGAACTTACCATTGTACTTTGTAACAAACACAGAAGAAATAACCAAAATGATTGGCTCGGTACCGGCTGCCAAGATGACTTCATCTAGTTGAGTGATAAGTCGTCCCCAAATTACTAAAGTCACCATAACTCCCCTAAGATTTTTGTTGTTAACCATTAGTCAGTATAACAATAAAGAAGATGCAAGCAAACTTTTAAGTTGGAATTTTTATGTTTTGAGCAGTACTCAAGCAACATGATCTTAATTTCCTTGCGAGTAGACCTCCCTCTCAGATTAGTCGTGGTAATAGGAGTCATACATACCTTCACCAGACCAACAACATCTACATCATGGGATAGAGGTGGGTATCTCATAAGTTAGTAATTGAACATTGAAAACACCTGTACTACAAACGGAAACATTAATTACTACAAACAGAAACATTAATTACCAAGCAAAACCATTCTGTTGTTGATGTTCTTGGGTATGTCAGAATGCTCGATGAATCTGAAGATGTGGCGATGGATGGGCTGTGTACTGTCCGTGGGGCGAATGGTTGTCCCTGGTTGAAACTCAATGCACAATGGATTCTTAACAGGACGATACTTCTTGTTGTCAGTTAATTGACTCACTTTGAACTTCGCAATGATATAGATGGCTTGTTCTTTAATCTTTGAATCAAATCTCTTGATCAAGTTTCGGGGTACTTGAACCCAAATAGCATCTCCCTGTGACCACATCCACAAACTAATGTTACAAAATTGAGGTTGGAACATGTCATACATAAAGCTTTGTACCGAAGGTCGTAAATACCTTTGCATCCAGCAACAACATATATAAACTCATCACAATATCAGTATTCGGGTTGATAGCTATCCATTTCCTTGAAACTCTGCATTGCAAAACGCGAGTCCGATTTTCTTCCGTGGTGAGTTGAGCAATCGGAACACTTTGATCCATTGCTGGGAGTGCCTTCTTCATAGACAGAGGGAAGCTCGAAGTAAGCTTTATATTCACACAACTGGGTAATTTGAGGTTTAGAGTTAACAACTCACCGTTTGAAGTGAACGCAATCGTCTGACAGGTGGAGAGCTACCTTTTCGTCGGTGCTTCCCGTCCCATGATGTCCACGTTCGGATATGAGATAGTAGTCAAAGAGATCTATTATAACCCTCACCATGATCTCCGAATCGTAGGGAAAGGCTACCCACGTTCTGGTCGGCGGATTCAAGTACTTTGGAGAAACCCCCTTTGTGTTCGTCCTTACTGGGGAAATAGAGAAGCGGAGAGGATGCCTGCTGCCTTCCAAGGAATAATGAAAGGATTGGAATGGTTCAGGTAGGCTAATATTAAGATAGATATTGATGGGCTTTAAAACTCAAAATATATCAGGCGAAGCCCCAAATATAATTTTGTGTCCAAAGAATGGTTTATGGGAAACTCACCAAAACGCAGAGTATCCGTCATCTTCAGACAATTCTTTGATGGATGGGATATAGACTCCTGGGCAACATTGTCTAAAACAACCTCCTATCACAGATCCGTCATCCATCGTTTCCATTCGACTGCTCATCTTATGCCTCTTCACTGATGTCTACCTCTTTCCGTTCACTTCATCGTCTCCATGAACATCAATGGTATCCATCTACCCTCTTTTATCAATCAAAAACTGAAGTCCATACATTTTCCTTCAGACAAAGGGATCGGAATACGAAAATGGAAGTCCCTCTCCTTGATTTCCGCCTCTGTTGCTCCTCCCCGCCAGACTTGACGGCTCTCGATCGCGATTCATAACTTCGTCCCTTCACAATTCTTACGTCCTCAGCGCAATCCCCCAATAGAATGTTGGCGCCCGATTAATTGAAAGATGAATCCCGCTGGGTGTCAAGGTGGGGTTTACAGTCGAGTGCAAAACTACAAAATGGCGCCTCCTGTTGTGCCTTCGCCGATAGTGGAGGTAACCCCCTGAAATCGATGTCCCCTTTCGTTCGTCATTCGATCTATGTCCTCCTTCGATTGTTAGAGTACCCCTCTCCATCTCCTCGTTCTTACTCTTTGTCAAATTGGTAGGGGGTTTATTCTCCTTTTTTCCATACGACCCATGGCACAAATGTCATGTTTCTTGTTCTGAAGCCTTGATCTCAACGTCAGCTCAATGTAGATTGGAATTCGTAAGCTTGTACTACACTATATTGCCTTCGTTATAGCTTGTTCATAAATGGGGTTTGGAGTCAAAATTTGTATAACTTATGAATTGATTCACTCCTCAATTACCTGACTTTTTAAGTTTGACTTATTGCCCTTCGGTTGGATTTGATAAACAGGTGATCTGAAACTCGCTCCTTATTATGTAATTATATCATAATGAGTTTTTATTAAAAAAATTTCGTAGGATGATCGATGAAGAAGAGCACTTGTTTCACGATCGCGGTAGAAAGCAAGGGACTGGTTCTTTCTTGTTTGAAAGTGAGGGTCCAGAGAAGGCTGCCAATAACGAACCGACAGTCGTTAAATAGAATGAGGTAAGTTCAATTATGTTGCTTACAACATTCTGTTTCTTGGATTCATTGGAAGAACCTTTAGGAAATGACTTGTGATTCATGATTACCAGGAATTCTTCGACACACCTAAAGCCACATGAAGTTTAAGTGCACAACAGCATTTCCAAATCTCATTTACAATTAGGAGATATACATGTCTCTATGGCGAGAGAAGGATTCCAAAGCATCCTAGCTCAAACTCTTTGGAGCAACTGACTTCTTGGACCCTGCTATGTAAGTACCAAACTCCCTTGGTTTTATTTAAGTGATGGAGTCTGTCTATTAACAGAGTGATGTGTTCTAGATTATAAGTAGGTAAAATCCTTCAATTGAAAAGGCACAAAATTGAATTTAAGAAACCAAATTTAAGGAAATATATTTCATAACTGAATTTTAAGAAACATGATCAGTACTTAGAAAGCAGAAACATGATAGCAAATAGACTGACCAGCTAATTAACACTTGCTGGTCCTAATGTTAAGCTAATAAAGAAAGAAACATATATGAACACATTCACGTCCCCATAAACCACTAATCCCTTGACGAAACATTATCTACCAGAACAACTTGCGCAGGACTACATCAAATTCATTTGTCAACTGGTTGAAACCACCTAGTTCGACCATCAACTTGAATGATTGACCCCTTAAAGATTCCAAGAGAATGCTGAAGTTCTGGGTCCATTCTCTATCTGTTCCCTCAATAATACGACTTGCAATCCAGCGGAACTTGCTTGTCGTAAACATAACAACAACTTCATCAGATCCTTTATGAATATTCAACTGCACCATAAACTTGAGCCTCGAGGGGGACCAGAAGATATTCACATCTTTCACTTGGGCATCAACAATAAAGTAAATGCCCTGCAATGCAATGAAGAAAAAAGATTGGAATAACCATGGTTTGGGTGAAAATTTACTCTTTTGTTAGTTGTTAAAACAAAGCACATATATAAATCGAATTGGTGATTACTGTCCAGCCGATTGTGGAAATACATTACCTGGTTATTGATGTCAGTCTTGTACATGTTCAGCTCAGGAATTGAAGAGATGATACTCACCCCTAGGGCTTCCTCCAAAGTATAGTCAATAGCCAGGAGAGCATTTTCTATACTGTTATTTAGTAGGAATGCGTTAGTCACATGATAAGTGCAAGTTCAGTTTACAAATTCCACGTATTTCTGTTCTACCCGATACTTACTTATTCAGCAAAGGGTGTTGGTGAGGATAGTGCAAATTGCAGTAGAGTTTGGTGGCATTTGATCCAACACAGTAGTGTTGACCTAGAGTCAACGCATACAACAGTTCAGCAATAGGAGTAGCTTTAAAACAATACGTCACAAAAGCTTAAAACAAAAAGAAAGACTAATACCATTGAAATGTTGAACTACCACAGAGGTGAACACAACTGTGGTTCCAGGTCCCGGGTGATGAGGCATCAATTCTTGGAATTGATCAATCAGACCATCCCATAAGATGACTTCCACTATGTCACCCCTAAAGTAAAAAATAACCACAATGGTGAATGCACCCAACAAAATGCAGGAATACATGCAATTTCAATCGTAACGTAAAGACAACAAAACTAACTCTATCAATCTGAGGTCAACAGTTTTTCGCCTTAGAACAGCAACATCCTCGAATAGTGCTTGTTCTGGTCCGGCAGCTACAACCTCGCCGATTATATCTGACCAAACACAGAGAGACAGACTTATTGGGACTGAATAACTAAAACAAAACAAAAAAATCAAAGTTGAGTGTGCATTAGCGTTACCAGACATATAGGCATGGTTGTGGACAGCTTGCGGTAGATCCGCGGCAGCCAAAAAACGGAAATTATACGTCGGTATATCATGCGCATTCGCCACTTCTTCAACCAATGTATCATCACCAAAGCAGATTCGGCGGGTAGAAGGCGAAACCCTATAGTGACCATGATAGGAACGAACCACAAAGTTTCTGAAGACGTAAATCCTTCCGGCCTGAAGAATGGGCTGAAACTCTGGTACATTAACGGAGCTAACTAAGCCCTGCATCTCTGTCCCCTACAAAACAAAGGGCGTTTCAGTTCACTGTTTTATACTGTATGATTGACGCTAAAGCATCTAACGTTAAGACTTGTAAATCTTGAGTCAATGATACCTCGTTGTCTAGCAGCAACATATAAAGTTGGTGAATCTGCACGCCATCTGGCTTCATTGTCCTCCATAATCGAAGGATCCTGACGCGGACAGCGGCGTTGTCTTCATGCAGGTTGAGCTGGGATAGACTGCGGAACTCCATGGATGCTTTCAAACAAATAAAATCTAGGTAATGCTTTTCAACAGTGTGAGAGCTTCTGAGGGTCACGCTTGCCTTTATATAGTGTTCCGATTAGATGTGGTTTGTGCTGGAAATGAGTGAAAGAGTGGATGAACGTGGAGGTCATGGGAATAACCCCACTAACATCCTGTACCAGAAAGTATCTTAATTCTTAAGAAGGTCAAGAAGTTTTTGTTTTTTTTTTTAAATTTATAAGTGAATTATATTATGATTTAATAGAAATTTTTAGTACCTTGTGTAATGTATGGTAAGATTGTTGTGTGTGGGTGACGGAGGATCATGGTTGTCATGCCAGCCGGCATGGCACCGGTTGAACCTGGTTCAACCGGTTCTGGTCATGAAACTGGCATGACACTACCGGTATGACCGGCATGACAGATTCACCAACTTCATAAGTTAAACTATATCATTTTAGTGAATTTAAATATAAGTACATGTAATTTTATTGAAAATATCACATTTTATATAAATATCAATACGAATTGTACGTAAATTGTCTTCAAATATGATTTATATATGATTAAATTCATTTGACATTAATGATTTTTTACTTTTGTACATATTTTATTAACCGGCATAAACCGGTTGTACCACTGGTATAACCATTCCACTTGTTAAACCGGCACAACGGTATAAACCGGTTTGACAACTTTGTTGAGGATTCAAACCGGTTCCGGTCATGAAACCGGCATGACACTACCGGTATGACCGGCATGATCGATCTGCGAATTTTTAAGTATAATTATATTGTTTTCGTGAATTTAAATATAAGTACATGTAATTTTATTGAAAAAATCACATTTTATTTAAGTATCAATTCGAATTGTACGTAAATTGTCTTCAAATATGATTTATATGGGATTAAATTCATTTGACATTAATGATTTTTGACATTTCTACATATTTTATTAACCGGCATAAATCGGTTGTACCACTGGTAGATCATTCCACTTGCTAAACCAGCACAACGGTATAAACCGGTTTGACAACGTTGCCGAGGATTCAAATTTTGCCACATAAGCCTAAATTTATGCACATTTCTTTTTACATAATGCTAGTGTCCCTAAATTCATCTGGTTTTGTCCCTTGTGTGGTGATTTCGTGCATTGAGCATTTTGTTTCCATATGAAAGACACCAATGTTGCGATGACATGTACCCACATAATCTTGGTATATTTGCAGCTCCAACGTAATTAGAGGTTATGATCTAGCCATTTTAGGCTGCGGAGTGATCCCACTGAACTTATTACTGAAATTTCCTACGTGGAAGAAGCTCCATCTTTGGGGTATGATTCCAGCATCATGACGAACCCCTTAATGTGAGCTGGCAGGTCCACTTAAAATCGCTCTTAGATTCCACCGAGCTGGTAACTCCCCTACATCTCTATCTGCAACCAATTTTCATATACCCTGATATCTAACTTCAACTCTGAATTTACTTCCCTCTTCTGAAGAATTACTCCCATGCAGATGCTTAAAAGTGAGAGAGTGCAGGAAATGGGTGCTGATGAATGTATAATATGTCGCCTGTCCAGCATGTTATACACTTACAAACAACAATATGGATCAATTATTACCACTAAACAGTTTACTACATGCACCAGCATTGAGAGAACACTTTTGTCAATATGGAGAACGTGTAGCTTGCTGATGCTTCGTAGGGTGGGCCAGCTGTTTCTTTAGACACGTAGGTGTTCAGGTTGGATTCTCTATTTATGAACTTGTTGGCATTTTGCCTATACCCATCTCACAGATAAAATGTAACTAAATTCTCATAGCTAGGATAGGCAAAGAGGCAACCAAAAATTAGATATAATGTTTGGTGTTTGAACTCAGGTTATGGTTATAGCCACGTAGAAACTCAAACGCAATAAACATAAGTGCAAAGAAAATTAGCATGTCCTTGTAAATTTGGTGTCACAAAAGGTGTCAATTTTATATGATGTTTTGTTGACACATGTCTCAACTTCCTGTATATATATGAATCAGAAATCAACAATGTCATTATCCCTGTCACCTACTTCATTCATTTTCAGAAATTATAACCATATAAGATGAGAACTCCACCAATACAGTACAGATGGAAAAAATTGTTGGAAAAAGCAATTAGTTCCATCAATCTAGAATCTCTTTGTAGACAACATTTTGCATACTGAGTGTATGCTCTCCATCAGTGTTGCAGCTATATATCTTAATCCCGGCCTTTCGAGTGACACGCGACAATGCTACGTATAACTGGCCATGACAAAATACTTGTTTATGCAAATACAGGCCTACATGATGAAGGGTTTGACCTTGGCTTTTGTTGATTGTCATGGCAAATGATAGGGCAATAGGATATTGACGACGCACCAATGTAAAATGGAGACTTTTGTACCGTTCTGATAACTTCAATCTAGGTAAGAATACACGCTCGCCAATACTGGTACCTGTAAGAATTTGAACCTCAATAAACCAAGAACCCATTTTTGTTACAACCAGCCTTGTTCCATTAACCAAACCAATACTTTGATCCAAGTTCTTGAGGAGAATAGCCGGACATCCAATCTTCAACTTCAACTCATGATCAGGGAAGTTGCCAACCTTCAAAGAATTCAAAAACTCTGTAGAATAATCACTCTCCATAATATTTGGTTGTCCGGGATCAACTTCAATGGAGTCACTGCTAAGATAACATCTTGGCTCACCAGGAAATTCCAGCAGAACTTGAGAATTGATAGCCGATACAGCTTCATGGTGAGGGGCCAGTATAGCTCGTTCAACCAAGTACTTATAATCAGAATAGCATGTTGACAGGTCAGGATATGTTGACTTGACAACATCAGAAATAGGATCATGTATCGGTTGAATACACAGTTCTGATGGAATTTTAATTGTTGATTCACCAAACACATTTGAATTGATGCCATCTCCAATTTGTAAAATCCAAGAGCTAAAGGCAGAAATTTCTTCATACTCGGATGCAGACTCTGCCATAGAGCGACGCAGTCTCATGTTCTGCGTCAATTTTAACACTATGATATGTTCCCAGATGTAAGATTTCTTTATGGACGCATTTAGAATCTGATTTCGAGTACCTTTCGGAACAACAGGCAATGTTTGTCGAAAGTCTCCACCAAATACAACAGTCAAACCCCCAAAAGTTCTCTCTGCACTACGGCGATCCTTGATGCGCAATATGTCACGAAGAGTCCTATCCACTGCCTCAATATTATGTTTATGAGACATGCACGCTTCATCCCAAATAATCAAAGAAGTCTTTGAAGAAGTTGAGCCAATTCACTACCCTGATCAATGTGACACGTGGATGTAGAGTCACAGTCAATCGGTATAAAGAAACGAGAATGAGCTGTTCTGCCTCCGGCCATTAGCAAGGCTGCAATTCCAGAAGATGCAACACATAACACTATCTTTTTTTCAGACCGCAATTTCAGGCAAAGAACCTGCCACAAGAAAGTCTTCCCGGTACCCCCATATCCGTCAACAAAGAAGCATTTCCCTTGGTCAGCATTGACAGACTGTAATATTGCTATGAATGCAGCCTGTTGATCAGAATTCAGCTTCGGATACATGGCATCAAATTCATGCTTTTGGAGTGCTACATCATAATTAAGTTCCATGGCGATCATACGGTTGCTAGAACGCTGGGCTGTAAATGAAGTTGGAGTTGGCAACCCTGCAATAAGAGACAAAATAGAATGATATAGTTTTCCTATTTTAAAGACATAAAGTAAGCAGAAGCCTCGTCTTAGGTATCTTTAACATAATTGACTAACCTGGAAAATCATATAATGATTTCCAATGCTTTTGTAGTAACTTGTCTATCTCAATAAGACACAATTCCTTAAGTTGATCAGGAGATAATTGCAAGTTTGGTAAATTCAATGCTCTACGCTGACGCACGATAAGATCATCACTAAGTAGTTCCCAGTTCTCCTCCCATAATGTCTTCACATCTGGTACCTGATTGTGTATAAGAATGGTTATGAACAAATTCCTCATTTTATACCCGGATGCCCAAAAAGAAACTTCCTTAATACAATCAGTCCACTCAGTATCATCAGCTAATAAGCCGAGTGCATAACATGCCTCCTTGAAAGTATCATGTACTACCCCATTCACGGTACGGATCTCTTCATAACTTCGACATCCTCTCACCACATGAAGTAACAAACGCAGGTAATACCTATCCTTGGCTGAGGGATAACAATAATATAACCTGCCAATACACATTCTCTGCTTTCGTTTCTGCCATCTCTTTAATTTCTTATTCCATGTGTAGTACTGGGGGAATTCAACAAATGTATACCTCCGAGAAGCATGAGAAGTACGATTAATTTCCATCCATCCCAACAACAGTGAGGTTTCCGACTGAAGCAAAGATTGCATGTTTGATCTCTGCGTGGAATACACTTTGTTTTCCCCAGGTAAGTGAAATGAGAGCCGCATAACTGATGGAGACTGATGATAAAGATCGAATTTATATAGTCGCCAACATGCTTCACCGGCCGTTATGTAACGACAGTCCATGAATGCCTTGATCTCATCTATACGTTGAGTTGCAGCCGAAGAACTTCCATCATTCTCTTGATCACCTGTTGCTTGATTTGCATGTACCGTCGCCATTGCTCGATCCTCGGGTTTGTTAATATACTTGAATAGGTATTTAATGGCCCTGGAAAATGTATATTACTTGGTTAATCACAAATGCTAATCACACTGATTGGAAAAAGGATACTACTGAATAAATAATCACTGTCAAAACCACACAACATGTTTAAATAAGAACTTTCCTTTCATATAAGCATCACCTTGTCAATGTAATAACGTGGCTATTATTGGCTTTATATTGGTACTCTAATACGTTCAGTTCTAATCCTACACTAAGTATATTTCAAATAGAAATAAAACAGAACTAAAATTTTCTTATGGGTTGTCCCAACAGAAAAAACCTGTGTAATGAAGATTGAAACTAACAGTAATTAAAAAGGACAAAAAAATACCTTGACTTATTGCAAAATTCCACATTTATGTGAGCTTGGAACCGCAATAGTAGATATCGATTGTACGGAACCACGAATAGATTATCCAAAGCCACACCTTTGACGTTTACAAATCTGTTATTATTACGTCGCCGATATTTTGCAAACCCATTCTCATCTATAGTTGTCTGACTGCAATATTGTTTAGGAAAGTGCTTAGAACATTCTCCATTTTTCATGCAAGGCGACTTGGGTCCAGCAGCTCCACAAGGTCCATGTAACATAAAATTACAAACTACCTCATATCCTTCTGGATCAATAGCAAGATCAGGAATTTCAGCTGAGATGATTGAATCAATGTCCGTGGTTCCACACAATTTGTCTTCAGCTGCTAAGAAAACCAAAATATGGGAATGGGGGAGGCCTCGTTTCTGGAACTCTAGAGCCCTCACATATGTTGATGAAAAAGGTAAACACCATTAGCAAAGAGGCATAAACATGAAGTATCATAACTGTTAAAAAAAACTATTACTATCATACAATTATTTAAGGAACGATGATGGGGCTATTTGTAAACATGTATTCCCAACTGTACTTTGACTGTGAAACACGCTAGATAGGAGGTGATAAGCAGACACCAAAAGATTATGCAAAGAGCCTAAAAGCTCCTATCAAGTTCTTGAACAACAATTCAGCAATAAATTAACCATATCAGAGAAAACATAAATAAACAAAAGACATCAAGCAAAGAACAATAAATTAAAACACCATAAAGCATACTCCAATTATTTCAATGATGAATTGCATTGAGAAAGAGATAAAACTTACGTGCACATGTCTTCCCAAAAATATGTCGATCCTTGATTTCATACATCAACTGATTTAACTTCATCTTGTACACTCGAGCAATAGCATCAGCACGATTTGGATCTTTTATGCCCCGCAGGGCCAACAGATCACTCATTAATTGAATTTCAGGCCAATTGGCGTTGCATGTAAATGTTATAAACAAATCTGGATAGCCTAGGGAACGACAGATTGCCATCGCATCTTGAAAATTCTCATATTTGTAGCGTGGGCTACCTGTATGCGATGCAGCTAAAATAACATGTTTTCCAGATAATTCCAAGTCTGTGTCACCTCTCATAAATGAATCCAACAGTCCTTGAAAATAATGAGCACGCAATGTTGCCTGATTATTGCGAATCCAAGCGAGTCGTTCTGCTTCAACCAACGCGTAAGCATTTACCATATACTATTGCAACAGTTTTCCAGCTAACAGAAATGAATTTGACTGCTCCAATCGCGTCTGAAGTACATAGCTATAATAATCACATTGACTCATATTTCTTTGGCCTATACCATCCTCATCATCTCCTTCCATAAATTGACCATCATAATAGAATAACTCTGGATGCCACCCATCCTCCCCATATGGGAACAAAATAGGGTACTGCAAAGGCATCAAGCTCGGATGGTACATTGAAATTTGCTCCATTTCCAACGTACAATGTTGAACAATAATATCATGCCCAAACATTTCTTCTCCGGCTTCATCAACAATTAAGGCAGCAATTTCATCTGATGTTGGTAACTCGTACTCTCGTCCGACACCTGCTCGCCTCGACATTCTATTGCGTGCAGCATTAAGCTTTGTGAACTGGGTTTGTAGAGATGTAACTGAAATTTGTAAATGATATTTATTTAGTATAAATAATTATGCTATTAGGAGTGACAAATTATATGAATAAATTATAGGTTGCGGTGAAAAACGACTATGAAACAAATATATTCACTTACGTGTGTCTCCCATATGTGTGGCAGTACGGATCGCTTAGTTGTAAGTATAACACGTCGTCGTTGTCGCGCAACACTAACAAAGTTGGAGGTAAGTTTTTCCAGCTCAGTCTGCATTGCCTCTAACTCTGCACGTGAATAAGAACCACTCTTCCAATGATGTTATAATAAGGTAGAATAATAATATGATCACGGGAAAGAATACGAACTTACCTGCTTCATATACCCTGGGGTCCTTTGGGGCGGGGGGAGCAGTTTCAGGTGGTAAGAAAATGGCACGACCCTTCCCTGCGAGAGATAAGTAGCACAATTAGCGGGTGGATTTCGCATATACGGATCAAGGTTTGGGAAACGCTGGAGTAGAGGGATTTGGTCTAGCAACTTATGCCTGTACACTTGCTTTCTCAAAAACCCAAAAATGTGTTTCTTGGCATGGTCATATGCCTGTTGGCATCTTATAATCATGGATTAAAAGGTCTCCGTGTGGCATATTGTTTTCCTCTGTTCCCCTAACTATTGCGACATGTTTGAAAGATATAAAGTTTCCCATAAATTGAAAGGAATCAAAGATTGTTGTCCTGTAGATAGTCGTGGAAGATGTAAAATTAACAATCCTGCAAGGCCTTTTACTTTGTAATTGAACTCGGCTAGTTACGTAGAAGGAGAAATCTTACACGGTACATTGCTTCGATCCAAGTAATCTTCAATATGCGAAGAAGATGACTCGCCGATGCTGGAAGCTACGTCAAGCATAGTCTATATGTTGAACCAGATGCAGAGAGAAGGTGGGTAGGAGGGGGATTTTGAATCAGGAGAGTTGTAGTGCACGGAGTCGGAGAGTCACGGGGAGAAAGCAAAGGCGGATCGGAGGAGCACTGCCGGTGTGAATGACTGGGGATTCAATCCGGCGGCGGCGCCGCCGGTGTGAGTGACTGGTGATGAGATGCCGGCGAGCAGGTTCGTCCCGTAGTTCCAATTGGTTATCGGCGCTGGCCGCTAGAGAACGGATTCGGAGAGTGACGGGAGAACGCCAAGGAAGAGCTGCACCGCCGGTGTGAGCGACTGGGGTGGGGATGCAAGCCGGCGAGTAGGTCGTCGTGGAGGAGCTGCACCGCCGGTGTGAGTGACTAGGGATGCAAGCCGGCGAGCAGGTCGTCGCTAGGTCGAGTGTAGAGGGATTGCGTCGATTAGTGTTCTGTTTCTGATTTGGAAGATAAACCATTGTAATTTATTATTATTTTTATTTTATTTGTGGGGTATGGGGTCAAGTCGCCCGTGTTTCATCATTTAATAGCAATTTGGGCCCAGATACGGGCCTACACTCCCTTTATCTTCAGCAAGCAAGCTATTGGGCCAGACGAAACACACAAAAAGCCTCGTTTTATTGGGTTGTACAATTCCTAAATTGGGTCTCCGAAAATTGCTCTCTGGCCTGCAATTTTAAAATCCTGAATAACTGTTTCTAACTCCACTATAATATATTTGTAGATGTAGATTTTCACGTGTTCAATAAGATGCAAGTAGAACAAGCCAAATAAGTCCATTAAGAATATATGGGCTCGAAGGCCTTGAACAAGAGCCCAAGCCCTTCTCTCAAAAGGGGAATCGGTAGGTAACAGGGAGAAGCAATGAAGTACGTATAATGTAGACTGTAGAGTGTAGACTTACACATTATAATCCTTAACCAAATTTCCATAACAAGTTAAAGATCGTGGAAATATTTCATGCAAGTAATAATTACGAATCAATTTCGAGCTCCAAAACGTTCCTCTCCTTCATATCTTATATATGAGAGAATGTAAATCAATCCTATCTATCTGGAATCATTTGCTATCATGACAACCATGATTGATCACGGTGATTAGGGTTTAACTTAACTTTGACGAATAATTCCTCGACATAAAATTAAAATATAAAAATAGAGTCATTTGAGGTTTGAATTTCAGTCCCATAGTCTCATACCAAAACTAAGTTGGATTTTTTTTTTAGTTAGTGTCAAACACCGTGGTGCTCAATTAGTAAGATATTGTCCGCTTAGGGTCAAACCCGCACGGTTTTACTCTTGGGTGTCCTTCCCAAAAGGCCTCATACTAATTGGGCTAGGTGGACTCTTATATACAACGGTTCCTTCCCTTGTATTTCTGATGTGGTACTTGGATTGTACCTTAACAGTTAGTGATCCAACTAGTTTCAACTTTCAAGAAACTACATGAATGATCATTTGATTAGATTAACGAACATATCTCGAGAACTCTTGAGCTTGAGATTTGCACTTATGAGCTCAGATTAAGCTGCAAACAAGCCCACTATAGAACCACACGAAGTTCCATCTGGTCCTTCTTAATTGGTGTAAAGCTCCTTTGAGAGCTCACAATAGCCTCTCATAAACTTGCATCACGTCTGTTCAGGAAATGGACAGAGACAATAGTAAAGATTGGGTATGGGTTTGGGCGGTGTATGGACCAGATTTGCAACGTCTACTTTCAGGCAATGGCCCTCCTCCTCCATAAGAATCCAAAGCTAGATATGTGTAGTGTAGGAAGATGCCAATTGTCTCACTGAGTCATCATCTTTCCTATCTGCCGTGGTTTTCAGGTTAAACCTAGCTCCCTTGTTACCTTGCCGCTTCCTTTCCATCTCAGAACTGGGGTGGGTGGGTGGTGGGTCGGGTGGGTTCCGGTCTCTAATTGATATGCCGGTTTATTAACGAGTTGATATGATTGTGACTCGTTATTCATGTGCTCATATTCTTCTTTGGGTTGGATTGGATGGGTGGGAATTGGAGCGGTTGAGTTGTGGGTTAAAACTCTCAACCACCCCAACTTGTCATTAGAGTTTAGACAAGTTGACTAACATTTAAAATAAATTACTCACGGATTAGAATATGGTTGGGAAAATACACTAGACCGTTAGAAAAAAAATTGTTGACCAAACTAAGCCATAGACTATTGAGAATGGTTTGGTCTGGTTCATGGTCAGGGGCGTAGCCAGGATTCCAACTAGGGTGGGTCCACTTTGAAAAAATATACATGATGAAATAGTTTTTGTTAAATTTTTAATTATTCATAATAGAATCTTATATTTAAATTTTTTTATAAAGTAAAACAATTGCTCTCTCTCTATCTACCAAACATAGAATCTATACAATAATAGTCAAAACTATCGAGAATATCACTCTCTCTATGTACCAAACATTTATTCATAATTTAGTTATTCGTTCGCTTTCGAGTGATGTTCTTTGCCAATAATTATTTACTATCAATGATTCGAGTTGTTGAAATAGATTTGATAATGAATCTTATACAAACAATTATTAATGATTTAATTATTTGTTCGCTTTCGAATTGTGTTCTTTGTTAATAACCATATAGTATCAATATCTAGAGTTTTTGGGCGAGGTTCAATAATATATTTTATACTATTTACCAACACCCCATTATAAGAAAATCAAATTATGTGGAATTTAAATTTGCACAAATCCAAATACTATATGTGCTTAACAAATGAGGTGTCAAAACTCGAACACAAGACCTTTCGATCAACGATTATCAATTAGAGACACCGTAATTTTCAGTATCAATTAACTGATATACTTATACCTAATTTAGTCATTTTTCTCCCGAAGTAGGGTGGGTCCTAGGACCCACCCTGTTGCCCTCTCCCTCCGCCCCTGTTCATGGTTTGTGTCAAATCGGGCTGCTCAATTGTTATGGGACAATCCAAGTACCACATCGGTTATACAAGGGAAGGAACCCTTGTATATTAGTGTCCACCAATCTCATTAGTACGAGGCCTTTTGGGGAGGACATCCAAAAGTAAATCCGTGCGGGCTTGGCCCAAAGGGGACAATATTGTACTAATTGAGCAGCCCGATTTGACAAGTGGTATCAGAGCCTGGTTCGGCAAATCGGGGTGGTGGACGTCAGTTTGGTGGATCCCTCATTTGGTGGCTTCGGGATTTGCGATCTGCGTCTGGTTTGGTGGATTCACAAGAGATCCATGTTTGGGCTCATCTGGCGGATCAAGGCGATCCGTGTTTGATTTGGCGGATCAAAGAGAGTTCCGCATCTGGAAAAATCCTTGTAACGAGAGGCCCATCGATACAAGGTGTATGGCGGATAAAGATAATCGCTAAGGTGAGGACACGATATTCGTGGTCCTTGGCTTGAGGGGAGGATTGTTATGGAACAATCCAAGTACCACATCGGAAATAGAAGGAAAGGAACCCTTGTATTATTAATGTCCACCAAGCTCATTAGTACGAGGCCTTTTGGGGAGGACACCCAAAAGAGTAAAACCGTGCGGGCTTGGCCGAAAGCGGACAATATCGTACTAATTGAGCAGCCCGATTTGACAAGTGGTATCAGATTGTTATGGGACAATCCCGATTGTTATGGGACAATCCCGATTGTTATGGGACAATCCAAGTACCACATCGGTAATACAAGGGAAGGAGGGGAGGATTGTTATGGAACAATCCAAGTACCACATCGGAAATACAAGGGAAGGAACCCTTGTATATTAATGTCCACCAAGCTCATTAGTACGAGGCCTTTTGGGGAGCCCGATTGTTATGGGACAATCCAAGTACCACATCGGTAATACAAGGGAAGGAGGGGAGGATTGTTATGGAACAATCCAAGTACCACATCGGAAATACAAGGGAAGGAACCCTTGTATATTAATGTCCACCAAGCTCATTAGTACGAGGCCTTTTGGGGAGGACACCCAAAAGTAAATCCGTGAGGGCTTGGCCCAAAGCGGACAATATCGTACTAATTGAGCGCCCCGATTTCTACAAGTGGTATCAGAGCCTGGTTCGGCAGATCTGGGGCGGTGGACGTCAGTTTGGTGGACCCTCATTCGATGACCTCGGGGTTTGAGATCTGCGTTTGGTTTGGTGGATCCAGGAGAGAACCACATTTGGGCTTGACAGATCAAAAAGAGTTCCGCGTTTGGTGGATCCAAGAGAGATACACGTCTGTTTGGCGGATCAAAGAGAGTTCCGCGTCTGGAAAATCCTTGTAGCAAGAAGCCCATCGATACAAGGTGTCTGGCAGATCAAGATAATCGCTAAGGTGAGGACACGATGTTCATGGTCCTTGGCTTGAGGGGAGGATTGTTATGGGACAATCCAAGTACCACATCGGTTATATAAGGGAAGGAACCCTTGTATATTAGTGTCCACTAAGCTCATTAGTACAAGGCCTTTTTGGGGAGGACACCCAAGAGTAAAACCGTGCGGGCTTGGCCCAAAGCGGACAATATCGTACTAATTGAGCACCCCAGTTTGACAAGTGGTATCAGAGCCTGGTTCGGCAAATCCGGGGTGGTGGACGTCAGTTTGGTGGATCCCTCATTTGGTGGCTTCGGGATTTGCGATCTGCGTCTGGTTTGGTGGATTCACAAGAGATCCATGTTTGGGCTCATCTGGCGGATCAAGGCGATCCGCGTTTGATTTGGCGGATCAAGGCGATCCGCGTTTGATTTGGCGGATCAAAGAGAGTTCCGCGTCTGGAAAAATCCTTGTAACGAGAGGCCCATCGATACAAGGTGTATGGCGGATCAAGATAATCGCTAAGGTGAGGACACGATGTTCGTGGTCCTTGGCTTGAGGGGAGGATTGTTATGGAACAATCCAAGTACCACATCGGAAATACAAGGGAAGAAACCCTTGTATATTAATGTCCACCAAGCTCATTAGTACGAGGCCTTTTGGGGAGGACACCCAAAAGTAAATCCGTGCGGGCTTGGCCCAAAGCGGACAATATTGTACTAATTGAGCAGCCCGACTTGACAAGTGGTATCAGAGCCTGGTTCGGCAAATCCGGGGTGGTGGACGTCAGTTTGGTGGATCCCTCATTTGGTGGCTTCGGGATTTGCGATCTGCGTCTGGTTTGGTGGATTCACAAGAGATCCATGTTTGGGCTCATCTGGCGGATCAAGGCGATCCGCGTTTGATTTGGCGGATCAAAGAGAGTTCCGCGTCTGGAAAAATCCTTGTAACGAGAGGCCCATCGATACAAGGTGTATGGCGGATCAAGATAATCGCTAAGGTGAGGACACGATGTTCGTGGTCCTTGGCTTGAGGGGAGGATTGTTATGGAACAATCCAAGTACCACATCGGAAATACAAGGGAAGGAACTTCGACAAGGACCACGAACTTCGTGTCCTCAACTCAGTGATTTTCTTGATCCGCCAGACGCCTTGTATCGATGGGCTTCTCGATACAAGGACTTTACCAGACGCAGAACTCTTTTTGATATGCTTCTCAAATGCGAAACTCTTTGATCCGCCAAGCCCAAATGTGGATCTCTCCTGGATCCACCAAACCAAACGTAGATCTCAAACCCCGAGGTCACCGAATGAGGTCCACCAAACTGACGTCCACCGCCCCGGACCGAACCAGGCTCTGATACCACTTGTCAAATCGGGCTGCTCAATTAGTACAATATTGTCCGCTTTGGGCCAAGCCCGCACAGATTTAATTTTGGGTGTCCTCCCCAAAAGGCCTCGTACTAATGAGCTTGGTGGACATTAATATACAAGGGTTCCTTCCCTTGTATTTCCGATGTGGTACTTGGATTGTTCCATAACAGTTTGTATTAAGGCATGTTAATTTTGAAAGCCTCGTCTACTCTGTTATTCACGTATCACACTTCGCCAGAAAGTAGAGATGACTGCATCTCCATATGAAATTATGTTAATGTTTTTTAATGTTATGGTTGAAGTTTGGTTGCTCTAGCTTTGCCACTTTGTCATTAACATGGATTAGAGTATCAAAATCAAAATTATGCATGTGTCTTGGAATTTTGGGTTTGAAGGCAAAACACAGCTTTTTCTTAGTTATTGCTCCAATTTTGTGTGTGATGGATCAAAAAAAATTGTTCATTTGTTCCTCAACCTGGTATGCATAGTCAAACTGTACCGAACAAAGCCGCACAAACATGGTCTCGTCTGGACCGTATAAAATTTGGTTTGATCTTTGGTTTATGCTCCAATCCCTAAGTCTGGACAGTAAACTATATATATACAGTTTGGTAGAGATTTCCAGCTTCGATTAGGAATATTGTAGCTACCTCTCACTTTGTCTCCCGCAGATCCGACTAGTATTTGTGACGTCCAAAGTTCTCTATACTCAAACAAACTTTTCATTTTGTCACTTTCGTTTGGAAGTTGTGATTTCATATGATGTGTTCAAACAGTACCTGTAATTAGAGAATTCGTTGTTCTTTTGTCTTAAAATGAAACAAAGTACATGTATTTGAGCAGAAGATGGACCCACCAGAATTATTCATTATGGATGATCGACAATCTGATAAAAGCTGAGATTGTTAATCAATCATTTTTTCTTCCTAAATTTGTGAGAGGCCACCAAAACATTCAACCTTCAAATAATGTATTTTTCATATTTATACATTGACACAATTTATCAAATTACAAGAAAAATTGATTAAATACATCAATTTGGAAAACGAAAATCCCAACTTTGAAACGACCCAAAAAAGTATTCATCCATAGAGAAAATAAAGTCACTAGTCATATGTCCTTAGAGACCCAACCTCTTTACGCATGTGATTTCACTTTCATACGTATAAAAATTGTCGTTACTCCGTCAACCGATTGTAGGAAAAATGGTGTTTTTTGTGACTTTAATACAATTAGTATTTTATAATAGGCATCCCAAGGACATTACACAATATAATAATCAATAGTAATAGTCTACAAATATTTTTTGTTTTTCTCCTTTAGAAATCAATGGTTGGTATATGGCGTGTTTGAAAATATGATGATTATTTGATTGTATAAAGTATAAAAAACTACAATTTGTCATGTTATGTGAAATTCAGAGTGTAGGCCATTCGAATAACTCAGAACTCACCAATCTCACATCCAAATAAGTTCATATAAAAACTTCATCGGCCTACATTTCACTCCCATCAATCATCACCTATAACGATTAAGATTATTTATGAATCAATCCTTGTCAAATCGTGAATCAAATTCGTGTATGCCACTCGTACGCAGAACTATTAAATAACTTCAACCACTTCACCCTTTGATATGTTCATACAGTTCTCGTGAGAGACATCAATGCTTCTCTTATGTCCAGTCCATGGAAATCGACAACCAATATAAGGGGAAATATGACCAAGGCCACATTCGATTCATTGATTATATCAATTTTTTATCCAATTTTATTACTCTTATGAATAATCATTAAATCAAAACCAGAGATGAAATGATATGTGTAACGTTGACTATTATCATGTTTAATGATAGTAATAGTGATAATATTATGTTACAATTATTAGGTGGGAAATTATATTGAGATAAATCATGTTCCCCAATTATTAATCCATTTCTCTTCTCCCCTCTAAAATTATCTTCAATCTTACTTTTTACAATAATCAGTAAGAAATTTTACATATTCCTTCTCTCGAAGTTCACAAGAAAGCACCCCCCACCCCAAAAAGAGATAAAAAGAAAAGAAAAAAAAAATAACAAACATCCACTAATTTTTCCCCACATTCACATATAACCCCCCCACTTGCCAACAAATTACAAAACCCCCCACCCACTTCTCCAAACATTACAAACAAACCCATTCTCCTTTTATTTCTTCCATCATTTTATTATTATTTCCCCCAGATTAGTTAACTCCCACCCTTACACCTCGTAATCTTCCACTAATTACCAGTAACACCACCCGCCCACTAATTAGCCCGTAATTCCATTACCTTAATACCAACGCCCCCGTAAAAATAACCGATTAGCTCCCCCAAACTTTCCAGAATTCCCGATCAGCCCCCCGCTTTTAGAAAAAATATTCACGAGGAAGGTTCCAGATCGGGAAAATCCGGAGAAATCTCAGGCGAGCTGCTCGGCCGGCGACGCATATGAGAACAGATGACTTTTTCTTTTTCTTTTGTGAATCTGAAGCGAGATCTCTAAAATCCTTCGATTTCAAAGATCCAGCCGGAGCAAGCGTCGGAGGTCCCTGGTAGCCGAGTCGTCGACGGAAACCTGCTTCTTCGAGAACGACGGCAGCGGGAGCGCGCTGGGAGCGGGAGACATCGCGAACGCCGATCCGGCGTACACGTCGCACTTCCGCGTAGCCAAGGGCGGCGGCGGCGGCCTCGCGTCGGTGATTCGGATCTGCCTCGGCACCGCCTCGGGACACGGTCCAATCCTCTCCGTACCGTTCGCCACGACCGAAGAACTCGGTTCTCCACCACCAGCGACGGTTCTGGAATCGAGCAGCTCGCCTCGCCTGAGAATCGTCACCTTATCCATCACCAGGCTGTGGCTGTGGCTGTGATTGTGGCCGCGGCTCTGGTGGTGGTGATTCTTCGAGGAAGGGATCCTCAAGTCATCGGCGGAGGTCGATCTCTTCGAGATGGACGGCTCCGGCTGATGGCGCTTCCTCTGGTGGTCGACCGACTTCTGCCCGGCCGCTGCAGGCTTCCTGTTAAACCTAGGGTTAGAAGAAGGTATACCGCTGCTGCTGCTGTTGCTACTGCTATTGCTAGAATGATTGTTAACGCTTCCATTTCCGTTGTTGGCGTGGCCGTGGTAATGAAAATTTCTACGGCGACAGGGAGGGACTCTGATCCGCTGGGTCAAACAATCCTGAGGCCTCAAGATCTCCGTCGCCATGGCTTCCGAAACAGAGCAAAAAAAAATTCAAATTTGAGGAATTAGGGATTTAGGCTTATCGATGCTATAAAAAAAAGTTGTAATATGTCTATTTTTTTCCTGGTCTCTCTCTTCGCCTCTTTCTTCCTTCGATGGAAGGAAGAGGGAAAAGATTGGAGGGGAAAACGAATGGGAGCTCTCAGCTTGTGATATATTTCCTTCTCTCTGGTTAACAATGGCGGAATTTAATGTGAGAGAGAGAAAGAGAGAGAGAGAGAGAGGAATGAGGGGAGATAATGAGATTTGTGGAGGTGATGACAGGAGAACGAAGCGGGGATATATAGGAAAATAAAATGTATGTGTCACCTAATTTATCTCGCAGGAAAGCTTCTATCTTGAGTCAGCGTGCCGGGATTCCCCTAAAGGCGGCGCTCGGGAGATATTTGGGTATCCAAGCTATTCAGGAGCGTGTGACGAAGGATCGATACCAGCCCCTTCTTCTGCGCATCCAAAAGCGTATGGCTCCGTGGAAGGCAAAGCGCCTTTCCTTTGCTGGCCGTCTGACCTTGGCGAAATCCGTGGCTGCCTCGCTTCCTGTGTACAACATGCAGACGGAGCTCCTTCCTAGCAGCGTATGCAAGTCCATTGATAAGCTTAGCAGAGATTTCATCTGGGGTGATGATGAAAACAAGGCCAAGATGCATCTAGTGAGTTGGGATGTGATGACCCGTCCTAAACCACTAGGGGGAGTGGGGATCAGACCGACCAGGCAAGCGAACTTGGCTCTTCTAGCCAAGAATGGATGGAGATTACTTAAAGACAAGGAGTGCCTTTGGACTCAGATTATGAGGGCGAAATATGGGCGCCAAAGACAAGGACTTGAAGTTATCCGGCCTTCTCAGGGAAGTTCCTTCACCTGGGCTAGCATTGCTAAAACTGCTAGTCTTATTAAACAGGGATGTGCGTGGAACATTAAGAACGGGAAGAGAACTAATTTTTGGCTCGATATTTGGGTTTCGCAGGTTCCTCTTCGGGATTTGGCAATTGACGGCATCCCGATGGACTTGGAGGGGAAAAAAGTTGCTGAGATGGTTCGGGATGACGGCACGTGGAAAACGGAGCTTTTTGAGCACCTCCTACCAAGCGAGATCACTCAAAAAATATTGAGCACCATGGTTGATACGCTGTCGCAGGAGGATGATGATATCTTTTGGGCGGCGGCTGCTGATGGAAAATTCTCCACCAAGTCAGCGTATAACCTTCTTACCCAGCATTCCCAGCATCTCTCCGCCCACGACGAGAAGACTTGGAAGACTATCTGGCGCCTCCCCACCCCGGAGCGTGTTAGGAGTTTCATGTGGCTGGCGTCTTCAAACAAGCTAGCTACAAATGTGATGCGCCATTTCCGGCGAGTTGCGGATTTCCCCTGCTGTATGCGCTGCCCGGGAGTCCCCGAAACAGTCCTCCATATTTTGAGAGATTGCCCGCCAGCCTTGTTCTTCTGGGCGCGCCATGTGCCCTCTGAGATGCAACAAAGGTTCTTCAGCTCTAATCAGCAGGATTGGTTCCGGGATAATTTGATGTGCTCTACTTCTACTACCTCGGGAATGGAGTGGCCTGCCTTCTTCAGCACCGCCTCTTGGCTCCTCTGGAAGAATAGAACCACTGCGGCTTTTAAAGGAATCGGGGCGGCGCTGACCACTCACTCGCTTGAGCATTCGATCATTGCAAGGGCGAAGCTGTGGCATGACTCGTGGGTCTCTCCTTCTCCCCTGCAGAATACCAGGTCGCAGGCCGTGGAGAGAACGTTGGCTAATATTGGGTGGACTCCACCGGTGGAAGGGTGGACGACTCTGAATGTTGACGGAGCCTCGAACGGGAATCCGGGGCCAGCAGGGGCTGGTGGACTTCTTCGGGATCACACCGGGCGATGGATCAAAGGATTTGTCTCAAATGTCGGGTCGGCGTCAGCAACCCTTGCGGAACTTTGGGCCATCAACCATGGCATTGACCTCGCCTGGAAAGAGGGGTTCAGAACCTTGAAGATCGAGTCAGACTCAAAAATGGCGATCCAACTCATTGAGAACAGGCATGATCCGGTTCACCCCTATGCCACTATTTTGTCCACTATTCGGAGGAAGATTAGCAATGACTGGTTGGTCCGTATTGTTCATACGTACAGAGAAGGGAATAGAGCTGCGGACTGGCTCTCGAAGCACAGTCTCGTCTTTCCCTACGGTACGCATGAGCTTGTGGATCCTCCGGTCGGTCTAGTCTCCATTTTACGTGATGATATGATGGGTACTACTCAGGAGAGACGCATCGTCGTCCCGTCCTCTTCCTCTCTGTAACCCCTGTATCTTCTTTTTCTTGGCTCCGGCCTCCTATCAATGCAAAAAAAAAAAAAAAAGGAAAATAAAATGTAAAAGGAAAAAGAAAATTTGTTTTTTGTTCTTTGACGGGGTTGGGTTCGGGTGGAGCGCCCGCACCGAATTCCTATGGTCCTGAGGCCGGATTGAAAGTAGTGGGGTCCACTTGTGGGGTAGGTGAGGGTGATAATGACGTGTCGTTTTCCTGGAAGTTGTCTGGGTGGTGCGCATTGTATTGGGGATTGGGACTTGAGAGGAACTAATTATTTGTTAGGTTGGGGTGGTAAATTTTAATTGATTAATTAAGTAAGTAATTATAATTTATAATCATAAGGGACCGTTTTTTTAACGGTGGGGTAAAAACAAGTAGTAGTGGGATCGGTTAGCTTGACTATCCCTAAAGGGGTAGTGATTTTTGACACCCCCTTTATGATTGGCCAATTTTATTTCCAATCATTGGCAAGTATTAATTAAACTGGTTTTTTATTTTTTTTAATCTTGTAATTTGGGGTCTCTCACCACATTGGAAAAGAGAAAGAATTTGAGGAAAAACGAAATCACCCCCATTAATTACATAATTAATTTCTCTCACTGGTACATTAATTACACGTACCACTCCACTGGTACATTAATTACACGTACCACTCCACTGGTACACGTACCACTCCACTGGTGCGAGCAATCCACAAAGTAGGTTAGAGTGAGAACAATACCAGTGCAATGATATTTTTCATAACAATGATAAACAATAACGGAGCAACAATGCAGTACCACTTCAATGATACAAATACCACTCCACTGGTACACGTACCACTCCACTGGTGCGAGCAATCCACAAGGTAGGTCAGAGGCGATCCCAGGATGGCGGCAGCTGGAGATAGGAGGATGGTGGTGGGGGAAGGCGCTGGAGGGTTTTGGTCGTTTCAGAGTAGAGGAGAGTTCTAGTTAAAATGAAATCAAAATGGAAAGAGGGCCCAAATGGAGAGAGAAGGAGACGAAAGGAAGAAAAAAAGGCAATTAATTGCACATTTGGGGAGAAGCTTTTTTCTGATTCCTCATATTCTTTCCCTTTCCAATGTGGGTGAGAGACCCCAAATTACAAGATTAAAAAAAATAAAAAACCAGTTTAATTAATACTTGCCAATGATTGAAAATAAAATTGGCCAATCATAAAGGGGGTGTTGAAAATCACTACCCCTTTAGGGGTTAGCATAGTATCCCACCCCAGTAGTAGTAAGGGAAGTGTGGCGGTGGAATTGCATCGGTAAATTCGAAGTATTCAGTAATAACATAATTATTATATTACATCCAAAGGTGGGATTAGTTTAACAGTTACTACTCAAACATGATTTGGTTTAAGAAAGGGATGTTTCCACATCCCCTACATTGGGTTTAGGATGGTGTACGAGTATCCACATCAATTCAATTACAAATGAATGCAATTCGAAAATGTAATTCCAATATAAATGTTCAAACAATATAATATTAATAGACGAAATTTAACATGAGAATTATGTATCTTAAGCGTTTACGTAACCACCGCATGAAATCCTTCGATTTTCTCTCTATACCACTTATATGATACATTTTTTTTTAGAAATACACGTGATTGTGTCAAATTGTAACATTTCGAATCTTTTCCCGACAAATTATTATCCGTCTTGGACCTAAACACTCGCGAATTTTGTTATAGAATACATATCAAAGTGACTTCTGATAAAATCATTCATACTTAGAGTGATCCAGAGTATTATTATATTTATAGGTCGTTGCGTACGTGGGCACGAAATTCGAAACTGAATACAGACACCCGGGGGGAGGAGGCAGTGAAGACTGAAGAGTATCTTTTCTTTTTTGGGATGGCAAGAATATCTATAATCGTGGATATCCGCCCGAATCCGACCTAATTGGGTAGGGTAAAACCCGAAGCCGAAGGACTTTTAGTGGGTACGGGTAAAACCCGAACCCGAATATTACGGATAATGGGTGGGCATGTTTTTCTCACTATCCAACCTGAACCCGCCCGATTATACACATGCATATGTATTTTTTCTAGATATAATCAATATTTTTCTCTAACATATTTTATATTTAGCATATAAATATAATATTTTTATGAAATTGTGTTTTATTAATTTTCTTCATTATAGTGAATTATTGTCGTACTCTTCGTCTTACATAACATGAGAATACGTGTGAATATTAACATATTGGTTATAGTTATAAAGAGAAACTATTACCCATGGATACCAGAAATCCGAACGGGTATGGACATAGTTTGGATTTTCTAACCGTTACTTATGTGAGTATGAGTTTGGGTAAAATCCGAACTACTTTGGATAGGCTAACGGATATGCACTATCCGTCCCCGACCCGACCCATTGCCATACCATCCCTATTTCTTTTGATGCGCCCACCATTGGCCATTGCTCGCTGGGCGCTGGCCACTCGTCGTCGTCTTCTTGTGCTGTATACAGTGCATCATGATTTAGAATGCGCGTCTTTTGTGGTTGAGACATTTTATTCCTGCACTCGTCTCGTCCCTTACCAGTCGAGATTCCCCCTTGCGAGATTTTACCTTTGGTTCCCGATTTTGTATGTTATCATTCGGACAGGGAAATACGTACATTTCAGCTTTTAGCTGGGAAATTGTAAGTTGTAAATGTAACGGGAACAAACCTTCTTTTCCCTGAAAAAACATCAAATTTAGATCCAAATAAGCACATGCATATATCACTAGTTGACTGGAGATTTTATCAAAAGCTTACTTACAAGCACACTTAGCTTGTTTCCGACTTAAACTACTCGTGACCTATCAATTTACAAATAAGATCATCTCGATTTGTTCACTTGACGTTCTCAACTTAAAAGTTTCGATATAATCAAACCCATGCACAAATCTCGATCGACTCGATCATCTGATCGCACGACTATTAGATTGAGTTGACAAGACTGATGATATCGTTAACCTAGTTGCAGCTGACATGTATGATTTGTAATCTAACAAAACCATCCAACCGTGTCCCCAATAATGGTGGATCCGTGGGGTTTTAGAGGTTCACCGCGGCACACCTTCTACAAATTTTTCATCGATTTCATAGTAGCATCGTCACGCTTTAAACCTGACACCTTTTGATTATTTAGAGCAAGTGCTATCGATTCCTTAGGGATTGTCTAGTGGGTTATGTTGGAAGATACTTATTGAATATTGTACACAATTAATTTATCTTATATATTTTACAAATATAAATGTACGTTGTGATATTTTGGAAATAAATATAAGCATTTGTTGGATTACATTTTTTTTAAAAGAGAACACTGTTAAAAATTATTCAAACCAATCCAACATAGGATGAAAATATTGTTTTTAAAAGGATGATATAGATTTATTTTTATTATTATAAGTTACGAAAGACATTCAAATTTAAAACCTTTCAATTGAAGACCCGTGATAGAAACGATAGACTAATTTCAAATAACTTTTATCATTATTAAGAAACATATGATGGAGATGTGACAGAGAATGTATCATCTAATGTGTCCCACCAACCCAACAATGCATAATTGTATCCCACCCATGTTAATTCCAACTTAAATCTCTTCTATGACATCCAATAATATTGAAACGATTACCTAGATTATTTCAGACTTGAAAAGAAATAGGAAAAGGACTTTGAGAGATTCCATTCATCGACATCGACAAAATCTCTTTTGTGACAAATAACCTAATCGCCCCTCTCTTGTATATTTGCTTTCTTTTCAAGTTTAAAAGTGATAAGATGCTGACTCAGTCTAGAAATCTAATTGAGCTTTATTTGAATAAACTTAGTGCGCAAGTGGAGAGTAAATCACTATAAAATGGTAAATCTAATTGAGCCTTTCCAAAATCAAAAATTGAAAACCTCTCTGTGCATGTTTAGCTTGTGGGATTTGACTAAACCTATCCCATTTGGTTTTGCATTTGTTTTTCAATTTTTTCAACCATCATCTTACTTGCTAGGGTTATTGCTTTGAGGTTGAATTATATTGATGCTTCAAGTATCTCTCTAGGCAAACCAATAGTGAGGATTTTTTCTTTCATTCTTTGGAGATCTGACATTTGCAAATATAGGTATCACCTATCGTATTATATCTAATTTTAGTACTGAAAACCAAAATATTGGTATCATAAACATCATTGAGGAATAAAGGATCTTGACATGCACCCAAAGATTAATAGAGGTTTGGAGATTGAAGTGCAATTTAAGATGAGATTAGGAGGATTCATGATAGGACATGCAGAAGAAGGGGTTGGGAGATTTAGCTTTTGTATCATTTTTCCGTGTTCAGATACGTAAATATGTTTAGTTATGTTTTTATATGTTGTTGTGGCAAAGGTAGTTGACAGCACAACAGAAATTAGTTGAAAACAATGAGATAACTTTTAGTAGCTTCCTTATTGTTTCCGAAAGTTGTTTCTTGTGCAATCGTACAATTGTTGTAATAATTTCATTCAAAGAAGTCTATGACCAAATCTCACCAGGCTCGCTTCTAACATATTCCCCCCCCCCCCTCCCTCTATTTCTCTATAACTCATCTTCGAATCTTATTGCTAATATTATTTTCATATTTTTCTCTCTTAAGTTTCTCATAACTCGTCAATCATCGTGCCACATTATTTCTCACATTATTTTCCTACTTTCATCTTAGTCACATTAATACTAAATGTGACCAACTCAAATAACTCAGCACATAAAAAATTGTCAACTTTTATGATTTCTCAAAAGTACCAATTAAACGTGTTTTTTTTTTCTCCTCATGATATTCTAGTTGTACCTGTGTTGTCACAACAACATTGCAATCACAACGGAAACAAAACTATACTAAAATGGGGCCTTAATTAACAAAAAGTTTGGAACTTGGGAGAGCTCATGTAATTGTAGCATATGGCAATGTTACTGAAACAGAGATTTAATTAACATAGAGCTTAATGGCGATCATCATATTCCACCACCACAACTTGTCGCATTCATGCACCTTTAATTTTTATTAGTTATTTACTAAATACCAAATAACTTGTATGGAATTATTAATTTATTGATGTTGATTATTATTAATTTTTTATAGGATTATTGATTAATTATTGAATACCCACTTTATTAAAAAAATCATTGAATACCCACTTTATAATAATAAATAATTAAGCCACCTCTAATCTATGGTTTGGGAAATCCGGAAAATGATCATCGAGAATATCACTCAATCATTCATCACTTTGGCTGTCTACGTTTCTCATTGGTAAAGGGAATCACAGATTAATAAACAACTCATAATCAGGGGAATGAATTAATAAACAAATTAAGGCCAACTTCCACTAATCAACAAGTTTAATAGTCTTTCGTTGTACTTGGTACACAACAGACCTATGCTCCTAGGGCGGTTCAAACGGATGAAAAAATATGGTTATTATTTGGCTGGTTGTAAGATGGTCTAGCTCACTTGGCCTGAATATATAAAAGCGGTTCGGAAGTTTACTTACCGCGATATGGAGGTTATCTTCCACATGTAATATGAACAAATTACAGTATGGGCACCAACAGAGGAGCACACATCGTGCACTCGCTTTAGTATGTTGTATGCAATGGTACTTTGTTGGTGAGGACTTGAGGTACACAATCAAGGGGAGTATGAAGCGGCGTTGAGACACAACATGAGTACAAGAAAACAGTATTAGCTCTTAACCTATATGAAGACTCGTAAGCTTCCGAAATGGATTTTTTTTTAAGAATCTATTCTTTCTTCCTCATAACATAATCCGCAGTTATCTCTCTTAAACCTCTCCCTCTATATACTACATTTCCCAAGAAATTAAACAAATGAAGTCTTGAAGCGTTGTCTATGATTATTCTCGGTCGTAAAGAATTTGACCGAAACAGCAAGAAATGTAGGAATCTAGCTATTTACCTGTTGAGTAGACAATTTCGCAAGCATATTTGAGAATGGAAAATCAAAGTGGTTTGAGCAAGAATTCCCATGTAATCACAACAACAACTCTTGAATTTCCTGGTGAAACTGACAACACATTCTTTCGTTCAAATGTGTCGTGGAATATCACTAAATTATGACTTCAAAACATTGCTCTTTCCTTTTGCGAAAGAGAATATATAATTGTGTTTCCAAAAGCCAGAAACATAAATTGGTGGGTGGGAACTGGGAACTCTACCAATAACTCACCACTTGCAAAAGACAACGAAGAACAAAAAGGAGTTGAGAAAAGAAGAAGCCCAAATGATGAAAAGCAGGGGGAACTAAAACGTACGAAAGTTCTTGTGAGTGGGATCAATGCCTCACAAGTCACAACTCTTAACATATTTGTGCAGAAATCAACCAACGAAGTAAGAATGAAAACAATTACAAAAGGCGGAATGAGGGAGTAGTCCAGGGGTAATTAGGGGTGGTCGTTCGGTTACCGGTTAACCGGCCGGTTAAACCGATAACCGATAGGTTATCCACTAACTGGTAATTGAAATAACCGAACTTCGGTCGGTTATCGAAGGCTGGACAAAATGGTTTTTGGTCTTAAAAGTGGTTCGGTTAACCGATAACCGAGATAACCGAGAAACCGAAGCCTATTTCGGTCAGTTTTCTGTAGAGAAGGTGGGTATTTCGTTTAACCGATAACCGGCCGATCGGTTATAACCGAAATAACCGAACTGCCACCCCTAGTGGTAACACTGTCTGGTGGGTTACTAATGACCATGATTGGTCTTCGAGCGTAGCATCTCAAATAAAGATGCATCCTACTCTTGCAAAGCAAGGTGGTCATGGCCCTCGTGCCTAGTGCATCCAACCCTTTCTTGGTTTCAATCTGGTTGTGTCGGGCTAGTAGCTCGGAGTTTAGTCTGTTTATGGCAACAAAGAACAAAAAAAAGTTTAGAAAAGAAGAAGCCGAAATGAAAATCAGGGGAACTAAAACGTACGGAAGTTCTTGTGAGTGGGATCAATGCCTCACAACTCTTAACATATTTGTGCAGAAATCAACCAACGAAGTAAGAATGAAAACAATCACAAAAAGGCGGAATGAGGGAGTAGTCCAGTGGTAACACCGTCGTTTGTGTGGGTTACTGGTGACCATGATTGGTCTTCGAGTGGCGTAGCATCTTGGATAGAGATGTATCCTACTCTTGCAAAGCAAGGTGGTCATGGCCCTCGTGCCTAGTGTCACCAAGCCCTTTCTTGGTTTTGTTTACCCATAAAAATTAACCTTGTACCACATCTGTTAAAAACAAGGAATTAAATGGCTTTATAAGGCCAACTTAATCATCTTAGTTTAAATCAGTTGAGTGGGCCATGAGGATTGGGTTTTTTGGCTCATTACTCCGTGACACCACGCGCGCCATTCATATCCAAATTTGACTAAGTATGGGAGCCACCCCCATGACACGTAGAGGGGGGTGGGCATCATACCACCACCCCCAGAACGTGGCAAGGGGGTGGACATCATACCGCCACCCCATGACATGGTGATGGGGGTGATTGTCGAATTTGGCTAAGGCAAGGAGTATGGGAGCCACCCCAGGACATGCCAAGGGGGGTGGCCACCATTATACCATCTCCTAGGACATGGCGAGGGGGGTGATGGCCGAATTTGGCTAAGGCAAGGAGTATGGTGGCCACCCCCCTTACCAAGGGGGGTGGCCACCATCATACCACCCCCAGGAGGTACCAAGGCACCCCCATAACATGGTGGGGGGTGATGGCAGAATTTGGCTAAGGCAAAGAGAAGAATAACCACCCCCATGAGGTACCAAGGGGGTGACCACCACCATACCAACCCCATGGGATGTGAAATACGATTCAGTATGGAGAAGGATGGGGCCCCATGGTATGATCAGGGGGTGATCCTCATACAAGATATGACACGAGGGTGATTAATATCCACCCCTTGTGGTATGGTCAGGGGGTCACCAGCATACGCCCCCATGGTATGGTCGAGGGGCGTGGTCAACATCGCCCCCATGAGGTTGCCAGGGGGGCTACCAAGACATCACCCTCGTGATCTGGTCAAGGGGGGTCAGGTGGGCACGTGGTCTCCCTACTCCTGTAATGGTGAAGTATTTTTGCCATTTTTGACTCAAGTGATTCTACCATTTTTGACTCAAGTGATTCGAGTACCCACCCATATGTGGCATGTGGTGTGCTTTCATGCCTTAGCCATTTTTTCTCTATAGACAAGCAAAGCTACGGAGGGGATACCAAGAGGATGGAGGGAGGTCTCAAGAGGAGAGGCCAAGATTGGTCTACATCCAACGTTAAGGTAACCGCCGAAGCAGTTGAGAGGGTAACCGCCACTCCACGTCACCAGAGCAGTTTCTTGGGGCAGTTATTTCTGGTGGCTATAAATAGGAGGTGAAGATGACAGAGAAGGGGTTCGCAAAAATCACAACTCGACACCACTTGTCAAGTTTTATCTTTTTATCTTTTCCTCTGTAGATTTTAGCCATAGTCGTAGTTTTTGGAGCTCTCACTGAACCTCCATAGGAGTAGGGCTAATTTAATGTAGATTTGCCTCGTAGTTCATCAAAACATTGAACACCCTTGTTTGAACTTTGTTCAAAGAGGTGTGAACTGTGTTGTTTGGTCGTTTGTTTGGAAGTCAAAGGTGCAAAATCCAATTCTGTTCATCTAGTTTTTCTCGCCGGGAAAACAGGTTTCAAACTAGTTGTGTCGGGCTAGTAACTCGGAGTTTAATATGTTTGTGGCGTCAACTAATATAATTTGTTATACATGAACTTCTTAATGATTTGCATTAAATGTTTTGACAACAGATGGAAAGATGGTATGATTTCCAAACTCGCCTAACATATATATATACGCCTAATTATTATACTATGCATTTAATTAAGCCAAACACTGATTTAGGTAGACAATTATGCATATGATGCCACCGAGGCTCTTCAGGATGCTCAAGGCAATTGGGTGACTGACTCTCAAGCCCTGGCCTCTCTTGTTTTTGATTTTTTTGCTGATCTTTCTATGCAGGAAGAGGATAATTATGAAGACAAGATGCCCAAAGGTGCTTTTCCCCGTCTCAGCCAGACTGAGTTGCTTGAGCTCTTGCGGCCCTTCACCGGCATGGATATTCATAGAGCCATCTTTGACATGAAGCCATTTCAGGCTCCGGGCCCCGACGGATTCCAGGCCTGTTTTTACCAGCAAATGTGGAGGACTGTTGGGCGGAACCTTATTGACATGGCTATGAAGTTTTTTGAGACAGGTACTCTGCCCGAGGCGGTCACTGAGTCGACTCTTGTGCTCATCCCCAAGGTGGAAAGACCTGAAGTGGTGAGCCAGCTCAGACCGATCTCCCTCAACAACGTCAGCCTGAAGGCGATCACCAAGGCTATGACTAGCAGACTCAAGCCGATTATGAGGAGTCTGATCTCCCCTCGCCAGAGCAGCTTTATTCCGGGCCGGCAGACAACGGATAACATTATCGTGGTCCAGGAGGCGCTCCACTCACTCCACAAGAAGAAAGGAAAGAGGGGAGGTATCATCCTCAAGATCGATCTGGAAAAGGCGTACGACAGGTTAAGGTGGGACTTTCTTCGGGACACTCTGAAGGAGGTCGGGCTCCCAAGCACGTGGATCAGTGGTATCATGCACTGTGTTACTCAAAACAGGATGCAGATACTGTGGAATGGGCAGCTCTCCCAGCCTCTCACCCCGACTAGAGGAGTTCGCCAGGGAGACCCCTTATCCCCTTACCTTTTTGTTCTTTGCATGGAGCGCCTCTCCCATTTGATTGATGAAGCTGTTTCTAATGGTCAGTGGAAAGCTCTTAGGCTGTCCAAGGATGGCCCGCCTCTCACTCACCTTTTCTTTGCAGATGATCTGTTGTTGTTTGCGCAGGCTGAGACTCGTCAGATCAGGGTCATCAAGCGGATTCTGGATGACTTCTGCTACAGTTCTGGCCAGAGGGTGAACTATCACAAGTCCATCCTCTATGTCTCCCCAAACATCAGCCGCCGAAGAGCTAACCACATGAGCCAGTTAGCCGATATCCCACTGAAGATGGCGCTTGGCAAGTACTTGGGCATTCCGGCGATTCATGGGCGTGTGACTAGGGAGAGATACCAACCCCTTCTCCTTCGCATCCAGAAGAAGTTGGCGCCCTGGAAAGCTAGACGTCTCTCTTTTGCTGCGAGGATCACAGTGGTTAATTCGGTTTCCGCTTCTATACCTGTGTATTACATGAATTCTGAGCTGATTCCGAGTGGGGTGTGTCACAGTATCGATAAGATGAACAGGGATTTTGTCTGGGCGGAGGAGGAGAATAAGAACAAGATGCACCTGGTGGCTTGGGATAAAATGACAGTGCCAAAGAAGCATGGCGGTGTGGGCATCCGCCCTACCAGACAGGCCAACCTGGCCATGTTGGCTAGAGGGGGATGGCGGCTCATCAAAGAGAAGGAGACTCTCTGGTCTCAGATCATGCACGCCAAGTATGGGCGTCAGAGGGAGAACCTTGATATTCTTGGCAATTCTCAGGGAAGTTCCTTTACCTGGAAAAGTTTTTCTAAAGCTGTTGATGTGTTAAAGCAGGGGTGTGCTTGGAACATTAAGAATGGTAAGCGCACTAAGTTTTGGTTGGATCCTTGGGTTTTGCAGGGGAGCCTGAAGGAGGTGGCCACTATGCATATAGCTGAGGATGTGGAGCAAATGACAGTGGCTGATTATGTGACAGCTGATGGAACGTGGCGCACCGACATGTTTGAGGCCCTTCTGCCAACCGAGATTTGCCAGAAGATTCTCAGTGTGGCGGTTGACACTCTTTCCAGTGAGGAGGATACTCTCTTCTGGACTGCCTCCCCAGACGGGAAATTCTCAACCAAGTCGGCCTTCAACCTCATCACTCCGCAGCCGCAAGACCCGGACGAGAAGCTGTGGAGGACGATCTGGCGCCTTCCAGTGCCGGAGAGGGTCCGAGTCTTCATGTGGCAAACGTGCACCGGGAAAATTGCCACTAACAGTCTGCGTTTTCACAGGAAAGTAGCGGCGAGCCCTTGCTGTCCGAGGTGCCCGGGGTCACCAGAGACGATTCTGCACACTCTCAGAGATTGTCCCCCAGCTACCTTCTTCTGGCTCCGGCAGACCGCGGGCTTGCATCAGCAGGATTTCTTCACTCTCGATCAGGGAGATTGGCTGAGTAGCAATCTCCTGAGGACGGATATGGTGGCGACAGGGATGACCTGGCCTGCTTTCTTTAGTACGGCGCTCTGGCTTATTTGGAAAAACCGTTGTGTTCTCTGTATGCAGGGTTCTTGAGCCGCTCTCACCCCGCCCTCTCTGGAGCACTCGATTTTGGCAAAGACGAAGATGTGGCACAATGCTTGGCTCGCCCCTCCCCTCCTTCCCTGCAAAGGGAATCGACCAGCTGACAGAGTAGAGAAGGAGGTGGGTTGGAAGCCACCGACAGAGGGATGGATCATGCTGAATACTGATGGAGCCTCCAACGGCAATCCTGGGCCAGCAGGGGCTGGGGGTGTTTTAAGAGACCAGATGGGACACTGGGTTGCAGGCTTTGTCGCCAACCTCGGCACTGCTACGGCCATTCTCTCGGAGCTTTGGGGGATATCCTTCGGACTTGATATCGCTTGGAAGCACGGAGGAAGAGCTATTCAGATTCAGACGGACTCACAGCTGGCGCTGCAGCTCATTGAGGCTAGACATGACCCGATTCACCCGTATGCTACTCTCCTCTCCGCCATTCGCAGGAAGCTCAGTCGTGACTGGCTGGTTCGCCTAACGCATACTTACCGGGAAGGGAATAGAGTCGCGGACTGGCTCTCGAAGCACAGTCTCGTCTATCCCTACGGTATGCATGAGTTAACGAGCCCGCCTCCAGGAATTAACTCGCTGATCAGAGACGACATGATGGGCATTACCAGTACCCGTAGGGTGGTTGCTACTTCTTCTTCCCCTCTTCCCACCTCCATGTAATTTTCTTTTTCTTGGCTTTTAGCCTCCCTATAATGCAAAAAAAAAAATATGATGCCACCGAGGCCTAATATGAGAATTGAGAAGTGAATTGCAAGGAAGGAGGGAATGAGTCCGTGTGTCTTTGTCCTGTCCCCGAACTAGATACACAATCTTATATTCCTTTTAATTGTTTGAAAGGAGGAATCTTCTATTTTGTATTTTATTTTCGTTCACGAAGTTATTTAATTGGATGTACTTGAGGAGAGGACGAAACTTGTAATTGTATATATCTCAATTATATATTGACATAATCTTATAAAAGAAATTATATCGATGTAATGCAAATCTCATTTATTTCAATAAAGTATTTAGAAATTCATTCAATAGATTTCACATAATAAAAAAAAACCTCATAAAAAGGTAGTTGTTGATATGACTTGAATCAGATTATCTGTCGTCGACTGGAAGTCACAGGATCTCGTTGCACTTTCTGTAATATATACTTCTCAATTCTTTTGTAATCTCTTCAAGTATAGTGACACTAACTCTTTCCTGCCTGTAAATTAGCTAACACATATTGTATTAGCGAACCACGTAAATTTATATATTCTATTTTCTTTCTTGCATTTTCGGTTATCCCTACTAGGGTGTGCAACCGTACCGAATTGGACCAAATTGATGTTTGTACTGGATCATATCTTCGGTTCGATTTGTTGTTCCGTAAATTTTAAAAATAAACAAGAAAATTGAACAAATTAATATTTTGGACTAAACTAAATCGAGTTGAATACAATAATAATCCAATTCTTTGATTTTAAAATGTCTTTCTCTATTGGACGACGATTCTCAACTTACCTGCTTTGGCCTAGGAAAGGAAGAAGACGCGAAGGAAATCAACAAAGCACAGCGTAGGGGAAAGGAAAACGCAAAGAAGGAAAAGGGGAAGGAAAGAAACCAATTGGTCATCCGGTCAAAAGTCAACAGTTCCTAAGTAAAAGAATCAAAAGATGGAAAAGCAAGCAGCTGCCAAGCACTATCTTCTCCTTCCTCTATTTTATTTCAATCAAACTCGCTATGGTGCTCAAAATATTATGTGTTAGCATACTAACATTTCAGTAAAATTTTATTTCAATATTGCTCATTACTAAAGCGAATCATTGTAACAACTTGTTATTAATTGGTCAGATTCTTTAGCTAAGTAATCTTTCGACGTTAATTTGAACGATTCATTTGAATTTTTTGGTTATTTCATGTAAACGAATGCAATATTAATGCAAACACGAGCAATTTTTTATTTTTGTTTTTCAAATGTCACGGATGTGAATTGATAACTTTGCAGACTGCTCCTACGAATTTTCCTGATCCGTTTTGTCATATGCAATTGGCACCATGAACCCAGTCATCTGCATCTCGTCACACTTTCCATATTCCTAACTCATCCCATATTAATAGTTTCAGACATTTTCCTTATTCGGTACACCTTTAGCTTGTGTTTAGGGTTAGGTTTATCGACCAAACACGTCTAGCAAAGGAAAGAGATAGAGAAGACTAAAATTGTAACTTTTGGTTGTCTCTTCCAAACATCTCAATCTTAAGCCAAACGTGAACTGAGCTCAAATTTTGCATCCAAAATTTCAACAACAAAAAAAGTTAATGACGAATTTGAATCCAGATCTCTCATTTATCAAATCACTCACCCGAAACGAAATCTAATGAGAAATTTCATACCATTGTGTTGTTCCTTCCTATCACTTTTAGTGAAAAAGGAAAAAGAAGGCACGCCTAACTTTTTCTTTTCTGTTTCCTTTCTTGTCATTCCAATTGAATACCTTATTCACGAATCTTTCATTCAAAGTAAAGTTTTTTTTTTTAACACACTTGACAACGTTTAGAATGCATAATTCAATATGTAAATTATCTTTAGGTCGCTTGTGGAACCAAAGGCTTTCTCCTGTCGTTTTCTTTTAGGAGGAGAGGAGATCAACGTGAAAGACTTGCTCAAACCTCTCAATAGTCAATAGTCAATACAAGGCCGACTACTTGCTAGTCAAAGGTCAACTAAAGACTGGCTTAGTTAGTCCATTGAAATTTCCTTCATTTACACCAAGGCATATTGATGTTTGGATCAAAACGAATCAAATATGTTTTGATTTGATTATGATCTCATGAATTATCTTACATATGGAAGAAAAATTAGGTCAAAATTGAATTTGTATCAAACCAAATAAAACTAAATTAACCAAAATATGATTTTGTTGTAGTTCTAGTCCTCATTCTTTTTTTTTTTTAACTTTTGATTTAATCCTGTTTCAAAATATGGCAGGAGTAGTGTACAATAGAAGGCCTAGAGTCCATGGGCTTATTGTGCCACAGAGTTTACAAAAGAGAGCTTCGGCCTTATTTGGATACAGCCCATACGATGGCCCAACTTTAAACCTCCGCCCTATGGGATATGGATGAAACAAATTCCGTCTATATAACCTTTTTTTTTTAAAAAAAATTCAGTCTATATACCCTATGTTTGGCCCGGTTTTTAGAAGAGCTTTTAGGTTTCAAAAGCTGAAGCAGGGCCAAACATCTGTAAAAGCTCGGCTTTTGAAAAGCCAAAAAGCGCTTTTGTATAACATAAAAGCAGAATCTCTAATATGGAGCTTCTGCGAAAAGCTGTTTTGAAAATACAAGATCATCCTTACCATATTTTAATTTTATTTCAAAAAATATAATTTTCCTTCATTTATATCATTTTAAAAATAAAATAAATTATAAAAGTATATTATTTAATATAAAAGAAATCTAACAAGATCCATTTTGTTTACTTTTTATTGTTTAGAATTTTTATTCATATTTTATATTATAAGTCCTTTATAGTCATTTTACACAATCTTTCATATTAAAAAGCACTTCTAATAGTTTTAGAGCCAAACACTCAACTGCTTTTTTTGAAAAGTACTTATCTAAAAGCTCCAGCCAGAAGCTGTTTCTGCAAAAGCTACCGCAGAGTCAAACTAAGCTATAACCTAATTTATAATTTGAGCTCGAGACAATTACATGCAAACGTTTTTTTGTTTTAAAAATTATCCAGCAACCTCAGCTCCACGTGTCACTTTGTCACAGTGAGTCGTATTAAATCTGGGGACTTCCTGCATTCAATTTGATGCCAACGGGGCTTCGCCCCCAACAGTCTTATATCTTCGGAAACACCAACGGATCTCGCTTGGATTCGAATCTGGGATCTGCATCTCCCAAACTTTCACTGTCACGACAACTTACTGTTAACCTATGCCTATCTTACCTTTGGTTACATGCAAACGTTTTAGGAAATGAATCAGTTCGAACTCGACTCAAAAAACAAATTTGTCTACTTCAATCTCATATTGTTATTGAAAGAATTGAATTCGTTTCGACTCGGCTCACTAGTAAACAAACCAAGCTCAACTCATATATTGACGAGCGGCAATAAATAAAATCGTCAAACTAAAATCGGATAATTTACGACTCTACCTATTACTAATTCTCTAAGTTCTCTGCTTTACAATCTTAAATTATCAGCCAACACAAGTCCTGACTACGTACGACCAGGTGACTCTAGTATAACTCTTTTGTCTCGATAATACGAATTATCTTTCGAAAAAGAAAAAAAAAGCCAGAACAAGTCCTATCCATTCGCGAGCCACATGTTCTTGTTTTGGCATTACCCTCTACCCAACGACAATACACAACTGGACACACACCACCAGCCGTTATCATTTATTAAATGATAAAATATAATATTTAATCATTTGCAAAACCGATTGGACCGTTCCTGTAAATTAGAACATATATGCAATATATTAATTTGAGACCAAATTATCATTAACAATAAGTAATTTAAACCCATAATGAAAAGTTCTAACAAATCATTCGAATTTTCAAAGAACATCTTACAAAAATATTATCAAATACAAATAAGTAATAAGAGTGACAATGGGTACATGGATGACAAAAGTAACAAATAACCATACCTGTGTATATTTGCTCCAACTGAACTAATATAGTAGAGTAAACCCGAGCCGAAGATTTTTTTTTAATCAATATGAGTAAAATCCGAACACAATATTGTAGGTAATAAGTGAGTGTGAGTTTCTCACTATCAAACTTGAATCTACCCAATTGTACACTTGTATATGAATTTGAATAATCATAATATTTCTCGTGGATGCGGAGATGAAATTGAATAATCACTCCCTATATGAGTATGGATGGGTATGATTTTAAATGTTTGGAGTGGAGAATAATTTAGGGAAAACCGGCCCCAAATCCGTATCATTGTAATCCCGGTCCAACCGACTGCTCCGGTCCGGTTCAGGGTAAATATTAACCAGTAAACACAGAGAATCAAAATCGAATTCCCCAATCGAGAAAAAAAAAAGAATAATGAAATCGAAAAGATAAAGTAACGGAAATAACTGAAAGAGTGCGCAGGATAGAGGGAGGGAAGGAGAGAGATGGTGGAGAAAGAAGCGGGAGAGGATGACGGTGGCGCCACCACTGCCGCCGCCGCCGCCGCTTCTTCTTCCATGAGCTTCGACCTTCCGGAGGAAGTACTGCAAGTTCTGCCGTCGGATCCATTCGAGCAGCTTGACGTGGCCCGCAAAATCACCTCCATCGCCCTCGCCACACGCGTCTCCTCCCTCGAGGCAGAATCCTCCTCCCTCCGCGCCCAGCTCGCCGACCGCGACAACCTCATCGCCGACCTCGAGTCTCAAATTGAATCCCTCGACGCCTCCCTCTCCGCCGCCTCCGACAAACTCTCCCTCGCCGACCAAGAGAAGGTCATATATTTCCTCCCCCAGCTTGAATTGTTGCTCATGGTGACTCGCCGGCTGAATTTTTTTTAATTTGGGGGTTGAACAGGATAAATTGTTGAGGGAGAATGCTTCGCTGTCCAGTAATGTCAGGAAGCTCCAGCGCGATGTCGCCAAGGTTCGAATTTCTTCTTGAATTGACCGGAATTTCACAACTCTCTTTTGTTAGGGTTTCGTAAGTGAGGAATTCTGATTGCTTGTTTTGGGATTAGTTAAGTTTCTCATATTCTGCTGTTCGAAAAATGGTATTGCTTGCAGTTGGAGGTTTTCAGGAAGACGCTAATGCAGTCTCTTCAAGAGGATGAAGACAGCTCTGTGAAAAGCACTGTGAGTAGTTTGGTTTCATTTCATGAATCGAAATTTTGAGTATTTTTGGAGTTGAGAAGTTGATAGGAAGTTTAATTTTCTCACTTTTTTTTTTCCCCCTCTTCACAGGGTGGCGGAGGAGGCGCTGCTGTAGGAGCTCATCATATCATCGCTAAGCCAACACCTAGTGGTAATATCGATTTGTGCATTGCCTTCCTTTTCGTTGTCGTCCAGCTGGAAATGTTCTTCATGAATGGAGCTAACTAACTTGAGGAGATTTTCTCTCTCTCGCACGGGTCTCATACAGAGGATGATACAATGTTGCCGCCTTACAGATCATCTTCAACGGCGAGCCAGTTCTCAGAAGTGGGGAGCTCTTATGCCGAGGATCGCAGCTCAGATGGTATATGCCAGTGCTAACCACTAACCTGGAAAATCTTTTGAAGTTGATTAAACCTGCTTTTTGAGCTTTTCAAACTACTTATGTATGTGAAAATGTGTTTTTGGTTGATGTTGTTAGCAGCATCAAGGCCTAGTGTTTCGATGTCGATGCTGCTAGCATCTCAGACAAGCACACCGAAGCTGACACCGCCTGGCTCTCCTCCGAGCTTTTCAGCTAGTGTATCTCCCACAAGATCCTCTAAATCTGCTTCACCAAGGCGAAGTACCATGTCATTTTCTACCTCGAGAGGGATGCCTGAAGACAGGTTCTCTTCTCTCCCACCAAGCCAGTACAGTTCCGTATCGAGCTCAGACACTGCATCACAGACTGGTTCGTGATTTAACTACTTCCAATGCAGATAAAAAGAATTAGGTTGTTCTTTTATCTTACATGAATGTTTTGTTTTGCTGTTACAGGAAGAGCTCGAGTCGACGGGAAAGAATTCTTCCGCCAAGTTAGGTAATAGCTGGCTTGAATCACATTTTCTTTTCACTCTTGGATTTCGTAGCTTCAAGCTTCTGGCTCCCAGGTTCCCTGCTATCAGTTGTTGAATCTTAACCTATTTCCATGTGCGTACAGGAGTCGTTTGTCATACGAGCAGTTCGGTGCATTTCTGGCTAATGTCAAGGAATTGAACTCCCATAAGCAAAGCAAAGATGTATTTATCTATCTCATAGTCATTTCACTCCCCGATTCTGTAACTTCCCTTCAAATGCAGAACAACCATCATTGTTTTTAATGCAACTACATCTGTTCTACAGGAAACATTGAGGAAGGCAGAGGAGATTTTTGGGTCGGAGAACAAGGACCTTTACGCCATATTCGAAGGACTGATCTCTCGAAGCAGCGTTCATTGAAACACTCCCATTACCAGGTTCCTGTATCCAGATGTTGTGTTCTTGCCCCCGTCCCACATTTTTTCTTCTCGGGTGTAAATTCTTCGTCATGTACACAACTCTCCTCTCCTCTTCTCTGTCTTTCTCTCCACTTCCATCGATTATGCGCATGTTGTATTACTTCACTGACTGCTAAATTTTAAGCCTGAGAAAAGGATCTCTCTGATATTGGACGAAGGGATACTTAATAATAAGTTATTTTATAAGGGGAATTCCCTTTTCGCTGCAGTTTGCTTCGAGGTTTGGAATACAGAAGGATTCGAGGCTGTAAGTATGATAATGAATGAGGGTTAGTGCTTTGATTATTCAATAATAGACAATTAGCAAACGGTAACAAGATTGTGATCAAGTCTAAGTCAGGCTGTCTGCACTTTCTTTGTGTTCCCAGTTGAGATCTCTACTGCGTATTGCTTCGGTTTGCTGAAGTTCCTCCTTCAAAACAGCTTTCTCACTTTTGACAGACTGAGGCTAAGGCTTTATGGGAATCTATTATCGGTTTCATAACTTTCATCAATCTACGTTCACATTTCTTCAAAGACAACCGATTCTCACTTATGCATTGATCTAAATATTACTGGTTATTGGACTTTATTTTAATTCACATGATTTTATTGTAATTAGAGGCTTATTGTGCACTTTTTATTATTAATGTTGGTGAGTTGATATGCTGATTCAGATATTTGGATGAAAAATTTGACAACCGGATTAAGGGGTCGTTTGGAAGTTGCGATTGGAAGTTGCGATGTTAATGTATTGTTGCGAATGCATGTATAATATTATACATGTATTGTCGAATTTGATGCATTGTAAAATACAACGTTTGGTATGTGTGATTGTATATGTATGTCACATTAGTTAAAAGCTGAGACAAAACAATTTCAACTCAACTATCTCAACAATCGAAATTAAAACTTTAGATATAACAATTACTCATTTTGAGTGACTGTTTCTGTCACATCATAAAAACAATCCACGTATTTTTTTCTGTTTAAAAAAATGATGCATTTCTTAACAATACATGTATAATAACAATCTCACTAAAACAATCGCGCAACTTCCTAACGACCCCTTAGTGAATATTATGTAGTAGATAATCAAAGTTTAGTGATCGATTTGTCGACGAATCCAATTATTTAGTGACTGTTTTGTGCAATTGTTCGATACTTAATCCATCCATAGGGGTGTGCAAATGTTTCGGTCTGGGACCGAGTATAATGCGGTCTGGTCCTTGGTCCACATGAATTTTACAATCACCGAAGAAATGATGTACCAAACTGATATTTAGACTGGACTGAACCGAACCAAATGAATTTGAATGCAATGATGGTCCGATCCTTGGTCCTAAAATGTCTTTCACTAATTTCACATGAGTTTGATCCGCTCCGGTCCATTTCTCTTCTATGAATTAGGCAGAAATCATTTCCAGCTAATCAGACGGGCCCAATAAGTTTTTTCTTGCGGGCCGATCAAACTCAACGACCTAAGCCCAAGTTCCCAACATACCAAGAAACCGCTAAAAACTAAAGAAAGATTCCTTCGTTAAGAGTTGTCCATGGTACATGTGGCGGGGAAATCTGAAATTTTCACACCACCAGGATCTACGTGCGGGCTTGCTCTGCTCTTCTTCCTTTTTTAGCCAGGAGGAAAAAATGGTAGAGAGAAAGAAGAAAGAGAGCAAAAAATCATTTGAAATTCTGAACTTGATCAATAAACAAGCTTCCATCTCTCTGTAATTTCACGATCTTCGGCTTTATCACCTTCCCCTGCGTTTGCCGCAGTGAGAAGAGAGAGAGAGACACGGAGAGAGAGAGAGGGCAGCGAGTTTCTCCCTCTCTCTGGGAAGCCTTAATATCATGGATGGTGGTGGCCGATCATCAGCGGCTCCTTCTCAAGCTTCCTCGTGGTCGTCGTTTCAACATTTTAACCTCTGGACCAAATTCTCCAGGTAATTTAACCCACATTTCCCTCCTCCTTTCTTCCTGCACTTTCCTTTCCTTTTCTTCTTCTTCCTCCTTCGTTGTTTCTGGGGTCAAGAGGAAGAGAAACAAAAACAAACAATGTCATTTGATCAGACATTGTTGATACAAACTTCTAGTTTGGTTGCATGTTTTGCATTTTTGGGCATTTTCGTTGTGTATGCATGGTGTTCGATCATTTGCCTCAAAGAAGGGGGAAAAAAATTTTGGTGGTTATTTTTTTTTGTTTTGGCAGTGGGAACAACAGTTCTTCTCGGGAGCCCGCCAAAGAAGCCATCCAAGACAAAGGGCCGCAACCTATCACAGGGAGAAGAAGCCGAGCTGGGTTCTCCGACTCCTTTCAAGATCTTGGTATGATTGTTGTCTTTTTTTCTTTGCTTCCTCCCCTTATGTTTTCCTTTTTTGCCTCCACATTCTTGTTCGATAACCATAAAAAAAGGTGGGATTATGATGGTAACGTCAATGGTAGACCGGTTTTTATCTCAGACGTGGGATCTTTAGTTGCTGACGACCACGACGAAGGCAACGATAAAGCTCAACATCACCCTCAAGCTGAAGCTAATAATACACAATCTCAGCAGGAAGAAGCGGATTCAAAGGTCAAACATCCAGAGCCCTCTCCAAAAACAGAAGCATTGGAAGATAGCCCCGATGTCATTAGCCCAGAATCCGTCGTGGTTTCCCAGCCTATAGGAAGCCCCAAAGAAAGCCCCACCCCGCCGGCCAACAAAGCATCACCATCAGCAGCAACAACTGCTACTTCTGATCAACCCCAACTCCCCACCACCTCTAGCCCCGACACACTATCCTTAGTTCCTTTGGTCTTGCGTGATTTCTGCAAGGCGTTTAAGAAGGGCCCCGCGCCATTGATAAAAAAACAGAACATCGCTAGTTTGAGAAAAGCTGTCCCTAAGCTCACCAGAAGGAAGAGCAAAAGGGTTCGAGATGGCATGGTTCCACCATTGAGCTCCCCTTTGGATGCTGAACTTTGTTACCTCAAACCCTCATGGAAGAATTTCGCTCTCTGCGAGTTGCTTGCCGCTACAGATAACTTCAGTCGGGGTTTGCAAATTTTTTCCTTTTCACTCACTTTTCATTTCTGCCTTAATCAAAGCTGAAATGAAAATGTTATGAAATTTCTGTCGTTTTTTTTCTTCTTCATCTTGAAGATAACTTGATTGGAGAAGGAGGGTATGCTGAGGTTTACAAAGGGCAATTAACAGATGGGCAGTTCGTCGCTATAAAAAGACTAGTCAGAGGCACTTCACCTGAAGAGATGACCATGGATTATTTATCTGAGCTAGGTATAATCTGCCATGTTGACCATCCCCATATTGCTAAGTTAATTGGGTATGGTGTTGAAGGGGGAATGCATCTTGTTCTTCAGCTGTCCATCAATGGAAGCGTCTCATCTTTACTCTACGGTTAGCTTCTTACTTGAGATTAACAATGTGATTAAAGGTTTTAGATTAAAATGTGTAATTATAGTTGTTCTTCTTCATTCATAGGGCCAAGGGAAAAGTTGACTTGGCCGATTAGGTACAAGATCGCTACAGGAACTGCTGAGGGGCTCTTGTACCTTCACGAGGGTTGCCAGAAGAGGATCATCCATAAAGATATAAAGGCTGCTAATATTTTGCTCACAGAAGATTTCGAGCCTCAGGTTTGGTTGGTTAACTTTTAGATACCTGAAGAATTTAAGCCCTCAATTATGTTGTTTTAACATTTGAATAACATTTCTATCATGTGCCGATGCAGATTGCCGATTTTGGGTTAGCAAGATGGTTACCAGAGCACTGGACTCATCACACTGTATCAAAAATTGAAGGAACCTTTGGGTTTGTAAATACCATATATCTTCCACTTTCATTACTTTTGCAAATTGCATTAAGCTCATTTCTAAATATATACTTTTTAACTTGCTCATCGCAGTTACCTTCCTCCTGAATTCTTCATGCATGGTATAGTAGATGAGAAAACGGATGTTTTTGCTTATGGTGTGCTATTACTAGAGCTCATCACAGGAAGACAAGCAATCGACAGTTCACAACATAGCCTCGTGATGTGGGTGTGTACGATACTCCCCCCCTCTTTCATTCCAACTTTAAATTCATCCATTCTATTCTACAAATACAAACAAAAAGTCTTGAACTACTGTTATCTTCCTTCTTTTGCGCAGGCTAAACCATTTCTGATGCAGAACAAGATCAATGAGCTGGTCGATCCAGTCCTGGGCGACTCGTACAACATGGAACAAATGGAGCGACTCGTTTGTCTAGCTGCAATGTGTGTTGAACAGGCCTCGATTCAGCGGCCACAGATGAGCCTGGCGGTGGAGATTCTGAAGGGTGATGGGAGCACACTGGAGGAAGTGAAACGAAGGCAGAAATCCAAGCTTCAAAGAACTTACTCCGATGAGCTTTTTGATGCGGATGAGTACAATTCGACGAGGTACTTGAGTGATCTCAACATACATATGGAGGATCTCTTGGAACCGGATGATAATGATAACAACAATGAGGATAACAACAATGTCGAGGCTCCCGAACATGTCAAGCAGCTATCAAAAGATGAAGACGAGAAGTCCTCGCAGCCATGATGATGATGATGATACAGAGAAGTTATTAAAGGTTGAGGAGGTGAAAGCGGCAAACGATGCAGAAAACTCATTCAAGGTTGATGAGGTGAAATCGACAGATGGTGACAAAGGGAAATCAAATGAAGGGGAACATAAATTAGAATGAACAATTAAAGATAAAAGGGAGTTATTGTCGATTTTGGCTTGTATAGGTGCTTCAACAATTTATCAATGTTTCACATTAGCAGAAAAAAAATCTATGAACAAATGAACACTTTCGTTTTTGTATAGAAATAAAACACAGATTCCTTTTGTTTTTTTTATATGAAATGAAAAAGAAATAGCAGACATTTTCAGCAGCGACGGGAAAGCTTTAAGCACATCGCAACGCGTCATTTAAGCCTTGTTTCTAGCAGAACGGTGTCGTTCGGTTGTTTGATGGACTCGTCGCCGTTAGCCGTTTTGTCAACATTATCCCTTCCGGCGAAAGCAAATCTCTTCCTCCACTACTTCTCTTCTCAACCGCCAACGCCAAAAAAAAAAAAGATCAATTGGCACAAAATCCCACTCCATGGCAACTTCGATCTTCCTTTCGCAGCGTCTCTTCTTCTTCTTCCTCTTCTCGATTTCATTGCTGATCCACGAATCCACCGCCTACCCTGCTACTGCCAGCTCCATTGTTGACCCCTCCAAAGTCAAACAGGTCTCATGGAAGCCAAGGTTTGTTGGTCGAACTTTGGATATGGGTTTACTAGCTCGCTTCCCCTTCTCGTCAAAGATGGCGCCTTTTTTACTTCTTCTCTTAATGGGTTCTTTTTCGCCATTTTCTGCAGGGCATTTGTGTACCAAGGGTTTCTTACCGCCTTGGAGTGCGATCACCTGATCTCCCTGGTGAGTTGGTTACTGTTTCTTTGACCAGTTCGAATAGAGAGTGAATCTGTTTCTCCTCTGATTTTCTTGTTGGCGGGTGAGAAACTCTCCAGGCGAAATCGGAGCTGAAGAGATCGGCTGTTGCTGATAATTTGAGTGGGCAGAGTACGCTGAGCGAAGTCCGGACCAGCTCTGGGATGTTCATTCCCAAGGGAAAGGTTTTGCTGCTTCCTTTTACTTTCCGTTTTTAGCATGCGTGTTCTTGAATGGGATCTTGTTAGAATAATTAGCTTGCTTCGATTCTCCCAATTTGGGGAGTTTTCTTTGAGTTTCCTAGTTAGTCTTCGTTCTGTTGTAACTGTTATTGTTCTGCTACTTTCTAGGATCCAATTGTTGCTGGCATTGAAGAGAAGATTGCAACTTGGACGTTCCTTCCAAAAGGTTTTTCATTTGCCCTAATCATACTTCTTGACCTATTTCCTTATCCCTCAGTTCTTTCTGATTTCAAGTTCTTTACTTGGGCTTCTTCTTGCAATGTGATGGATGAATTGAAGAAGCCAAACGGTTGTTGTTCCAATGCATATTCATCTTGTGAAACATATTTGACTAGTGAATGTGCTGTAAATGGTATTGTTTACCAGGCTGGTTTCTACCCTGGGAAGATTCCCTGTGTTATCCTTTCTTGTGCTTTTTGTCTTGTAAACTTGTATGAGGCATATCATATAGAAGTGGTTCCTTGGCTTCTCTCATGTCTCTTTCTTTTTCAGACAATGGAGAGGACATCCAGGTGTTGAGGTATGAGCATGGGCAGAAGTATGATCCTCATTACGATTACTTTGCTGATAAGGTCAACATTGTTCGTGGTGGACACCGTGTGGCAACTGTGCTCATGTACCTTAGTGATGTTGAAAAGGGTGGCGAGACCGTGTTCCCTTCTGCTGAGGTTAGTAGTTCGAAGGTCACCCTTATAATCTTCTTCCTCAAGTTACTAGATAGGTTGGTTCAAGTGTCAGAATAGACTGTCCCTAGTACTCTGTGACTGTAATTGATGAGACAAATTTTGGCAACAGGAACCTCCACGTCGTCGTAATGTTGTGAAAGAGGATCTCTCTGAATGTGCTAAGAAAGGAGTTGCAGGTGAGTTTGTGCAAATGTGGATTAAAATCTTGGTGGTCATTCAACTATGTGTGCTTGTAACTAAAGGATCACTGAATTGGAACTTTTAGCAGCACTCATGTTCGAGAAACAGTGATTGCATCTAATCTGTAGATAAATTGACCAAGTCAACTTGCCAAATAGTCTTACATGTCACAGTAACCGCTCAATTAGCAAGCATCCCCCACTCAACCACCTAATCCAAATCGTTTTCCTACTCGAGGATGGACTGGGTCATAGGTTCATTGGCTTTGCTCGCGTGTTGAATGTTAGGTTTGTGTGTTGGGGTCAAGTTGGGGGTCACCTGACCTAACCCTTTCCGAACTTGTGAATGGGTTGGTCACGTGGTTTTGCTTGTAACGTTGGCAGTAAGGTTTGTGGGTTAAGACCAAAGTAGGTGCTTGGGTGCTGATTAGGATGATTCTGATCACGTAGCGAACCTATTTGGCATATGTTGACTCATCAGGGCTAGTGGCAATTTAGATGGAATGAAACTGAGTGATTTTATGTTGCAAACCACATAGTTTAATGACCATTTAGGCACAGAACTCGTACATGATGATCAACTGCTTTATTGACAATAGGACATTGGGGCCATCTCAATTTTCTCTTTCTTGTTCAATTTCCTTTTCCCCAGAGTGGGTGTCATCTCATCATCTCAGCTCACTAGTGTTTCGAACTAAAACCTTGCAGTGAAACCACGAAGAGGAGATGCACTGTTATTCTTCAGCCTGCTCCCAACAGCCATACCGGACACCAGCAGCCTCCATGCTGGTTGCCCAGTGATCGAGGGCGAGAAATGGTCAGCAACAAAGTGGATCCACGTGGACTCATTCGACAAGAACGTAGAGGTTGGCGGGAACTGCACCGACCAGAATGAGAGCTGCGAGAGGTGGGCAGCCCTAGGGGAGTGCACCAAGAATCCCGAGTACATGCTGGGTTCAGCTGAACTTCCTGGCTACTGCAGAAGGAGTTGTAAGGCGTGTTAGACAGAGAACCCGCCGCTGGCATCACTTCCCTTCTGCAATCTAGACACGAGTTTGAGTTCCCCCCTTGTATCTTTCTGGTGTTTGGTCCAAGTTTTGTGATGAACCTCAAGCTGTTGTACTTGTTTGTTTGTTGTGGAAAATGTTTGTAGATTGTTGGTGGATCCTCCCGTTGCTTACTTCTGGTAAAGTTTCTGTAACATACATGACGATTTGTTAGAAAAATGTTATAGATTGATATTAGACTCTGCTGATTGTATTGCTATTAAACTCAACTTGAGCAGGGTGAGGATTAGGTTCTAGAGTATTGATAACCTAAAATAATACTGGCAAATGATCTAATGAGCAAGAAAATGTACTGACAAAGTTGCTCATATTAAATAGAAAGATGAGATGAACGTATCAATTGTATGAAAGCGATATAGTAACGTATAGACAAAAGAAAACTAACGTAGTAATGAGATAAAGATATAATTGGACTCCACTTAAACTACGAAAACAAATTGTACCTATCAGGAGTAGCTGTACTTTGAAGAATCTAACTGGAGATCTTAGTCTTCCTATTCTATTGCTCCAATCTAATCTTGTTACATATACAAATGAGCCAATTAATTAATTAATTAATATGATGTAAAATAGGTTAGGCTTTCAGCGTGGAGCAAGGAACAGTGGCAGTTTCGTCGTGTAGTCATAAAACTGTTAAGATGACGGCCCGTCACGCTCTAAGATATGGGCCCAGGCTCATGCTGCGTTCAAGATTCACTCCCTCGTCATTTCATGTGGAGGCCCATTGCCTTCCAGATTTTTTTAATGGTTATTTTTCTTTTTCTTTTTCACTTGAACATATATAGAAATTTTGTGCTCACTAGTCACTACATTGATGAAGAACATGTTTTAAATTCGATATTTTCTTCCTTCATATATATACTTCGAGAAACTAATAGATACGTGTATAGGTTCAAGATCAATAATCAATAATAATGATAATTATAATCTATCAAAATTGTAGGAAACGCGTTGAGCGAGATTTATGATTACTCACATGAGTTGTTCTGTTGCTATTCCGATAAATTACATATTGGAAAAATGACTATAACGATTATAGTTGTCGTATCTCCTTAAAATTATCTTCCATCATATGGCTGGTTTAGAGCTGAATCCAAGCCTTTGGAAGCATAAGTGAATTTAGGATTTAATTAGTTGGATATATGTTTTTTTTTTGGGATAATGGAGATTAGTTGGATATTAAATCACCAATTAGAAATTAAACAAAGTGCTCACTTGGAAGATAAAAAGGAAAAGAAAAACGAAAATTATCGTTGATATGCTCGAATCTGGGATTGGAGAGTGGAGGATCCCAAAATGGCCAGATACTCTGTATTGGTACATGATACAATATATAAATATTCTTTTATGCTTAAAAATGAATAATTATTATATACGAGAGATAAAGATAATGGTATTCTTATTCTTGTATATATATGACTACACATGAGTTTAGTCTAGACGAGTTTTGACCCAGTTTGAACACGGCTCATTAAAATGAGTGAGCTCGAGATTAGCTTGTTTACGAAAACTTTGTCTTGTTTGTTACCTGAGTTCGGCTCTCATCAATTAAATTAAGAGATAGCTCGAGCTCAAATATCATATCATTTAGTTTATAATTGTTCATATCATCAGGTGTGACCGATTTAATTTACGATATATAATTTCTTTTTTTAAATTATAAATGAAACATATTTAAACACGTGCTCAAATTTTTAGAATAGTGAGATAAATAATCTAACAACCTATGAATTATCAACAAGCCAACGATAAGCTATTAATCGATTCGCTCGTAAGTTGCTAATTTGAGGTGGCCGTCGCTAGCCATATTGTCGCGCCATCTCAGAGCTCAAAACAAGCTAGCTAACCAGTTGACCTCAACAAACCCTCGAGTCGAGTTCCCACCACGAGCCTTCCGAGTTAAACAAGGCTTAATTAGTCCTGAGAACCCATTATCCAGGTCACCTGCCCTATGGAAGACTGGGAGCTGTCGTCGTGCACTTTCAAATCAACATGCTTTCTGTTTCACGGATGAAATCAGCCGTATCTGATTTTCAACTGGAACTTATTTGGTGATGAAAGCAAATCAACAGAAAGAAAAAAAAAAGAAAAAGAAAAAAGAAGAAGGGTTTACAGTGTCACAGACAAAGAACTGAAGAAGTGGTTAACAACTTTACAGGCAACATAACTAGCATTACAGAGAGTCACAAACATCACAGATGTAAGATGGTTTCCTGGTCTGGATGTCGTACCAAGAAAAATATATTATTCTTTTAATTTGTTTGCAGAAAAACAATCCAGTTACTATAAGTGGTTCTTGTCTGTGCGGGTCGTTTGGAAGTTGCGATTGTTAAATAGATGTATTGTTGAGAATGTATGTATAATATTATACATGTATTGTCGAATTTGATGCATAGTAGATTACAACGTTTGGTATGTGTGATTGTGTATGTCGCATCAGCTAAAAGCGGAGACAAAACAATCTCAACTCAACTATCTCAACAATCACAACTAAAAGTTGAGATATAACAATCACTCAAAATGAGTGATAGTTTCTGTCACATCACAAAAATAATCCATGTATTGTTTCTGCTAAAAAAACGATGTATTGTAAACAATACATGCATAATGACAATCTCAACAAAACTATCGCAACTTTCAAACGACCCCTTAGTCTTCAGGAAATGGGATCTTATCTGGTTATCCGATAAATATTCCCTTGTTTTTATGATTTCAGAAAAGAAGTTTGATGTTATGAGTATTCATGATATATTTTTTTTTTTTGGTAAGAAAAAAAAAAGTATTCATGATATTTTGATTTCTAACCGTGTTTGAGTAATTATGATAACTTTTAATCTTATGTTTATTAGCAAATTTCTCAAAAGAACCAAAGTGGTAGTGCAAATGAATATACTGTTGTTTATTACCATACTCGATTGCTTTTGTAAATTCATTTTGAGAGGGATATTAAAGTAGTTATTGTCGTATTTCTTTCCCAATTTATCTTCATTATTGGTTTAAATTTACCTCGGAAGAAGACATAAAAAATTATTTACGTGCAATTGTTTGAGCAGTCCAATTAAAAAGCTTAACTTTAATTTCAATAAAAGAGTGAATTAATTTTTTTAAAATAATAAAAGAACCAGATTCATGAACTTTAATTTCAATAAAAAAGTATCCAATGAACCAAATAAATTCAATATTTGCAGATAAATATTTTCGCAAAAAGTGGCACTCCATTGACCATTTCTGGATTTTTTTTTGTCAAATTTCAATGTAAGATGTCTCAAAACCGCACACCATTTCTGGAAAATGTTTGTCCAATTTCAAAGGATTAACATTGTAATAATAATGAAATTAATAAGATAACATAACATTTCTAGGTTCGGACAAAAACGTTTTAAAAAAGCAAAAATGGAAAAGAATTGAATTGGCTTTAGCCTGGTGTAAGATTATTAAATCCCTCTTGGCCTCTTCTGATATCTCCTTGCTTTGCTGCTGCTCATACTGAACTCTCTCTCTTTACCTCTCCTCTTCTGGCTAAAGCCACAAACCCAGAAGAAAAGAAAAGGGAAGCTTACAGCTTACTGCTTACAACTTTCTTGGTTTGAGCTCTTCTTCTCCAGCCATTAAATTCCAGCAACTGGGTCGATTCATTTTGTCTGAAAGCTGCCATCTTTCTGTCGGAGAAGGAAAAACAAAATGGATGTAATCCAGATGCAGAGAACCTGGGTTGAGTACACCAAGTCCTTGTACAGAGAGGTAAGGGTCCCAAGAATTCAAATCAACATAATGATTGAAGCTTTACTCAATGGTTATTTTCCTCTTTCTGGTTCATTGATTGATGTGCAAATTTCGATTTGTTGGTGGTGGTGGGAAAAAAAGGGTTTTCTGGACAGTCAATTTGCTCAGCTTCAGCTGCTGCAAGATGAGAGCAACCCAGATTTCGTTGTGGAAGTTGTTTCTCTCTTCTTTGAAGATTCCGAGCGTCTTCTCAATGAACTCACCAAAGTTATGTAAGTACTCTCAGCAGAAGCTAATTACTGACATCCCCTTGTTCGTTTTTCTCCTCTCAATCCCTTAAGAAGTTTGATCCGATCCTTGTTTTGTTCACAGAGATCAGCAGCAAGGTGTGGACTTTAAGAAAGTTGATGCACATGTCCATCAGCTCAAAGGCAGTAGCTCCAGGTAAAATTATTGCTTTTGATGATTCATTTCCACCAAAAACCCTCTTCAAAAAGTTCCAACCTTTTATTCACTTTGTGAGATTTCACTTTAGAACCTGGCAGTATCTCTATTCTGTGAGAATATGAAATGGGAGTTTGAATCTGGTAGTTTATTAGATCTGAAGACATGATGATGGGCTGAGAGAATAATTCTGCTCTGTTGAATTCTTGCAGCATAGGAGCTCAGAGAGTTAAGAATGCCTGTGTTGCTTTCCGCAGCTTCTGTGATGAACAGAACATTGAAGGGTGAGTTCTGAATTTCGAGGGTTTGGTTAATGTATTTGTAGAAATAGTTTTGTTCATTGCATTGCATTTGTATATGAAACTGGATCAGAAAGGTGAGAATAAACAAATTAGACTCGTTTGATTTGAGGAAATTTATTCAAATACCTCATACTTCATGTAATTTGAGATTCTTTGTCTAGAAAAAAACTATAGATTGTTTCAAATGATCGTTAAGCCTAGAATGGTTCCCTTTTTCATTATTTTTTGGTTCATAAACTGATTGTTGAGTTCAAGAGACCTCTGAAACTTTGAACCTGAAAACTGTTCCAATGGTTTCTGTCCAATGCAGGAGCCTGAGATGCCTGCATCAGGTAAAGCAGGAATACTTCCTTGTGAAGAACAAGCTAGAAAATCTCTTCAGTGTGAGTTCATACACAATCTTAGTTTGATCCTTTGTCCTCTCCTTTGCCCTTTTCTGGTTATAAGGGTGAGGAATTTATTAATTTTGCTGCAAAATTTGCAGCTGGAGCGAAAAATCGTGGCGGCTGGGGGATCAGTTCCTACGGAAGAGCTGAATTTCCTCTGAGCAAACGGTGAGAAGAAGAGAATGGGAAGTTGTTTTAATGTAGAGAAAGCTATTATTCCCTTGTGATGTTGTTCTTCTTCTTCATGCTTTATGATTTCCCTCCCTATAAGGTTTCTGTTCTTAACTAGTGAGGGGAGGTTGTTTGTGCTATGTATTGATGCATGCTTGTGAAAGATTTGATTGGCATCTTTTCAATAGAATAGAACCTCTCCTTCCCCTCTCTGCTTCTTGATGTTACAATTGGTTTCATGTTCCTGGATTGTTGTTTCATGTTGGCTACTGTCATTAACATAATGGAATGGATGATGTAACTGTTCGACCGTGTAATGATTTACTGTGATGAAAGTTTAGTCGTCAGTCTCTAGTTCAACTGATATAATGATTTGTAGATAAACCTTGAGATGTAATCTTGTTCGTTTGAGACCATGTGACCTAGAGTTAATTAAGTTCAGACGAAACTATAACGAGAAATCTTGCGTTCGAAGTGGAAATCTGATAGGTTTGAGGATGGAAGCAAATCAACACATGTCTAGCTAATGGCCCCATATCTCACAAAACATACATGCCTTCCTAGGTAAACAAATAGCAAAATCTTCACAAGAACTCAAATGTGCCAATTATGAATGTTGTGGGGACTCGAAATCATCTCCCATCTAAACTGGGAAAGATTTGATTCCTCAGAAACAGTCAACTCCTTACTCTGCTGAGGCTGTCCTTCTGTCTTGTGTCTTCTGTTCCTCTCTTCCCCCCCAAAAAATTATGCAAACAAACAAAACATGAAAGTTAGTGGTGGCATATGATACTCCTAGCACATGATTGAGCTTTAAAAAGGGAAATGGGCCAATTCCCATCAACCAAATCACACCAAACAGTTGCTGGCCACTCATCAAATCTTGAATGATTTCCTCTGTTAGCTAGTGAGTAGTGAGAATCATCATTGGAAGGAAAACAAAAACAAAACCTTTCCTGTCAGCTCAATCAACCGAAGTGTGAATCCATGTTGGAAAACACCAATTCTTTTTATAGGATAAATGAAAAGGAAAGTAAAACAACTCTGTAGAATTCCCGCAACCATGAATTCAGAATCTCAGACTGATAAAGAAATGATCTTTGACTTTAAGCAAATCTGAAAGTGTTGACTTCTGATGGTCGGTTGTATTATGGACTCGTCGCCGTTAGCCGTTTTGTCAACAACATTATCCCTTCCGGCGAAAGCAAATCTCTTCCTCCACTACTAATTACTTCTCTTCTCAACCGCCAACGCCAAAAAAAAAAAAAAAAATCAATTGGCACAAAATCCCAACTCCATGGCAACTTCGATCTTCCTTTCGGAGCGTCTCTTCTTCTTCTTCCTCTTCTCGATTTCATTGCTAATCCACGAATCCACCGCCTACCCTGCTACTGCCAGCTCCATTGTTGACCCCTCCAAAGTCAAACAGGTCTCATGGAAGCCAAGGTTTGCTGCTCGAACTTTGGACATGGGTTTACTAGCTCGCTTCCCCTTCTCGTCAAAGATGACGCCATTTTTACTTCTTTCTCTTAACGGGTTCTTTTTCGCCATTTTCTGCAGGGCATTTGTGTACCAAGGGTTTCTTATGCAACGAATGGGATCAAAAGGTAAACAAGAAATAATTTGGGGACTAGTTTGTAATTAGGAAGACATATAAAAGAAAGGATATGCTATAATGGATAGTTATGGAATAACATAATAAGAATTTCCCTATCTCTCCTCCTTCTCCTCTGCTCTGTCTACCTCCTCCTCTGCTCTGTCTACCTCCTCCGTAGTTGCTTGAAGTACCACCCCAGCCATACCTTCCTGCAGAAGTATCTCCTCCGTAGTTACTTGAACTACCACCCCAGCCATACCCTCCTGCAAAACCATCATCACAAGAATACTGGTGAGAATGAGTTTCACCGACCGGATCGGTCTCGACATACACCTCTGCAAGTCGCATCCCGTTGTCAGATAGGAACTGTATCATCATGTTCACCGCGTCATCATCATTTATGACAACTTTTTCGTACATGATTCCGTCAGCACTCATGTTTGGATACAGGTAAGTAATTTGACCAACTCTCCTTTGCCCGCCCGTACAAGTCCTTTCTGCACAAATGTCATGGAGTTCTTGCTACGAGAATCTCGACTCAATTTTTAGCATAGTGGATTCGCCATTTTCATAGTCGATCCCAATCTTCGAGTTTGTCACCCGACCATTCCACCGAATAATAAGCCGAAACTTCTTAAATTTACCCATGTCTGCAATTTATAATAATTAAGTATAGTATATAATTAGTACATTATGGATACAAAAACAATATCATCCAAACCCATAAACAAACGCAACTAATTGATCTATCATGAGAAAACTAAACAAATTCATCTAAATTCATAACTAACTAACTAACTAACTAACTAACATCTATCATATCATAATTAATCTAAATATCTCATAACATATTTGCCAATAACCGCAATTCACTAAATACAAGCATATAATTACTAATACATCAACACATCAACATGTAAACAATACATAATTATAACATACCGAATCCCGATGAGTTTCTTGAGCAGTAAACCAACTCCAAACCAGCTGAGAAAACGGCCAAAAAAATACTAATTTTTGTACTAATTTGCTGTAAGACAGCAAGAGGGAAGTGGGGGTCGGTATTTATAAGGAAAAATGCCAGCTAATCGCCGCAGTGGACAATTGCGGTGAACACATCACCGCTTTTGTCCAAAACGGTGATAGCTAGGTCGTTGTGACCTAATTTTCCACCTACCAGGGCTCTAAAACGTGGTCAAATATCACCGTTTTGGTCGACGGCGATGATGTAATCACCGTTTTGCACAATAGCGGTGAGGCAATCACCATTTTGGACGGCAACGGTGATACCTTCCCCGTTGTTGTCGAAAGCGGTGATGTATTCCCCGTTGTTTTCAAAAGCGGTGATACCTTCCCCGTTTTAGACTAAAGCGGTGATTATAATCACTGTCGAAGACGAAGACAGTGATGTTGAAACTGCTGTACTTTGGGAAATAAGTTTATAAGTACTGTATTAAGGGATTTTTTTTTTATAACTTGAGTATTCAGGGATTTTTTCCTATGGAATAACAGAATAAGAATTTCCCTATCTCTGCTTCTTCTCCTCTACTCTGTCTTCTCCCGCTCCTTTTGTCCCTCTTCTTCTCAATCTATCTTCCTTCTCCTATAATTTCTCCTTCTGATTCTTCAATTGAGATCTCCATTCCATTCCTTTGATCGATTAACTCGCTGAGAAGATCCAGTTCCGATTCCGACTGTTACAAATTGGTATCAGAGCCTCTTCTTGGCACCATGACAACCATGGTTCCGCCGATGCGGACGATAGAAGACCGGTTAGCCGTCATTGCTAATCCGGCGACTGCATCGACGCTTCGAGCATCTCTCGCGGCTTCAGAAGTGGCATTTTTGCGATGCATGATCTCGTGCAGCAGATTCAACGGACAGCTACGGGAATCGCCTCTTTCTCGGACTTACGTCGACCAACTCCGCATCTGCCAGACGTATCTCGATACTCTTTCTCCATCCAACACCGATGGTGATCTCCTCGGCAACCCAACGCCTTCACTGTTGGCGGAGAGAGACGTCGATCGGAGTGCCCTACTGCCAATTCCAGAAATTCGGCCGCCAATTGTTCGACGATATGCCGAAGTGGACGTTGACTCAGGTATCCCTTTCTTCTCGGGAGAAAATCTTAGGGATTGGGTTAGTAAGTGGGAAGAATGGTTTGTAATGAATGACACTCCGGAGCATAGGAAAGTAGCCATTGCAGCAACCAAATTTGGAATCTGGCCGAAAGTTTGGTTCGAGGGTTGGATTTTCCGACGAATTCGTAGTAGCCTTAGGTAGACGTTTTGATTGTTCTACTTCTATGGCAGCAACTAGACAAACCGCTGATACTTGCGACGGGAGCTCTAACTCCTTGCTTCCTGTTTCGTCGAGTTCCCTAGTCTCGATATCTTCTCATGTTTCTTTAATGCAATTTGGGTCTGGTAGGCTTGAGGGCTTAAGCAATGGGTCAGTTCCTGAATCTCAGGGATCAGATTCAGAAGATTCGTTAGCTAGCGATAGCAATGATGATGTTTTGGGTGGTTGTTTAGTTGTAACAGAAATGGGGAGAGATGATGAGAATGATGAGCACAAGAACACAGCTCCATACCTTGGCGTTTTGGATCCAATGGAGACTGGAAAAAATTGCAGCGACTTTTAGTAACGAGGTTTGCTTCGAATCAGTATCGACCCTGAAGAAACCAAACTCGGAGGAGAATGAACTCAATGATGAAGGGGTTGTGTGGGCTGCACAGGCTATGGAAATGGATCATTCACAACTGACTCAAGGGGTTGTGGCTACCAGCTCAGCTGCGGAGATTCAGAGTCCAAATTTTGAAGTGAGTTGGAGCCAAACAATTGGGAAAGCTTTAAAGGGGAAACTACCGAGATGCAGTTCCACTATGTTGTTTTTGCTCAGTCCCCAGGCATGTTTGCTTTGGGTCAGAACTTTGCCCAAGATTGTACTGCAGATACATCGTGCAAGAGGCTCCTAATAGAGACTTCTGAGTTACAGTTACGAAGTGGGTTGAAGGAGTCAGCTTTTGATAAGCTGGAAGGCATAGTGAGCATCCAACAAGTAGAAGCACAAATGTTCCAAACAAGGGTAGATGATTCTAAAAGAGAAGCTATATGCTACAAATTGGCGTTTATAATAGTTGTTGAGCAATTGGAGCATATTGGTCATCGCAACAAGGAACTGTGGTGTGGCAGCGGGGACGTTGGGTATCAGATTTATCCAACTTACTATGGCGTTTGTGTTATTTCTTGTGGCAGGGCTAGTTGTCTTGATTTCAAAGAGCCATACAAGGGAGCTTGGGTAGCTATGTTTGGTTTTCTGAATTATAGAGAGGAATTGTTTCTTGTTGAATGGAATTATACTTTTCAGAAAGATCATGGGCATTTGTGGCGTAGGGTGAAGTTTAAAAGAATGGTTGCTTCTCCAAACTTCAAGGAGCCCTACAAAGACAGTGCTTTGGCGGGCAGAATTGGTGATGTGCTAATTGGGGTTGCCTATGGGTTAAATTGTTTGAGTATCTGCTGTGATTGTGCTGTATTGGGCAGCCTTGGTTTCATGGTGATTTTTTGTGACTCGGATTGGGCTTGGTGGGAACATCATGGGTATTGGTGGCCACGAGTGAAGTTTACAAGATGGTCTGCTTGTCCCAACTTCAAAGAACCTTACAAGGATCTTGCAATCAAGGAGATGGGTGACCAGGTGAATGTAGTGTGGTATGTGCTTGTTCGAGTTGGAGTTCTGGTAGTTTCTATTCAAGATATAGAGCATTTGGTGCGGCGAAAGGATACATGGGGGCATCAGTGCAACAATTTTCGATGGACATTGATTGAAACTCTTTCTATTCTGTGTGGGACAAAATCACAAGCATTTGACATGGAAAATGGCAGCCAACAACATTTGTTTTTTGGTTGGGTGTTCAAGGGCTGTATTGGAGTTATATTGAAGGTTGGTGATGTTCGGTTGATGAAGGTTCTGATGGAACTCCTTTCCGTCTTCTACCCCTATTGGGTTGGTGGTTGCAATCCATTTTGTTGATTTAGCACAGTTAGTTCGTTGTTTTGGACTGCTATGTTTTCTTTTGATTTTCATCCTTGAGGACAAGGATGTTCTCAAGGAATAGGGATTGTAATGAATGAGATCAAAAGGTAAATAAGAAATAGTTTGAGGACTAGTTTGTAATTAGGAAGACATATAAAAGAAAGGATATGCTGTAATGGATAGTTATGGAATAACAGAATAAGAATTTCCCTATCTCTAGGGATGGCAATAAAACCCGAACCCACGGGTACCCACCCGACCCAACCCGGTCAACGCGGGTAAAACCCTTGTTGACGGGTTTTGGGTCGGGTTCGAGTTTAAACCCGCTACACTATTCATCGGGTTGTGTTGGGTTTGGGTTTAGGTAAACTCGCCCCATGGGTACCCGCCCACACATATAATTACTTTCCCGGTATATTTAATATTCTAAATAATATATTTTCATTAAACAACTAATATTATTTATGTTTGTGGAGACAGGTATAATTTGTTCTTCCTAATTGTTTAGAATGAAGTTGATATTATGTAGTGGATAGTGAAGAAACTTATTTGACGAGGAAGAAAATTTCAATTAATCTTGGTGTTTATAGATGTTTATCTTTAATTTTGAACAATTTGTATTGATCATTTGCGGTTTGCTTGTATGTTCTAGATTAGTGTTTTTTATATGAATAATTTGTATGAGAAAATTGATGTTAAACTTTTATTTTGAAATAAATTTGTTATTGTGAATTTTTTACCACAAAAAACCCACGGGACCCATGAACCCGCGGATACTCAGATGGTTGGGTTGGGTTTGAGTTTTTCAAACCCAGCAGGTTTTACCCCAGTTTTTTTTACGGATAAACCCATAGGTTTGGGTTTGACAAAACCCGCCCAACCCGACCCATTGCCATCCCTACCTATCTCTGCTCTGTCTTCTCCTGCTCCTTTTCTCCCTCTTCTTCTCAATCTATCTTCCTTCTCCTATAATTTCTCCTTCTGATTCTTCAATTGAGATCTCCATTCCATTCCTTTGATCGATTAACTCGCTGAGAAGATCCAGTTCCGACTCCGACTGTTACATCTTACCGCCTTGGAGTGCGATCACCTGATCTCCCTGGTGAGTTGGTTACTGTTTCTTTGACCAGTTCGAATAGAGAGTGAATCTGTTTCTCCTCTGATTTTCTTGTTGGCGGGTGAGAAACTCTCCAGGCGAAATCGGAGCTGAAGAGATCGGCTGTTGCTGATAATTTGAGTAGGCAGAGTACGCTGAGCGAAGTCCGGACCAGCTCTGGGATGTTCATTCCCAAGGGAAAGGTTTTGCTGCTTCCTTTTACTCTCCATTTTTAGCATGCGTGTTCTTGAATGGGATCTTGTTAGAATAATTAGCTTGCTTCGATTCTCCCAATTTGGGGAGTTTTCTTTGAGTTTCCTAGTTAGTCTTCGTTCTGTTGTAACTGTTATTGTTCTGCTACTTTCTAGGATCCAATTGTTGCTGGCATTGAAGAGAAGATTGCAACTTGGACGTTCTGATTTCCAAAAGGTTTTTCATTTGCCCTAATCATACTTCTTGACCTATTTCCTTATCCCTCAGTTCCTTCTGATTTCAAGTTCTTTACTTGGGCTTCTTCTTGCAATGTGATGGATGAATTGAAGAATCCAAACGGTTGTTGTTCCAATGCATGTTCATCTTGTGAAACATAATTGACTATCAGACTAAAGCTACCAATCACCTACCAATCCAGCCATCCAACCATTTTCCTCCCATTGAAACTCAAGTGACTGGCCGCCATCGAATCAGATTCAGAGAACTCCGGCCACCACAACCATCAGACTAAAGCTATTAGCAGAACAGCAGAGGAGCTCCCCTACAAATGGCGGAAACGATACCTACCAAATCACATTCTGCAACCGGTACTACATCACGACTACTATTCATCTCTGATTCGGTATCTTTTGATGATTTATTTATCTGGGTTGTGAGTCCTTTGCACAAGTATTCTATATCGCGCGATCAATTATGATTCCAATCGTATGCTAGTTGTGGGGGTCCTTTATGCTTCAATTATTACGCACTGCTGAATCTTGATTCAATCTGGTTCTGCAATTTCAATCTGTACATATGGGATTTGACTGATCTGATTTGTTTATGAATTGAAGAAGGTAAGCATCCAAACTTCATTGAGAAGGCTAAGGAAAAGATTGACAAGGTAATCCACTCTCCAAAGCATACCAAGGAAACTCATGGAACAAGCAATGACATTGATGAGAAGACAGACATTGATGAAGTGAGGGGTCCAGGAGTGTTTCAGAGGGCCAAGGAAGAAATCGAGGCCCTCGTCGAGACGATTCATCACAAGAAGGAAAAGGCAGGAAACCACTCCCCAACTCACACCAAGGAAACTCATGGAACGAGCGATGACATTGATGAGAAGACCTCCATTGATGAAGTGAGAGGACCAGGAGTGTTTCAGAGGGCAAAGGAAGAAATCGAGGCCCTCGTCGAGACGATTCATCACAAGAAGGACAAGGCAGGAGACCACTCCCCAACCCATACCAAGGAAACTCACAAGAAGGACAAGGCAGGAAACTACTCCCCAACACACACCAAGGAAACTCATGGAACAAGCGATGACATTGATGAGTTCACATCGGTCGATGAAGTAAAAGGGCCAGGGGTGTTTCAGCGGGCAAAGGAGGAGATCGAGGCCCTCGTCGAAACAATTCATCCGAAGAAGGAGAAGGATCATCACAAGTCATCTTCCACATAATAGTATGGAAGTTGGAAGGTTTGACAAATATTTGGTTGTGTTATCATCCTTTGGGTATAGGGTGAGAGATTGATCAGAATGTGCATTCCACGATGACCATTGTCATTTGAAAACATCTGCTGAATGGATTGTAATTTGATGATTCACCATTGTAGTAATTGCTCTTCTTTCTTGTGATACCAATGCTCTATTTCTATATGGATGTTTGCTATTGGTTCTTCATCCAAATTATAAAAAGAATTGCTCAGTTTTTCATCAAATTCATTTCGTCAGATCTCAGGGCATATGTTGATCTTGCGTTCAATGCTTGCCCCATAGCTGTGACGCCGTCTTTTGATCATCATGTTGCATTTTCATCCCATGACCTGCACCGTAGATATGATTCATTTTGTGGAACTGTTTATTAGTTGTGTAATAAATTTTCATCTTTCCAGAAAACAGACAGGAGGCTGAATAGTAATTGATATGACAGGCGTCACAGGCACAAAAATTGATAACTGATGAGTCTCCAAGCAGTTATCATATCAGGGAACTTCATTTTGATTCAATGCATACAAAGGACAAAGCCATAAAGAAATGCAACAGTAATAGAGCAGTACTGTTATTAATTAGTTACAAAGGAGGAGTGCACTGAAGAGGGAAGATTGTGGGAGGAAGTTATAAAGCATTTATGTCCTCAATTTGACTGGAGGCTGAAGCTTGGGAATAAGACTTTGTTTTTCTATTTCTTTTTCTGTGTGCTTTCGTCCAAAGTTTGCTTGCTTGCTTCACAAAGAAAACATAGCTGATGAAATGGCAGCATAGCATAGCATAGGTTAATAGGCTGTGGGCAGTAGTCAGGTAAGAAAGCTGTAGTGCATTTACTGTATTTGGACTCAAGTCATGAGAGCTAAGTATGGGAAACATCGAGAAGGTCTTGAAGTGCTTCGTCCTGTTAAGGGAAGTTCCTTTACCTGGAATAGCTTGACTAAAGCCTCAAGCCTTCTTCGGAAGGGTTGTGCGTGGAACATTCATAATGGAAAAGGTGCTAAGTTCTGGCTTGATGTCTGGCTTTTGCAGGTACCCTTGGCCGAGGTGGCTCTTCAACCGGTAGCGGAGGAGATGCTGGGCGAGCATGTTGCGGACTATATCGATGAGGACGGTAGATGGGACATCAACCGTTTGGAGGCTTGGCTACCCGCCGAGGTGCTGCAAAAGATCACGGCAAACCTCGTGGATCCCCTGTCCACGGATGATGACACCATTCTGTGGACCGCATCCTCGAATGGTCAGTTCTCAACAGCCTCGGCCTACAGCCTGGCATTGCCCCCGAGGAATGACCCGAATGAGAGGATGTGGAAAACCATGTGGAAGCTCCCGGTTGCTGAGAGAGTCAGGGTGTTTGTGTGGCTGGTGTCTCTAGGGCGCATTGCGACTAACGCTCTCCGCTACTCCCGTAAGTGCGCGGAGTCCCCCATGTGCCATAGATGCGGGAACTATGAAGAGACCATTCTACACGTGCTGAGGGACTGCTACCCCGCTCGTTTCTTTTGGTTGAGATGGATTCTGCAGGAGGAACAACAGAGTTTTTTCAGCCGCAGCTGTGAGGATTGGTTCCGGGAAAATATTCTCAAGGAGGACGCGACGGACTCTGGTATGAATTGGAACAGTTTCTTTAGTACTGCTTTGTGGCTTATTTGGAAGAACAGGTGTACAGGTTGTTTCCAGGGGCTGCACAAGGCGATGACAACACCCTCACTTGCTTTCTCCATCCACCAAAGGGCTCTTTTGTGGCATAAAGCTTGGCAGGCCCCAACAGTGAATTTTGGCCGCCAGGGGTCCAAGCCGGAAAGGGTGGAGACTCAAATTCACCGGAGTTTTCCTCGAAATGGGTGGGTCAAGCTTAACGTGGATGGGGCGTCGGTGGGCAATCCTGGGCTTGCCGGAGCTGGGGGCATTATCCGTGATGAGCATGGGAAGTGGGTGCGGGGCTTTGTTGCTAAAGTGGGCGAAGCCTCTGCAATTCTTGCTGAGCTCTGGGCGTTCTACTATGGCCTGCAACTCGCTAGGAAAGCAGGATGTGCCTGTGTTCTTATTGAGTCAGATTCCCAGATGGCTATCACTTTGATTAAGAGTCGCCATGACCCCGTTCACCCCTACGCTTCCTTGTTGGCCTCGATCCGGCGGAGCCTGGCGCAGGATTGGTTGGTCAGCATTGGACATGTGTATCGTGAGGGGAATAGAGCCGCGGACTGGCTCTCAAAGCACAGTCTCGTCTATCCTCTGGGTATGCATGAACTTGTTGATCCACCGCCGGCGTTAGCTCCAATTCTTATTGACGATTGTATGGGTATTGCTTTTGAGCGTCGGGTTGTGACGCATCCTTCTTCTTCTCTGTAACCCCTTCTGTTCGGCCTCGGCCTCCCTTTAATGCAAAAAAAAAAAAAAAATTAACTGTTCCAATATATGGTGTCATGAAGATGTGAAAGGTGCTGCCTTTAGTTTAGGGGCCTTTTTTCATTTATTTTCCATATCAATCTCTTTTGACCAAGTTCAAAGTAGATCAATTCTGGTCCATGGTCTTTTGTTGGTTTTCTTTTGCCTGGATAAATGGTAGTTTTGATGGGAAGCATGGGCAAAGACAAAATGCTTGTAAAAAGAAATTTCTTTTGTAGGTGAGAAGAATAGGGTCCCTGTAATTGGGACTGTACGGTTACATCAGAATGAATGATCAAATCATTCTAATCAAGACAACACAAATATCAATGTATAGCAGCAACACTTTTGGACGTGTTACACAGCAACAACCAACAATTACCTTCTTCTTTTTCTCGAGTGCAGTTTTAACAGTTTTAACGTTAAACACTCATCTGTTAAACCTTTTGTCTTGTATTTAATTCACTTCTGTTCTTGATGATCCAGATCCAGTTAGATCATGACTGATTTTCTGGAGCTTTCAGTCCCACAGAATCATTACCACAAATATCAATGTATAGCAACAACACTTCTGGACGTGTTACACAACAACATTTACCTTCTTTTTCTCGAGTGCAGTTTTAACAGTTTTAACGTTTAAACACTCATCTGTTAAACCTTTTGTCTTGTATTTAATTCACTTTTGTTCTTGATGATCCAGATCCAGTTATATCATGACTGATTTTCTGGAGCTTTCAGTCCCACAGAATCATTACCAGATCAACCACTTTGTATCTCAGCAGCAGATCCAGGAAAAGACCAATCAATGAAAAAAATGGTGAGACGAGAACAAGTGAAGCTTTGTTCTTTATGGCTTTCTGCTACCTTTCTGGTGTGCATTCATTTACTTGCCATTTTCCCACAACAGAACCAACAAAAACATGACAAATCTTTTATTGCATGATTTGCTATATTAGCTGGCCATTTGGTAATCATGTTATTATGTCACTGGAATCTTTTATTCATTGTAAATATCAGAGTTTGGGGGTCGGTTAGCATGCTAACCCCCCTTAGGGGTTGGAAAAATGACACCCCCTAGTATATTAAATACAACTATAATTAATACACAATAATTAATACACACATTAAATACACATTAGGAATTAAATGTACCATATTAATTAGGAATTCTCTCACTATTAAATACATATTAGGAATTAAATACACACATTAAATACACATTAGGAATTCTCTCACTATATTTGATTTTTCCTTTTTCAGCAGTCTCCGACCACCAGACTTCCTCCGACCGCCACACTTATCCGGTGAAAATCCCATCGGCAGACTCCCTCCGACCACCTCCAAAAAATATACCACTGCACTGATACGGTGTACCACTGTACTGGTAGATATACCACTGTACTGGTACGTTGTACCACTGTACTGGTACGTTGTACCACTGTAGTGGTACAAATACCATTAAAGTGGTAATTAATGTGGTGTATTTAATGCTTACTTTGTATTTAATAACAGAACATTTATTATGTTTACTTTCATTAATACTTGTCAATAATTAATGAAAAATTGACCAATTAAAAGGGGGGTGTCAAAAAACCAACCCCTTAAGGGGTTAGCATGCTAACCCGTCCCCAGAGTTTGTGTGTGTCTGTCTGTGGTGTGCACATCTGTTATAGATGTACCAATGGAGGCCCAAAGCGTACAATATCTTGTTCGGGAAAAGTTTCGGGATGTTACAAGTGGTATCACAGCCTCTCCGCGTCCCTCTTGAACGATGGTGGGTCAAACCTCAACGAGGGCGTTGAGTCCCAAGAGGAGGTGTATGTAACACTTTAGGCAAATCCCACATCGACAAAGCACGTGAGAGATCCCATGGTTCATAAGTAGGAAACCGGTCTGAACTGACAAGACGCATTTTGAGGTGAAATAGAGGAGTTCTTGTGAGAACTCCTTATAGTTAAACGTGCTCAGTTTAGAGTACAATAAGGATACGTGACCTTATAAAAAGCTCAAAGCGAACAATATCTTACTTGGGAAAAGGTTCGGAATGTTACCGTTAGTATGCAACAAAAGTAAAACTTAAATGATACTTGATGCATTTAAGCCCAGATCGAGGGAGAAAAAAAGAAGCTGCGCATTTAAATGGCTCCAAATTAGAAAGAACTTTTATAACCAACTAGCTTCGTTGCCCGGCCCGTCGGCCGGGTAGATTTTTTTACCATTTATATTGATTTGTATATTTGTACAATCTTTAAAATTATTTTGGATTTGAGAAAAATAGTTCTCCATGTGGACTTTTTGAGTTTTGAGTCATACATTATTTTTTTCTTAGACATTTTTATGTTTCTTTCTAATACATGAATTTTTCTATAGTTATTTTTATGGGTTGGTCACGGGTCGGTTAGAAAAATACTTCTTTAACAAAAATTATAGGACTCTTAAAGTATGCGTCACAGTACAAAACTTCGATTACGAAACTTACAAAATTCGTATTTTGCCATCCTTGATACAAATCATACCACCTCTAATACGATCATATCAGAGGTTTTACGACCCAAGAATTGTAGGATTTGTAGAATATAGTTTTGTATTTTATAACTTTTTTAATATAATAATTAAACAAACTCTTTTAGTAGTTAAAATATTTTTCATCGTTGATTGATGATTTATTGAAAACTACCACAAATTGATATGCAAAATACCATCATGTGAAAGAGATAATGATATATGCATGTAAGATATTGTGGCCCTAAAATAATTTAAATAAAAAAATTAGATTTGATCAATGTAATTATCAAATGAAACTCACCCGATAGTATTTCCCTTTGGGTATTCTAACAATGGAAGACGGGAGGGAAAATTAGAAAAGAGCCAAAACTCAAGAGACACAAATTGACTGAAGATGTTGGCCAGAATTAAACAAATTTTCAACCTGCGAACAAAACTAAAAGTTATTAGAAGGAAGATGGAAACAGAGAGTGCAGTTCAAACATGGGAAAGGAGACGGTGAATGGAGGACTTCGCTTGAGAAGAATTGGGACTGGTGGCGAAGGCGAATCGGTGGCGCAACTCCTCCAAGCGATACCCCGCTGTACATGGTTGAGAAAGACATATTGATGTGGGAATCGGGGCAGCAGGCGGTTGTCGCCCTTCATCAGGGGATATCAATTCAAAACTTAACTATAGCAATAGCCAATGCGGATCGAACGAAGTTTGAAGAGTTGGAAACGTCACCAGAGAGCCCTTTCTATGGAAGTTAGGATGATGTGGCGGCCGCCGACGGGGAGAATTTCCATTGGATAAAGCGCCTTTGAGATTGTGAGCGATTGAGACTTTGGAGATTGATGAAGTTGTTTAATAATTGGACGGGTAAAGAAAACAGTGGATATAAAAGAGAAGGGGCGGGTGCGGAAACCGAAGGAAGGTGGCTGACGTGGACAACCTCTCCTTTCAGTTGGGAGTACGTGGCATGGGGCCAAAACTGAAAATGCTTTAATATTTTTTAAGAAACGTCGAGTTCTTCCTCTGAAATCAACTCTCGCGCTTTCAATCTCACATCCATGGCGCTTTCTTCTTTTCGCGTAAGTCATTCTCTCCTCCACCTTTCTTTCCGCAGATCTCAGATTCGTACTTAGCTAGATGAAAAGCTATTGGATCTGATATGATTGGTACTGAAATCACGAATGTGTTCTGCTTGGTCCGCTTGTTGAGAGCGCGGCATAGATTGTCTCAATTCCACAACTGTTGCTTACTGCCCGCACTGAAGATCTCTACAGTTGGGTTTCCGGAGCGCGGAATTTCGTTTGATCCAATTGGTATATGAATAGATCGGTTGAGTGATGATAAACTGGCGTAGGGGTAAAATATTTTGTTTTTAGGCTTTTGAAAATGGATTTTGGCGAATTAAAGATTTAGGGTTTACAGTGAATCAGTGAGTTTGTGGTGTTATTCTGCGGTGGATATTATTGGGTTTCGCTTGATTTAGGGAATGAGGGATATGCTTGATCTGTTGGTTTGCAGGATGCCTGCCCTACTGTGAAGAACATTCTCTTACTGGATTCGGAAGGGAAGCGTGTGGCTGTCAAGTACTATTCAGATGACTGGCCGACGAATAACTCCAAGCTAGCCTTTGAGAAAGCTCTGTTTACCAAAACAATGAAGACTAATGCCCGGACAGAAGGTTTGTTTGATCAACGTTATGCGGTTTTTAGTTGAATCTAAATACTCTCAATTAAGCTGTAAAGTCATGCTTGATTGCGTTGCTGACCCATTTATTTATTGTTCTGTCCCAGCGGAGATTACCATGTTTGACAACTACATCATCGTCTACAAGTTCATTCAGGATCTCCACTTCTTTGTCACTGGAGGGGATGATGAAAATGAACTTATATTGTCTGCAGTGCTCCAAGGTTTCTTTGATTCTGTTGCTCTTCTCCTGAGGTAGTTCTAAGTAGTGTCTGGGCTTGTTTTCTTTTATATAATTTCTTCAGTGTGATTGATTCAATCTTCCTTCTTGACATAGGAACAACGTTGACAAGAGAGAGGCACTTGAGAACTTGGATCTCATCTTCTTATGCCTTGACGAGATTGTTGAAAGAGGGTATGCCTGTTTTCTTTTTCTCTCAGTTCTAGACAGTTAGGATTTAAGGCGATAATAGGGAAGATAGACCAGTATGGCATAAAATAGTGTCTTATATAGTGGTTTTCCTTGCTTGTCCGTTTTATTACAAGTTCAATCCTACTGGGGTTTCTAATGTGAACGATTAGCTTGCTTAAGCAAACTTACTTTATGGAGCATAAACATCCTTTTGCTATCTTAATCCATTTCAAATATAATATCAATGCCTTGAATGGCTCCTTCTCTGTACTGCTTGCTTGTCAGGCTTCGTCTTTTGATAAATTACCATAGGAGCGTGTTTTATTGCTTATTACTTTGCCGCAGGATGATATTGGAGACTGATGCCAATGTCATTGCCGGAAAGGTGGCGGTCAATAGCATGGATCCTGCTGCACCATTGTCTGAGCAGGTTGGCTTTCTGATTGCATCCTCCGTTACTTTCTTCTATGGCATCATAGGTTCATATCTTCATTCATCTGTTCCCCCTCTGCTTTTCAATTGCACAGACGATCTCTCAAGCATTGGCTACAGCTCGGGAGCATTTAACGCGAACCCTCTTCCAGTGAGGAGAATCAACAAGCGACGGCGTGATAGCAAAGATCTGTTCCATTCTGCTGCATTGTTATTACCGACCAGCATGGTTGCAGCCTTGCAGGAACTAAGAACAGGACTTTTAAGAATAGAGAGAGAGTGACAGTTTTCATTTAACATTGTAGCTCTGCCTTCCACCGCATTTGTATTATGTTTTTTTGTTCGCGAGGGGTCGTGGTCCTACCGTCAGCCGCCTTCTTTCCCGCCGGTGAAGGTATGTGTAGCATTAGCGCCAGTCACGGGCCAGGCCGAGGGAGTGGGGCCCAGGCCCAGCCCACTTGTCATGCGGCCCATACACATACACGTAGCTTGTACCGACAAGGAAAAGGGGGGAAAAATATATAACCCTAATCATTCTTAATTTATTGGACAGAACGGCGATTATAAAAAAAAGACAGAACGGCGAGCTTGGAGGGAAGCGAACAAGCAACAAACCGTGGAGGGAGAAAGAGGAGAAGCGACAAAAGGAATTCCATTGTTCGTCGTTCGATAATCCAGTATTCTTTTCCTTTTTGTTACTAATTCATTATAGATATATATTCATGTGTTTTATTTTTATTATGAACTAAACTTCAATGGAGAGAAACACTATTAGAATGCAGTTATTTTTAGATATGATGATTTCTTCAAATCTTTATTGCCCTGAAATTTACTCTTAATGCTTTGTATTGCTTGGCTAACAATACAATGATTCGTAGTTAAATAGGTCATTAACGAAAGTGAATCCCTAATAACTGAATATATTCCATCGAGCGTAGTAACTTATCGAAGCGATAGTGAATTAATTAAGCGAGCGATGTTATATGCAGTCTGGAATGGGATAGTGGGCATAAGACTAACTATAATTAAGTTACGATAGTAGGATTCGAGAGTTGACTGTTTAGTAAGTAGTTAATTTTTTTGAATATAATAGATATTGAGTTCCGGTGTTTGTTTATTTTTGTTTTGCCGGTTCCTTCCTGTCCACTCAACAGGTTCGGCATACAGTTCTCAGTTTACTACTTGGAACTCGGAAAGTTGAGCCGGCCGGTGATGAAGACGATGGAGACTAAGGAAGTCACATTGAAGGTTAAGAATTTCTCCAAGCGGAAAGAAACCGAGATCTACTCCGACATTTTCCTAGCCGCGGGCCACAGATGGTAATTAACTAACTTCCCTCTTCATCCAAAGAGCCCTAGCTAGCTATCTTGGCCAAGTTTCTGTAAAACGAACCCCCACTTCAATTAATCATTCTGCAGGAGGATTATGATTTACCCGAATGGGAAACGTCGTATTCCCGGTTTTCTGGCAGCATATGTGCAATTTGTCGACTGGAAAACAGAGCCACGGGGATGGAATGTGCCAGCGATCATCAACTTGACTCTACTCGACCAACTCAACGGCACCTCCTCTGTGCGAAAGTGTGGGTAACTCTGTCTCTATATATCTTTCTCCATCTAAAGATAGATGCTTTCATCCATGCCGTCTGCAGATTTTCCTGCAGGTGCTTTACTCTGTTTTTGTTGTCGCAGTTGTTTCCTTACTCTGTTTTCCAATACTTGCTTACCCGCCAAACAGGTTCGGCAACCAATTTCCATGGAAAATCTTATACCTCCTGGGGATTCCACCGATTCGTGTCACGGGCCGATCTTCGTGATCCTCAGAAAGGGTTCCTCCTCGATGATACCCTTCTTATTAAGGCAGTGGTTTCTACAGTTAAGTATTGAAACTAGCAGGACTTTGAGTCGTCTTCTTTATACTTCCTCTGCATTCCCCTTGATGGGGTTTCTAAATTTAACGTGCGGCTGATCACTTGCTTGCAGGCTGTTGGGACTGTAGTAGCTCCAAGGTAGCAATTTCATTTAATCATCATCTGCATTCCCCTTGAAAGGGTGATTTACTTTTAGTCAGGAATATCTTTCTTCTTCTTCTTCTTCTTCTTCTTCTTCTTCTTCTTCTATTTGCTCACTTGACCACTTTGTTGGTTTTATTATGCTTTGGAGTTTTGGATGCTATTGGGGGTTTTTAGGAAGTTATTTCAGTATTTATGTTAAGGGATTAAACTTTGTCGGTTTTATTATGCTTTGGAATTTTGGATGCTATTGGGGTTTTTGGGAAGTTATTTCAGTATCTATATGTTAAGTGATTAAACTATGGATTGATAATTAAACCGGAATTAGGTAGACCTTATATTCTGTAATTCTTGAGACTTTTTCATCATGAAACTACTCAATCCATCAACTTTCAAGATTGCACGGGTTATCCCTACCTATGCACTTTATTCCAATTATTGTTGGCAGAACGAAGGGTTGATAATTGATCAAATCAAAATCAAAACATCTATATATACACGAGCCCACAAATGAAGATTGCCACATCAGCTACTCCTTCACAACCCTTAAATTCAGGAAGGGTAGTAGTGTCAATGTGTTCCTTGAATTTTAAACCCCTTAGGAAAAGAACCGGTAGGTACACCTAGATGTGTAATTAGGCCCAGCACTTTTGGCCCCTTTACCACCTAAACAGATACTCATCTACAAATAAATGAAAGCTTGGGCCCAAAACAAATAATTGAAAGGAAACGTTTCATTGCCTCAGAGAAGATTCGTTGTCTCTCCTCCCTTTGTCCTGAACAATTCTTCCCCATTTTCAAAGCACGTTTCCACTTCACAGCACAAGATCAGCATAGATTCTTCACTCAAGTGATCCAATCCGAGTTGCAGCCGGCTACTACTATCATCCGCCTCATCGAGGCAGGACATTATCATCCCCGAAGTGCCAATTCTTCCCCATACCACAATCCCGTTTCGATTATCCGGTAATGGTGCTGCCCTAATTGTCACCAGATTCTTCTCCCGCCGCCTCATCGTCCTCGGACAACCCAATCCCGGAGACTGCCAGTTCCCGTACATAGCTGCCCCATTTCATTCCCAGTACATACTTTTCCACAGTTCACCCGGAGACCTCCTCTACATGGTCAACAAGCGAAAGTACCCAGGGGAATCTTCCAATGAAAACCGAAAACGCCAATGCACGGTGGAAGCTTCCAATAGAAACATCACCAGTCAATGTCGCTGTCATGTTTCCTGATTAACTTGCAGACTTAATCAACCCCATTCCAGTTTCGTTTGTTCACGGTTATTTTTAACATGATTGCAAATATCGAGTTAATTCAAGAAATAATAATTTTTGAATATCGAGTTAATTGTAAATATTGATTTGGAAAATGTTGAGAAATATATATATTGAAACGGACAATAGAGGTTATGTCATTCACCACCAAATTAAAAAAGCTGATAGAAGTTGCATGTTGCATTGGATTAAGTGTATATGATTTATTATTGAAGCTCATCCAACAATTCAACATTATTGATAACAAAAATAAACAAAGCAGCAAGAAAGAAAAAAATTATCACCCAAGGGTTGCTTACAAGCTACAAGGAGCTCACTCAGCGATGTTGCGATGAGTTGGAACAATTGCACTCCAATAGGTGGGAAAAAGTTCATGATAGCATTGTTTAAAAACTCAATAGCATTGTTTAAAAAGTTCATGGAATGCCCTTTCTGCAATCTAGAGGAAACCCAGAATCATATATTGAAGGAATGTCAGTGGACAATTTACATTAGGAGATCGTCCATGTTCAGACCACTATTTGAGCTAGAACCTAACCTATCATCTAGCAGCTGGCTATGTGCAGTAATGGATCAAGCGGAGGATGAAATGCTAGAGAAACTAAGCATCATTTTGTGGTCGAACCCATCCCTGTCCCGTCCCTGACCCTGTCTGACCCATCCCTGACCCTGTCTGACCCATCCCTGAAGGGTTAAGATGTATAACTGACCCGTCCCGTCCCTGTTTCCTTCTTGACCTTGTCTGACCCTCAAGGGACGGGCCGGGTTAGTGGGTCGACCCTAATCAACACACTACTTTTTTACAAATTACGTTTTGGTACCCAAAATTATTTTTTCTTGCAATTTAGTACCTAAAATTTATTTGTTTACAAATAAGTCCATAAATTTTGAAGGTAAAATTACGTTTTGGTAACCAAATTTTTTTATTTTTACACAAATTAGTACCTAAACTTTTAAAACTTTACAAAAAGGTCCAATGCGGTGTGAGATATTTGTTGTTGTTAAGGGTCACATGGTCAAAACCTGACCTGTCCCTAAGTTGTCCCTACCCGTCCCGACCCATACAGGGTCAACAAATGACCCGTCCCTAATCTGTCCCTGTAGACAAACTGACCCGTCCCGACCCTACGGGACGGGACGGGTCAGTGGGTCTTCCGGGTCAAGCTTTCACCTACTGAGAAGAGTTTAAATCGTATCACACTTTGGAGAAGGAGGAAAGATCGAAGTGGAATAATATATGGGGAAAACCTCCAGAAGGTTGGGTGAATAAAGGGGAATAGGGAGATGGATCTTATGACATCAACGTTTCAACCACAAATTAAGGTTGCCACTAACACCACTGAAAATATAATATTGTGAAAAGAAAAAGCGAATTCACAACTATTTACTAAAAACAAACGGCTAAAAGGACACCAAAGCGGACCATAAATGCAATAACCACACCCGGCCAATCGGCCGGGCAAAGTGCTAGTATTCCCATAGGAAGACGTCACAAAACGTTGGATATTCCCCACAAAGAACATCCCCATTTGTGAGGTCGAGAATATATCACCCGTATAACCAAAAATTGTGCACAATTGAGGATTATATAACAATTTATGGCGCTATGCAGAGTTAAGTAACCGAAAACCACATATTCTACATAAAGATGCATAAATGGGGTTCTTGTTGGTTGTTATTTGGCTCGAAAGAAGAGGTATTTGCTTGTTGTGGGCACTTCAATTGCTTCAAGGAACTTTGTTAGGACATTAAATTTGCATCATTTGCTAAACCCTCATCCATCACCAGTGCCAACACCCTCAGTTCACTCAACAATTACTTTCAACTTCTCAACAATGAAATTGGCACAAAACACTAGTATACCCGTGCACGGTCTCAAAACTCGCACTGCGAGCTCGATCATTGTACTCGAACACCACCGAGTCATATATCCAAGTAATCGGGCCCAACCCTACCTCAAACAACCCGATAACCCCAACTAATCCCAACATGAACAAGCTATGAAACTGATGAACATATATAATGGCAGAGTTCAAGGTTTCAATTGTATGAGACAGAGTGTTGCCAGAGGCATGCCGGGCTTGAATTAATCAACTGACCCTAGATCTTGTACAATTATGTCGATTTTATTATGTTTTGAAATTTGGATGTATTTTGGGATTTTCTGGATTTACTTGAGTATTTCTGCTAAGGATTTAAATTATGAGTAGTTAGAAAAAATTGATCAGACCTTATATTTTATAATTGTGGAGAATTTTTCATTAAGCCAATTACAGAAAAAATTATATTCATGACTCATACATATCATGAAGGGACTAGAGCAACACACTAGCTGTTGAAGTACAATCTCATCTATCTCTTTGGTATGCATGAACTTGTGTATGATCAATAGAACAAAATGTCACTTCTGTCACTTACATTTGAATATTGTTGATGAACCAATCACTCACGTTTTCATTAACTAACGAATTGGTCATTCCGTTAGTGTGCATTCATTTTCAATTCCAAATTGCCACGTCATCATCACAATTTTAATTAAAAAAACCCTGGGCTTCTAGCCTTCTACTAACACACACTTAACCAAAACTGAAGCCCACGACCCAATCCCAACCCTGGGCTTCTAGCCTTTTACTAACACACACTTAACCAAATCAAGCCCACGATCCAACCCCAACCCTGTCTATCATCTTGCTTCTGTGAGTGCTCTTCTCTCCCTTCTCAACGGCGAGCCACATTATCTATTTATCTCCTTCCTGAACTCTTATCCCTTCCTTTTCATTTCCATTTCCATTTGCATTTGCATTTTCAATTGTTATTGTTGTTGTTGTCCCACCCACCATCACATTCTCAATTCAGATGCATGGGACATATGAAACGCTGGGGTTGGTTGCAGACGAAGAGGGGAAAACAGAGAAAAAATTAGGAGTATTGAGCAGCGAGAAGCGAAGTGAAATCGAATGGAGACCAACAATAAGCTACAACATCAATTCTGTGCTCATATGACCATTATGTTTTCATATCGAAGTGAAGTTAATCCACAATGTAGTCCCTGAACTATCACTTTTTCCTATTCAAACAAGTCTTTCAACAATTTGTTTTCATATTGAGGTCCCTTATGTTTTCAATTTTTCCTCAACCAGTCCCGTCGTTACTTTTTCTGCTAATATAACGTTAATACAAATCGAAAGGACAAAATTGTCCTTAGTAAATTAAAAGAAAAGAATAAAGAAGAATGAATCTTAAGTATAGGAAGCTAAATTATTAAAAGTGGAGCGCATGAAGGATTACATCGGATTTGATCTGAATGTGGAACGTATGGTCACATGAAAGCGGCATGCCCTAGGCTCATTAAAATTGTTGAGCCAGAGGTACCAAAAAATACGAGTAGGAAACAGGCGGAGCTATGACGCCCTGAGGAGCAGCAAAGGGCACCTACTACCACTGAAACTAGGGTAACAGATTCTGGATGGCGCTTTACTGTGCTGAACGAGGAGGAACCCGCACAAATGATGCATTCTACATATATTACCAGGGAAAGGAACCATGGGCGGCCTGAGTTGGTGAACCTAGATGGTGGGCAGGGACACTCAACTCAAATTACTGCTCTGCCGATGCCAAACAACAACCACCAAGATACTCGTTCCACTAGTGAGGGGATGGTTGTGGAACAAAGCGAGAAAACACTACTCCCAACAGAAGACGTAGCCAAAGAAAACCCGGTTCTGTCCGGCCAACCAGTGAAGTTGATGACAGAATCTCAAAAAAACTTAATAGGGAAGCCTCATACGGGGAAAGGGAATGGCTCGAAAGGCAAAGCTAAGTCTCCTGATGTGAGATATGTAGGCTCGTTAAGTCAATCCTCCTTGTTCAAGACTCTAGGAACTCGAACATTAGGCTCGTCGTAGCTTGGAAGGCCTTTGATGATGGCATCCCTGGATTTTGAAAGCACAGAACACTCAGAAAGCATGCAGTTTCAGATTACCCTTCTAAAAGCTCATTCTCGTACAACATTGTGTAACTTAGTAAGAACTCATTCCCCTCCAAATGCAAAGAGAGACTTACGTTTTGGGGAATGTTGCAGGAACATCGTCCCTCAAGTTCACTCCTTCTTCAGCCTCTGATGATCACACAACCAAAAACACAAATGGGATGGATCCCACACGACACACAACAACAAGGAGTAAACAAGAAAACTCGAGTTAATAAGATCACTTCATCGTCGTTCACCCGTTAATCTGCATCTCTCATGGACGAACTGAAACTTCAATCACAACAGTCGATTTCAACATGAGTTGCTGTAAACTCACATCATCAAAGGTCCCATCTTTTTGCATATTATGATAAACCCACAATACTAGTAGACAGTAGTTGGATTCAAGTACATTGTAATCTTTCTTCAAACATTTTAACCAGACATCTACTGTAATTCAATCCATCCAGAACCTTGGATAAAGGAGGAAAACACTTGCCTGCTGCTGTAGCTGCTCGGATCCCAGGCTCCACCTGATTGAGATCCACACCTTGAAGTTTCTCAAACCTACAAACACAAACCCACGAAAATTCTTCACATTACTCTCCCCCGAGTGTTTCCAAAATCCAATACTGGCACCGAGGGATTCTCAAAAATCACCACTCAATCACTTGCTGGATTTTGGGGCTGAAATCTTCCACCTGGAAAATCGAACACACAATCTATATCAGAAACTAGAGCAAGGGAGAGGAAGAAATCAGACCTCCTGTTCAGTGAGAGAAATTCAAGCGGTTTGAGCTAGTCGCCGGACGTCTGACGCTTCCTCGTTCGTCAATGCTTTCGCTAAAAACCTCGCCGCGCTGTTCTGCCACCAACAAGGACTACCGCTCCCGCCGAGAAAGGAGTAAGAGGCGCGGCGGCCATAGCGATTAGTGAGCTTAACCGTCTTGCTGCTGTGGATTAGCAGCAGCGGAAATGAGCGGCCAAGCAGCAATCCTCCGGTCGCCATAATCCCCTTCCAATTTTCCCTTTTCCCCACCGCCGGGCACACAACACTTCTTCCAGAAATCTAGAAAAAGAAATCGATCACAATTCGCACGGACTGGATGGAGTGGTGCTCAGGCAGGCCCTGTTTGGGCCGAAAAGTTAAGCATAGCCTACAGCTCTAAATCAACCATCTGATTAGCCCGACCCGTTAGCTCTTTAAGATTCTATTCAACAGAGCCACGTGTCGGAATCTGCTGATTCGGTGTCACTAAATCTGGTCGCTTCCCTTTTCAAAAAGCGCCAAACACAGAAAGAAAAATGAATGAGAATATAGTAGAAGAAAGAATTAAATATAAATAGTTGAAATATATAGTTATAAATTTTATAGGATAGGAAAATATAATTTTATAAAGATCAAAAGAGGAGAAATACATGCATATATATATATATATATATATTAATTTAAATCATAATAGAACGGGTCGATGATGGAAACGTAACCCATGTTCCCAGGGTTTTTGCGTGTAACTAACAAGCGAGATAACGACGTTGGTGTCGATAAAACTTAACTTTATTATTCGATGCTGGAACTAATGTCAAACTTACATATTTATAGACTTAGAATAGCCTAATACTTAACCTTAACCTACCTGAAATTAGGGGTGGCAGTTCGGTTATTTCGGTTATAACCGGTAATCGATCGGCCGGTTATCGGTTAACCGAAATAACCACCACCCCTGCCGAACACCGACCGAAATAGGGTTCGGTTTCTCGGTTATCTCAGTTATCGGTTAACCGAATCACTTTTAAGACCAAAACCATTTCGTCCAGCCTACGATAACCGCCCAAAGTTCGGTTACCAGTTAGTGGATAACTGGCCGGTTACCGTTTTAATCGATCGGTTAACCGGTAACCGATAACCAAACGACCAGCCCTACCTGAAATCCTTCTCCTACTCGGCTACCCCAACCCCAACGAAAAGGAAAAACGCTCAAGCCCAAAAATCAAAATCCCAAACCGAAAATACTCTCATCAATCCTCCCCCCTTGAAATCAACCTTGTCCCCAAGGTTGACCATCGCCGTCCTCTTCCTCGAACAATCACATCACCTTAGCATTACTGCACTTGTGTCCGATGGTGAATCGCTCGTCGCGATCGAGATCTTATGGAAGAGGCCGTGATCTCGGCACTTAAAGAAGAAGTCAAAATGCGTCGTTTCGGGCTACACGGGAACGTTCCAGCAGGTCACGACCTAGTCACGGCTAGTGGTCACGGCCATGATCATAGGTTCAGGCCCTCGAGGCCGTGATCGTCACCAGCTGCCTATAAATACTCACTTTTCTCTGCACTTGACAAAAGAGGGCCGCCTTGGGGTGATAAATTAGGGTTTTGGAGTGCTTTAGAGAGAGAAACACCTTGGGAGAGTTTCATTGAAGATCCATTCAACCTAAGGAGAAATGAGAAGGAGCAAGCAAGGAGAAGAAGCTTGATTCTATCATTCCCCACTTCTAGTTTGTATTTTCTTCTTCTCTCCAATGACTTGAACCTCTAATGGTTGTTTAGGATAGATAAACCCTAGTTATAAGTTGTAAATGTTTGGGTTATGAATGAATGAATGTGTTTTTCTAGTAGATTCTTAATGCCACTATTTCCTAAATGATGATGCTTGGGCAACTGGCCCTAATCTTCCCTCTTAGCATACTTTATGCTACCGCCCTGGGTACGGAGTTCTAGGGTTAGACGGGTATGCCCCATCTTGCGAGTTTAGGTTAGATGAGTGAATGGGGGCCTATAGTGGTCGAGGCGACCGAACCCTCGCTATAGGTAGCCTTCCTATATGAAACCCGGGATGAAACCTCGGTGTGGACAGTGGATAGTGTCCATTGAAATGAGCCATAAGCTTAGTGCCCCAGATACGATAGCCTAGATCAAGGTGACTGAAACATGGGTTTAGGGGAGGCGTACTCGGAGGAGTGGGGATAACGATGAAGGCCCATGAAAAAGAGCTCACTCACCACATTCGATTAACGCTACATTACAACCTTAAATAGGAGGATTCGACCCTAGACAACCATCTCATTTCTAGTGTCATCCCAACCACTTGGTTGGTTGTTTATTTTGCCTTAGGAGTAGGATAATTTAGTTAAAACCCCTCACCAAACTTCCATCCCGATTAGATAGTAGTTCGGAGCATACACTTAGAGATCCCTCGGAATACGAACGAGCCACTTTACTACAACCCTAGCTAGGTTATACTTGGCTTAGTTAGGATTGAATAGAGAGTGTAATTCGAGCTTATATATTTAAAACTCGATCGCACACCCGAGGAGCGATCACTAGTATCTAATACAGAAATCTTGAATACCAAACAATACACTAAACTCAACTTAATCTTAATTTCAAAATAAATTTGGTATCTCAATTTCAATCCCTAATGTTTTATTCGGTATCGCGGTGTACCAAATTAATTTCCTTCAAATTACAAATCAAATTTACATACGCAAATACTTCTTATCTACCAACAGTTTCACAAACCATTCTCAAAATATATATAATGCGGCCAACACTCATGCAATACAAAATGGAAAATAAATTTAAAGTATAATAACCAACAACTAGAAAATTTTGGTTCTTAAGAAGCTCATTAACAAACTGACACATGAGACGGCTAAACAACCTATAAACATACTACAAGTAACACAATGAGCTTGGCATGTGTTGTCAAATAGTAAGAGAATGAGCTATGTGTAATTAAATGACCAACTTGGCGATTGAGGGTCATATAGTAGTGAGTAAGTGAGCCTAGTTGGAAGGGATAAAATACACACTAGCAAATATTTGGATATTAATCGGTATTTCGGTATATACTGATTCTAATCTCTTAGTCTCTTATACCAAATAGCACTTGAAATTCAACCACAATTCCAAGAAATATTACATGTATTTGAAAATATTAAACATCGAAAAATCCAGTTCCATATTCGATATATTTCAAATACTAGTACCGAACTTGTAGCCCTACCTACCACCCGGTCTAAGATTTATCCTTTGTATCTACGGCATAGGCTCATGCACCATTGAATGTGACGAATCTGAAATTCCTTTTTTTTGAGGGAAAGTCAATCTGAAATTTATTGAACCATCTCTAGATAAGTGTGAGAATGCATTGTATAGCCCTGGAACTAAGTTTATGGGCATCACTATATAACAATATATGCTTTCAAAGACCATAAACTACCAACAAAAGTACAAGGCCCCAAAAATAGGAATCCAAGGTGAAAAAAGAACAACACTGGCGGTGAGCATCGTGAAGACAAGCACAACCGGCCGGGAAGTTGTTTCTTGCCATTGCAATTGTGGTGTTGTTGGTTGCGGCGTCACCATTCCCATGTCATGCTAATGATCCTCACTTGGCGTGTTTTGAAAACTGCCCGATCGAAGCATTGCGGTGCGGGATGTGGAGATTAGTGGTGACTGTGGGGAGAAAGCTAAGTATGATGATCAAAATAAGGGATATGAGTGAATAATAATAATGTACTTGGAAATAGTACAACTTCTGGTTCCCATTCACTCAACCATTTCCTTTAGTTTTTCCAAACAATTAACCTGACTCCACAGACCATCTACATGCCAAAGCAAACAAGAAATGCACCAACGACCTACGTACAGCCACCGTCCGTTTGCAAAAAATTAACACAAACTGAATGGTTTCCAGTTCCACCACACTGTTCATCACCGTGTCTAAGAGCTCACCCTGGCCTCGAGCTCGAGAATTGTAGGGCAGGCGAATGCGTTGCATATGCATCAACCCATTAATCTTGCCGCAAGAACATTATAGGAAATAAGGTTGCTCAGTTTCCGCCAGCAAAGAAGGTTGATCATGAAGTGGCGGATGGTTGGCTCAGTGGATTGAAATCAAGTCTTCTCCCGGGCGCCGGACAACCCAGCTATCTTTTGTAGTATTTTTCTGTTGGACACCCTGATGCAGGTTGTGTTCCCCTTTTGTTTTTTGCTCTTGCTTTTCCCTTTTTTCCATTACTAATAATACTATATCACCTTCATAAAAAAAACATTATAGGAAGACGCACCAAAACCCTTTGAACATGTGATGGATGTGTGAAGGGTAGAGATGGGTTGAATTCGTACTTGTTGAGAAGTGAATAGAGAATTTGGTAATACTAGAAACCCTGCAGGTTTGAGATTTAAAACTGATATATTTAGAAGGAAATCCTGTTTTTCTGAGCCGTAGTTGATCTTCCATCTGTCCGATGCTTTTACATAAATATTGGTTGTGCGTACGCAACTTTCTCCTCTTCTAATTGTTTTTACCTTTGCTTCAGGATATACTACGGCTTCAAATATTAGAATACAAGACACAACTCTCCGTTCCATACTTCCACTCTGTACAACGAAACTATGTACAAAGACCACACATCAAGTCTTCTTCCTTCTTCTCCTCCTGTACATAAATGGCGCAACCTAGAAAAGCCTGCTATACAAAACCACACTATATACACAAATATTGCTCCACTATAAACCGATTTCATTACCAGAAAGGACACCACCTGAGAGACAACAAAATACATTGAACTATTAGTCAGATCCTGAAGCTCAAGAGGGGGCTTAGTAATTAATGGGAGCAAACACACATACCCAACATAATTCTGGCACAGATTCTCATGGGACATAGCTTGCAGAATCAGCTTCTGGACCTGCAATTTGACAGACAACCCGTGATCTACTTCACGGGCATCTCCTGCGAGCAAGGAGCTGTGGTCAACTACTGGATGTTGCATAGTGCTGGTAGACGTTGAGGATGAGGATGAAAAATCACGTCCAGTGAGTTTGTTGCTCATCCGAGCCATTACGATGACAGCCCGCTCATTCAGAACCTCATTTGCATCACCCAGCTGATTAACAGCCTGCAAAGCAAAAAAAAATACCCCATTTGACAGAAGAGAAAATGAGTGGTATAGTTACTAAGGAGCAGCAGTTCTTATTGCAACTGCTTCAACTGATTAA